AGATGCTGTCGATTGGATGACATACACCTATTTCTATCGACGTCTTCTCGCAAATCCTAGCTACTATGGCTTAACAGACGTGAGTCATGAGGGGTTGAGTACTTTCCTCTCAGAGCTAGTTGAGAACACTCTCAAGGAACTCTCTGAGGCCAAGATCATCGACCTAGACGAGGAAGATGATACGTTATCGCCACTAAATGCTGCGATGATTGCAGCATATTACAACATTTCGTTTATCACCATGCAAACCTTCTTACTTTCACTTACAGCCAGAACAAAGCTGAAAGGTATACTCGAAATCGTCACTTCGGCTACTGAATTTGAGACGATCCAGGTTCGACGTCATGAAGAACATATTCTCCGTCGTGTATATGATAGGGTGCCGGTTAAGATGTCACAGCCAGTCTACGACTCGCCACACTTCAAAGCCTTCATTCTTTTGCAGGCACATTTCTCCCGTATGCAGCTTCCGATTGATCTGGGTAAGGACCAAGAGGTTATTGTGAGCAAAGTTTTGAACCTCCTAAGCGCTTGCGTGGACGTTCTTTCTTCCGAGGGTCACTTGAACGCAATGAATGCGATGGAGATGTCGCAAATGGTTGTTCAAGCTATGTGGGATCGGGATAGTCCATTGAAGCAAATTCCGCATTTCGGCCCAGAGGCCATCAAAGTGGCCAACGAGTTCCAGTACGTCCCACTTTTCAACCCCAAGTATCAATTAGAATTTGCTAACCACCTTTCTGCGTGCAGCATCAAGGACATCTTCGAGTTTATGGAAGCTATGGACCCGTCGGAGAACAAGGATTATGCAACCCTTGTGAAGCGCCTGGGTCTCAACAACAAGCACCTTGCACAAGCGGCAGAGTTTACGAACAACAAATATCCTAACGTGGACCTCGACTTTACTGTTCTTGACGAGGAGAATATCACTGCCGGCGAGCCAGCGTATATCGATATCAAGATCGAGAGGGATGTTGAAGAAGATGAAGAAGTCGATACCACTGTGTCTGCTCCGTTCTATCCGGGCAAGAAGATGGAGAACTGGTGGCTTGTTGTTGGTGAAGAAAAGACAAACAGCCTCCTCGCTACCAAACGGGTCACAATCGGAAAGAAATTACAGCTCAAACTGGAGTATATTGTTCCGACACCTGGTGAACATGAGTTAACGCTGTTCTTAATGAGTGATAGCTACGTCGGCGTTGATCAGGACCCTTCATTCAAAATTACGGCAGCAGAAGGAATGGATGAAGATGAGGAAGAGGATGACGGAGAAGAGTGAGAAATGCATGTTCTCATGTGTTATATTTCCAGGATTTAAGTCTTGTTACCCTGTTCTATGTTTTTTATTTATTTACTTCCCCCCCCCCTTTTTTTCCCCCTTTCCCCTTCTATCTTTTCGTATGAGCCTATCATCTAGTTATCGAGGAGCTTTTGTCATGTTTTTACTAGTTTTTTAGGGTTCAGGATAAGAAGGACAACTTATACTTCCCCATGACATATACCAGCCCCGGTTCAGATTTCCTTTGGGTCATCGCCATGAATTTGAATTCTCCCTTCATGTACTTGTACACCATACAAATGGAATTGATAATGGAGTTTAATTCACATGTTCTCAGGTGTTGTGGTTCCGAGTTTGGTTTGATGCCCGGGCGGTGGAGTAAATAACCTAAACGTGGGCCCACGGTCGTTCCCCGCAATCGACTTTCCGCAACATCCTAGAAAGCTTCTTTAAATCCATCAGTTGCATTTTGACATACTGACTAGACACTCTATTACTTATCAAACTTGAGCTCTCACAACTTCTTAACACCAACTGGGCAATACTATATATACCTACATCTCAATTAAACGACTTACAGAAAGAGGTATCATCATGACTATCCGAACTTCAAAGTTTACCCCGGAGTAGGCACAAACACGTACCCTAATCCGCTATGTCTCCAAGTTAATGACAGTCCTACACACAGGGTAATGCTGAGCGCTCCTCGACGCTCCGCTGCAATTCCTAATGCATCGGGTACCCTGCTAGCCTACACCCAGACGACATACTCATTTGAATCACACTTGACCACCACTGAGCTGCGGGTCCTCGACGTTGCAACCGGTAGCTCCGTTCTCCTGACAAATTCCTACCGCGGGTCTCCACAATGGCTAGGTGATGGGAACAAGCTCGTCTGGCTGAAGGAAGAAGGCGATGGCACAACGAGCTTCATTGTTGGTGATGGCAAGCGTGAAGAAGACTCTTATGTTGCGGGAACCGTATCGGGACCCGTATCGGATTTAAAGGTTACTACTATTTCCCGTGGACTCGTGGGTTTTGCGGTTTCTGGTAAGGGGAATCAAGACGGAACACTGTACAATCCGTCGACTGCGAAAAAGCCAGTTAGCTCTGGAAAGTTGTATACATCCCTTTTCGTCAGGCATTGGGATGAATACATTCAACCGCAGAAAAATAATATTTGGTATGGGACACTACAGCAAACCACTTCCTCTACGGAAGGACAGCGATCCAAGTACAAACTATCAGAATTAAAAAACCTATTTCGTCAGATTGGTGCGACGGACATAGAATCACCTATTCCTCCGTTTTGTGGGACCGATCATTTTGATATATGTCCCCGAGGCATTGTGTTTGTGGCTAGAGATCCGAATTTGAATCCGGCGTTGCATACCAAATGTCTACTGTACTATTGTCGATTGCAATCCTGGACCGAAGCAGTTCCTGTTTCTGCAAAAACTCTCACACTCGATGAGTTAAAGGGAGCGATTACCTCCCCAGTTCTGTCACCGGTGAAAAATACGCTGGCAGTATTGGCCATGAGAGAGGATGGATATGAATCAGATAAGAACAGGATCATTCTTGTCCCCAGTCTATTTGACGCGCAGACTCAGCCTATTGAGCTATTCGCAACAGCAGGTGGTGCTAGTTTATGGAGCCTAAGCCCAAGCTCTCTTGCATGGGGGGAGGACGATTCAGATCTATTCATCCGAGCCGAGGATACCGGTCGCTGCGTTGTGTTCAGACTTCCAATCCCTAATTACGCGAATGCATCTATACAACATCTGTCCAAATTAACCCATTCCGGGTACGTCATTGGCCTTGCGTTAGCATCCAAGAAGTTATTCCTTTCTAGCACCAGTCTTGTTGAAAACAGCGTATTCTCATACATAGATTTGTCGAAACCAGGCCAAGAACAAAATGTTGTCTGTTCAAGTTCACGACATGGCGTATCACTTGGCCTGGTCCGTGAACAAGTCAGCGATATATGGTGGAGAGGAGCGGATGACCGACCAATTCATGCATGGGTCATAAAACCATCCGACTTTGTCCCTCAAAAGAGGTATCCCCTCTGCTACCTCATTCATGGCGGACCCCAGGGCGCATGGAACGACCAATGGAGCATCCGTTGGAACCCTGCTGTCTTTGCAGAACAAGGCTACGTTGTTATTACCCCCAATCCTACAGGCAGCACCGGCTACGGCCAGGAATTTACAGACGCCATCCAAAACGAGTGGGGCGGCAAGCCTTACGAGGATATCGTCAGGGGCTTTGAATATATCGAAAGAGAACTCGACTACGTCGATACTGACCACGCAGTGGCCATGGGCGCCTCCTTCGGCGGCTTCATGATTAACTGGATCCAGGGCCACGATTTGGGCCGCAAGTTCAAGGCCTTAGTCACACATGATGGAATCTTCAGTACGAAATTTTCTCTCGCTGCTGAGGAGCTCTATTTCCCCATCCGTGATCTGAAGGGTGTGTTCTGGCAGGTCCCCGAGAACTGGGATCGCTGGGACCCCTCCTTGTTTCTAGATAAATGGGCCACACCGCATTTGATTATCCATAACGAGCTGGATTACCGTCTCACTATTTCGGAGGGCTTGGCTGCCTTTAATGTATTGCAGATGCGTGGTGTACCCAGCGCGTTTTTGACTTTCCCAGACGAGAATCATTGGGTGCTCAAGCCGGAGAATTCCCTCTTTTGGCATCGTACGGTTATTAATTGGATCAATAAGTATGCTGGGTTGCCGCCGTTGTTGGATACGGATGCGATTGATGGGTTCCCGGCCAAGATCGATGAGAAGGATGTTTGGGGACGGTTGGCGAAATAGGCTATGACGGGATATTTCACGTGCGATTCACCAATAGGTCAGCCGCTGGGATATGAGTGACAGCATCCAGACTATAAGAATTAGCAACGTGCATTGATGTCATATTTCAACTCCCCTGTCAAAATCATTTATGATGATGTGCGTCAAGGGCAGACACAGGCTCAAAGGTGGTATTAGTATTATCCTTCATCCGTATAATTCCAAGACATTGTTTCTGGAACGTATAAATCAAAGTTAATGGTGAGCTTTGCTCACTTAGTTGTAGAGGATAATTCACCTATAATTCAGACAGGTTCCATTCCAAGAAACAATTCTCTTTCCCATTTCACGTTTGCTTAATGTCCAGTTGAAGATGAAAATAAGATACGCCCAATCTGCAGTTGCTTGCTGTTGGACGCCGGGTTGTCTGCATTGTAAAATCCAGTAACTCAGAAAGGCAGCTTAACAACTCAGTCAACCAGGATGGTGACAAGAGTAGATAGGACCGACATAGCCAGAAAGGAAACTTTAAATAGGACATGAAATAGTTGAGAAAAGATGACTGGAAAGAGAAAAGGGCATGCAGCATTATCCGAAAAGATATGAGTAAAATATGTATATACAATGTTAGCCAATGGCGAGAACAGTTGAGGAGATTGAGGGAAGTGGAGGAAAGGAAGTACGTGATGAAACGAGGTCGCAAAGCAGCATAGCCGTCCTTAGAAAAGCTTCCGTGAAGGGCTGGGAAACCAACACGAATGTAAAAAGCCCTGGTGGGTTAAAAGGAGATAGAAGAAGGAGGAAATTCCATAACATCCATTTCGCTTCAAAATATAACCCTTCACATCAGTAATGGGAAAAGCACGGACAACGATCCAATTCCAAACAACAGGCCACCCACTCCCACATCACTCATCATCCGGCAACATTTCAATAGTTTGCTTCAAAAGTTCAATCAACTCATCAATGTCCGGTCGATCTGCGGGCTCAACCTGCAAACACCTCCTCACCACATCCTTCACGGCCTCGCTAATCCCCCCAGAACCACTTCCACCGGCAGCAGCACTACTTGCTCCAGCCGCATCCTCACCAACAGCAGCTGCAGCAGTCGCCTTCCCCTTCTGCCCCGATCCCTTCTCATCCGGAAATCTCCAATCCCCACCAAGCACACACATAGTCAAACTGCCCCCCGTCTCCTCACTGCGTGCTTCGAATGGACTCTTTCCCACAAGGCAGGCATATAGCGTGCATCCCAGCGACCAGATATCAACCTTGGTATCGATGATGGAGCCGGTTTTCACATCGAACAGTTCGGGGGCGCGGTAGGGCATTGTGGAATGTTCAGCTGCAATGTCTTGGACGGCTAGGGCAAGGGAGCGGGAGGTTATGGCGATGGGGCTTGGGGCGAGGGACCCTAGATCCATGACGACGGGTGTTATGCCGTCGTCGTCTATCATTATGTTTCCTGTTGTGGTAGGCCTTGTCGTCAGCGAACGTGTGGGTGTGGCAGTGTCGGTTTGTTGCGACAGTGGAAACCGGAGCGAAATGGCAGTGGAATTACATACCCGGTTTTATATCCCTATGCGCATAAGGACGGATCCCACCCTCCTCCACTCCTTCCTGGCTAGCCGTAACCTCCCCATCCATCAAGGGTTGGTGCACCGTATCATCGCTCTCCCGACGACTACCCTGCCTCACAGACCTTCCACGTGATGGGGCAGCTTCGGCATCTGCCGCAGCTGCTTCATTCCGCACCATCTTCGCCTTCTTGACAGCTCCCGGACCGCCTCTGATACGATACTGATGCATGGACTTGAGTCCCTTCGCAACACCCAACATCAGTTCCATGAGCTTCTTCTCTGGGAAACGGGTGTGGTTGACCAGGTTCGCGTTGATGGCGTCCTGCAGGTTTCCGCGCTGGTAGTAAGGGAGGAGGATGTAGACAGTCTTGGAGCCTGCGTCGCCACCATCGGCGCGGAATTTGGAGCCGGATTCTGTGGTAACGCAGTAGTCGATGGAGTGGATGATGTATCTGTTTGGAGAGAAGAGAGAGTATGCTTCTACTTCTTTGAGGGCTCTGGAGACTGATTCTTGGCCGAAGGGGCAGCGGATTTTTTTGAGGGCGAATAGCTCTGCAGTTGCTTTATCTTGGACGAGGTAGACGTAGGAGAAGCCGCCCTGATGGATGGAAGCAGTTGGCATTTGTATTACATATATGACTTTGCTTCTGCCATTTGATAGGCACATAAAAATATACTACAAGATACGTACCTCTCCTAGTAGCCGGAGTAATTTGAAACTTCTGCTGTTTATTTTGAGCTGCGGAGAGTTTGGAAAGCAGCACATGCAGTCTGTGAAGGTATAGAGGAGGTCGAAAAAGTATTGCGACATGATGCTATCGGAACAGAAGATGAAGGAAATATATATCTTGGGGTGAGACTGTAATAAGAGGTGAGGTGAGGATGCGCAACGCTGATGGAATTGAGGACAAGTGGCAAAGGTATAGGATATCTCAGTAAATCACTCAGTCATCATACGATGGATGTAAGAATTGATATGTGAATGCGTATAGAATCGGGAGGTAGTTGGAAATGTTTGGTAGTGTAAGAGTGTAGATATCTGAGGTTTGTGAAGTTGAATAAAGTCGGAGTTTATTTGGGGCTGAGAAAGCGCCTCAAAAGGAATAATACAACGACCTTATTTAAATATTATTTGAGCGGACAGGGGATGATAATAACAGCCGTTGTGGATGTTGAGCTTGAGGGTAGATGTTGACAGCACGCTACATGAATAAATCGTCAGCTCTGTACATGAGATCTCGTTCTCAGACATAACTATTATCTTCTTCCTGTCCTGGGAGTCGAATATCTCGCCGTGTTTACTCCGTCGTAACAGCAGCAGTGAGTTACTTTACCTTAAATGCTTTCACTAAGTTAATTATATACATTTAAATAAGTATGAATGTGGATAAAAAAAAAGGATAATACGGGAGATGAATAATAATTTTATAAAATAGATATTCGACTTTTATGTATTTACCTAAATACAAAAATAATATTCCTTTTTTTGATCTCCATTGTCTCCTTTTGCTTTGTGCTGCGGCCCAGTTTAAACAATAACTAAATAAATAATATTTAAACAACGTCACATTAACAACTTCGATTTCAGTTCTCTCCTCTTTGACTCTACCCCAACGCAACACTCGACGGCTCTCTTTTCATCACGGCCGTCTACGTCTTGCCGCGCTTCTCCTTTTGCAGTCTTCTAGACATTTACCAGCTCCCTCCATAATCCACGTGCCTGACATGTTGCTGCGGCTCCTTTGATCCCAACCTCCGCTTGTTTACATTTACATACACCACGACTCGACAATGGTGTCCCTTGACGACATCCAGGTGGGAGACCTGGTGAACGTGCCAGGCGGGATGTACGGCACAGTTAAGTTCATAGGTGTGGTTGCTGGTAAACCTGGCCGGTTTGCTGGTGTTGAGCTGGCACCTGAGCACGCCGGCAGAGGAAAGAATAACGGCGACGTTGAGGGCCGGAGCTACTTCACCACCTCCCAGCCCGGCTCTGGCATCTTCGTGCCAATAAATAATAATAAATATGTCTCCAAACGGACCACCTCAATGGGCAGCAGGCCGCTCACACCCTCCAGACCCAACTTCAGCAAATCAGTCGGGCCCGGTCCTGGTCCCAACTCCATGTCTTTAAACAGACCAAAGTTCAGACGTCCATCTCTACCACGGCCTGAATCACCACGATCCTCTCCGCCGAAATTGAATATGGCTGCTCTACGAACTCCCTCCGCGTTTTCCAAAAGTGTGGGACCCAACGGAGGTGTTCCTCGAACACCGCTCAGAACCACACGACCCCCCAGCCGCCCGTCGTCTAGAATCAGCGTTGAGAGCAATACCAACAACACCCCACAGTCAGTAAGGCGGTATGATACGAGAACGCCCGCCTTTGATGACCAAGAGGCCGCGGAGAGGATTAGATATCTAGAAAAGCAGTTGCGTGATCGTGATAAGCAGTTGGAAGAACAGTCTGCAACTCTCGCGGAGTTTCAGAAAAGCATTACGGAGCTGGAGGGTTTGGACGCACTACAGGTGCGCGCACAACTTCGCGAGAAGAATGAGAAAATTACCGCTCTCACGGCTGAGTTCGATAGCCATCGGGCTGATTTCCGCAGCACGTTGGATACGCTAGAGGTTGCTGCGTCGGAGACAGAGAGGGTCTACGAGAGAAGACTAGAGGAGCTTATGCATGCTAATAGGGAACTACAAGAACGTGGCGAGGACGTGGAAACCGTGGCAAGACAGCTTAAGCAGCTAGAGGAACTGGTATCGGAACTCGAGGAAGGTCTTGAAGACGCTCGAAGGGGTGAAGCTGAAGCTAGGGGCGAAGTAGAGTTCCTCAGGGGCGAAGTTGAGAGAACTAGACTGGAATTGAAGCAGGAAAGAGAGAAACCTGCTTCTGCGATCAAAGGCACCAATGCTGATGCACATCCTTCCTCCAAGGATCTGGATCAAAAGGACGATGAAATTCGCGGTCTGAAAGCAATCATCCATTCCCTCAGCAGAGGTGAGCCTGTCGGCCTCCATCAGATGAACGGAAGCTCCTCCAACAATGGAGACCACCAGGATGCCGACCGTCTCGCCAGACTCGAGCATCGCATCCAAGAACTTGAGGGTCTCATAGATCGCAAATCATATCGCATCGAAGAACTAGAGCGTGAGCTCGAAAAGGACCAGAATCGCAGGAGTCACAATCGGAGCGGCACCATAACCTCCTCACCGCTCAAACAGCAACATAGCAGTCCCGGTGCTGTTTCTGGGTCCGGCGCTGTCAATCACACCCACACCCTTTCCGACCGCACTGTCGTTCCCAATGACTGGCACGACCCATCCACTCTTCCCAACATAAATAGCAACGGACCAAACCAATACTCCACCCACTTCTCCGCGCCGCAACACCATAATGAGCTCATCCGCCACCACCTGCAGCAGCTCAGCCCAATGCCTGAATCTGACTCGCATTCCTCAAGCACAGATGACGGAGGGGTTCTCTGGTGCGAGATCTGTGAGACGAGCGGCCATGATATTCTCACCTGCACGAATATGTTTGGGTCCGGCGCCGCTAACGGGAATAATGCGGGTAGTAACAAGAACGATGGTAACAATATAAATAATAGGGCCATTGCGAATATAAACACCAACACTAACACCCACAACAATAATAACGGCAATTACCCCAACGGCATCCATCAGAATAACGGTCTAGGTGCCTCGAATAAATACAGTGGCATAAATGCAGGTGGAAGCCCCAACTCGCAACGGACGGGACGAGACGTGGTGCTGGAGGGATTGAAGGGGCTGACGGCGTCCATGTCGCCGGTTGCGGGGAAGGCGTCTGGCGTTATTGATGAGTCGAAATGGTGCGCTTTGTGCGAGAGGGATGGGCATGAGAGTATTGATTGTCCGTTTGAGGACTAGTTTTTCTTTGCTTCTTACTTTTTGATGGCGGGTTATGGCTTTTATATCTTATATCAGTTTGCGATATGCTCTATCGGGGATGATGTGTGGACGAACAGATGGAATGATCATTCGATATTTCATCTGATCTTTTTGCACCTCGCACACTACTACGCTACCTGCCTTCCTGCACTGCGTGGTGTTTTGTTTTGGGGCTTCGTTATTTTGCTGGGTTTTGCAATTAGAGGAATGAGGGCGGATTTTCTATCCAGTAGTGTTATACTTCAGCCATGATTTTTGTCTCTCCCCCATTTCCCCCTTCTGGGTTTCATTTTCTTTCTCCCGCCCGTTCGAAATGGTAACTGATTATGTATGCTTGATGTCCCTTTCGGTTAATATCATCTTCTATTTGTATTATTTTACCGTTTCTCCCTTTCTCCCTTTCTCCCGATAATTTCCTGTCATATTTCAAATCTCTCTCCACCATCCTTTCAAACTCCCTTCCTCCCCCTTTTTTATTATCCCATTTAATCAACCCGTTGTCTACTTTTCGTATCTCCTCTTAGCATATTTTCTTTTGCTTTTTGTTTTTCTTTTACTTTTTCTTCCCCCCCACTCCATCTTATTCATTTCATTTTCTCTCTCTCTGTCCTTGAATTTTCTAGCCTGTTCAATATTTTAACTCAGTTTTAATCTGCTCTCGGGACCCTTCTTATTCTCTTTGCCTCCTCTGTCAAGATCTCTTTTAATTCTCATTTCTTCCTTATATGTATATATCCATCGATGCCTGCCTTCTGTCTCTCAAGCCTCCGCTTGTTTCCAACCGAAGCAAATATTGTATTTCGTAAAGCCAACCTCAGTTTTTGGTGCCACTCTCTGACATCGTGTGGATCCGAGTCTACGCTTTTGGAAATGATCAACTGAAAGCAGAAGATACAATTTACTTCTCATTTCCACAATGGGCGTTCCGCAACCGTTCCATATCAGGATCTTTCCAACGACAATAAATATATACAGCAATCGGGGTGGAAGTCCATATACAAAAACTTGGTATAGAACAAAATGCCCACCTCGACTCACTCAGTCAGAGACACCAATACCAACAAAACCAGCTGATATGATATATTGATACCCACAATAAACCTGCCTCATCTCAACTTCCATCCACATAACAAACTCCATAAAGCAACATCTCTTCACTCCGGAAATCTCGGAGGCTGCACCACCTGCCCTTCCGCATGTTTCACTGCCGCCACTTTCCCACACGCACCACACGTCCTCTTCTCCTTGTCCCGCATAAACTCCTCCACAATCTCTTTAACCTGCGTACCCAAATCCGTACAAAAAAACCTCTTCTCCCACACCACCCCTTTACAACCAGTACAATACCATCTCATTGCATCCTCCGCCATGTCAAGCCGCGGCATCTCCACGACAATCCCCACCGTATCCGCGAAACGCACGGGGCAGTGCGGCGTGTTCGCTGGCAGCAGGAATAGCGAGCCTTCGTGGATGGGTATATCTTGGAACGTCGGAGGTGAGGTGCTTGGGTCGACGGTTTTGAGAAGCATGGAGCCGCGGTGTTGGTAGAAGAATTCGGGGGTGGAGTTGATGTGGTAGTCTGTGCGGATGTTGGGCCCGCCAACGACCATTACGGTGTATCCTTTTGTAGCGGGGGAGGAGGGGTGGTAGACACAGTAGTTGTTTACAGGTGGTTGGAGGAGGTGAGCGTTTTCGGAGAGCCTGAGGCTGTTAGTTTTGACAGACCATTCTGCTTGGGGATTTTGTTTTTATTTTTTTTTAATTGGGAATTTATTAATTAATTATACATGTTTTGCGTATATGAGATGTTTACCATTGAGGCAGGTTGAGCGCCGGCGGAAGCATTATGGCTTGAAGTTGTTGCTGCTGCTTGTTGCTACTGCTGCTTGGGGGGCCCTTGGTTGATGCGGGGCTTAATGTGTATGCAGAAAAAGTGGTTGAAGGAGTGGATCTGAGATTGGGTTTGATATGCAGAGGGAATCCGCATCATCAGGAATAGATGCATTGTTTTACCCGCCCCGGTTGAATGATCCTTTAGCGATGCCATGGATAAAAATATTGGCTTAAGAGAAATTCCTCGTATGTTATGAAAATACGAAGATTACGTCTGGGAGTGGCTAATTTTATATATGATAAGCTGATAAGAGCGGTACGTTAGTGACGATAAATACGAGTGATTTTCTGGACCGGAACAACATTACCCCGTTACATTTTCCAAAGCTTAAGAAATAAAAACTTCGAAATTGAAGATGTTGAGATACAACATATAACAACAGATTGAAAGTGGATTGTACTTGGAGCTGACCTTTAGCATTTTTGAGCTGAAGTAAATCCGCTCAATGCATAGATAGTAGTCTTATAATTTGAAATACCCCGATTTTTTTCAAATGGCCACTCCGCAACCTCCACTCCGCTTCACCTCCCACAGACATTTCACTCTCCGCCTCGTACTCTCAACCCTAACAGGTCGCTCCGTGCATATCTCTAAAATACGACCCTCGGACCCCATCCACACTGGTCTAGCTCCCCATGAAATCTCATTTCTACGCCTCCTCGAAGCTGTCACCAATGGCTCGCATATGGAGATTTCGTACACTGGTACAATAGTCCTCTATAAACCGGGGCTCATTACAGGAAGTGCCCCCGGATCCGGCGCAAGTGGAGGCGTCATAAAACATGAGATTCCGTCGAATTGTGCCCGTGGCATCAGCTACTTCCTGCTACCAATGTGCCTTCTCGCTCCCTTCTCCAAAGCCCAGTTCAATATCCTCTTCACGGGCCCCGGTGTCATCACCTCCGCAACCCCAACCGGTGACATGTCCATCGATAGTGTAAGAACCGCTATACTCCCGCTATTTTCCCAATTTGGTATTTTAAACAATATTGAACTGCGCGTCCTGCGACGGTCAAACCCTGGACCAAATGGGAGAGGTGGAGGAGGAGAGATTCAGCTTGTCTTCGGTCACCAGGTTCGACTCCCGAAGACAATACACCTCTTAAACCCTGGTAGAATAAAGAAAATACGAGGTGTAGCATATGCCATAGGTGTATCTGGTTCTCATAACGCAAGAATGATCGAAGCCGCCCGAGGAATCCTGAATCCCCTTTGTCCGGACACCTATGTGTTTTCAGATGTCTCGTCAGCTCCATTGGTACCTGCCCCAACCAGAGATAACACATCGAACAAAAAGAAGATCGGAATTGGTTTTGGGCTGTCTTTGGTTGCCGAATCATCAACAGGTTGCCTGTTCTCCGCTGACGTAGCGTCCTTACCCACCGGGGGAGAACCTCCTGAGGATATCGGGAAACGATGTGCTTACCAACTCCTGGAGACCGTCTCAGTGGGTGGATGTGTCTCTCGAGCTGCGGCCCCAATGATGATAACACTCATGGCGATGGGCTCTGAGGATGTGGGACGACTGCAGGTTGGAAGGCATGTCATTGCCGATGAATCCATGATCCAGTTCGTGAGGGACCTGAATAAATTCGGTTCTCCTGGATTGGGAATTAGGGACGCGCCCGGAGAAAAGGAAACGGGAGATGTTGTGATCAGCGTTGTTGGCAGAGGGATAGGCAATGTCGGCAGGAAGATCGCTTGATCGACTATTGTATCGTGCGGCTTTTCGTCTACATCCTATTACAAAACGGACTCTCAGAACTTTAATGGTATCCGCATAACATGCATTCCACCATTCCTGCAATACATACCGCTCATATGCTGGGACATTGCACAAAGGATCGCAGAAGCAACGGACTTAAAATTTGGGCGTATAGAACCTCCCATCCATCGCGGTCGACGCATTTGAGGAGTAAGCTTCCGGTGTGACCTCGAGAGGCAAATCATTCTCGAATGTGCCATTCTCTCTAGTTGCCATCATTCGCCAACTGCTGCCCATCCCGTCGCTCGACAGCAGAAGGTGGTCTTCGAGCCTTGAGTTTAGGGATTCTGGACCTCTCGTTTCGGGCAGCAAGAACTTGAGGGTCACCAGGATTTTGCAGCAGATAGCAAGCGGATGTGTCCACTATGGCCATTAAGCCTTCCCTTTAGAAATACCTGCTACACTCGAGAAGGACGGAAAAGCTGAGAGTCAAGACGTTTCGGATACCCTCCAGACCTTCTCTGGGCTGGGCCATCGTAGCAGTCAAGTTCTTTTTGTTCCACGACTCTCATGATGATCGTCCACACTTCCCTTTTGTATATATTTTCTATTCTAATACTATTATCCGCCAGGAATATAAATGCCATACCTCCTACTAAATAAATTCAGAGAGAAAAGACCAAATCATTCACGAATCACAGATTGAATTTTAATATTTCGCTTTTCTTAAGCTATATGAACAAAAAAGGAAAGTCAAAACGCAAAGAGGGTTTAAAGGAGACCAGCAGAGAATGCAAGGCGGAGAGGCATTGGAAGAGTTAAGAGAAAAAGCAGAACAAAATTTACTAAGATAACTAATAGCTTACACAGAGCGAGAGATCAACAGTTGCAAATAGTTAACTAGCAGAACCGGGAAAAGCGAAAGGTCAACGGAAACAAGGGAAGAAACAAACCAAACAGAACGAGGCAAGGAACATGTGAAATCCACCCCAAAATACATCCCACCCATCTTCTGCAGAGCATACTTTTCAAGGAAAGGGGAAATCAGGAAGAAATTAACAGGGAAAAGACAAATAAATGAAATGCTAAACTATGTAAAAGGAAAAGAAAAGGGTTAAAAATAAAGATTGTTGTGAATCTGTCCTCTCTATCCTTTTTTCTCCCTTGTAAACCCACCTTCATTGCTTCCCACTTTCATTTCTCTGCGTCATTCATTGGTTGGTTTAGGGATATAATCATATCTTTTGAGAAATTTTTGCAACCTCTTTCCATTCTGCTTCTCTCAACCAAGCCAGCAAATGAACAACTCAACCAGTCAATACCCGTCGCTCCCTGAATGACCCTTGTTTGCATTCCTTCAACTTTCCTGCCCAATGTCTCTTGCACAATCGTTACCGTACATGAGAAATGACGTTCATGAAGAGTGCAGCCCCCGAAACCTGCAGTCCTCCACCCTGGCAGACGGGTGTCCCCTATCCCTCGTATCCCTTTAAACCCCTTTCATTTCAAATGGGTCCGACAAATCGGGGTCTTCCAACATGCCCAGAACATACCCATAGTTCCTCCAGCATGCAACATGCAACCCCGCGCTCCGCCCTCGGGTGGCAAGACGCTTTTAAAGAAGTAAAAATCGAAAAAGATTTGGACCACAAATGGGATAAGAGAATCAATCAAGATTAAAAGCAGCCTCGAAAAGGAAGGGGATTTTCAAACTTCAAATCAACCCACACATACGCACATAGAACACACAAAGAACACAAGGCAAGAAACAAACAAACAAATTTAGAGACATGGAAACATAAAAAAAAAAGGGATCAAACAGAACAGATACAGCAATGAAAAAAAAAACCCCACAAAAGACTAGGAATCAACCTCTACAGCCTCCCCTCCTCCCTTAGCAGGAGAAACCCCTGACATCTCATCATTCGCTGTTGCTGGCTCCGGGGCATCCGGCATGGCCTCATCTTCATCTACACGGGTAGCACCACCAGTCTCATCATCCGCCTCAGTCGACTCCTCCGCTTTCCCACCGTTAACCTGCTTGTGGCCATTTGCCTTTGTATTAAATTCAGCTTCATCTTTTTCCTTCTCCCTCGTGGAAGGGGGTATATCAGAATCCAGCAGCGTCTTCCATTTGTTCAAGATGTTGATGGAGCGGCCGCGGAAGTTGAATTCCTCATCTTTGGGGATGGAGTTAAGCTTGATGATGGCCTTAAGCACTTTGTTGATTTTGGTGGTGCGGATGATGCTGACTTCCAGGTCTGCATAGGATTCCAGCTTCTGGATGTAATTGGACATGTTTTCCATTTCATCCTCCTTGGGTGTCTGGTCACGTGTAAGAAATCCTTTCTGGAGTTTATGACGAAGATACAGAACTGAGTGTGAAGTTCTAAGTCAGCACAAAATGTCGCTCTCTCCATTATAATAACAACTCTGGAATAATTGAGATGGTAAAGCAGTGAAAATTTAACTGGAACAATGGATGGTTGTAGATGGTTTACCTTCTTTCTCCTTCTTGAGCTTGGCTGCCTGCGAGTCAAGCGGCTTTTCAGGCTCCTTTAGAGTTTTGACAGCACCTTCATCACTCGGTATTTTCGTTGCCTTTTTGTCCTTTTTCGCAGTGGCAGCCTTTGCCTTTGATGGTCTGGTTGCAGCTTTCTTGTCGGACTCGCCGGTCGCAGGGGTCTTGGGGGTTGTCAACTTGAGTTTAGTGGCAGTCTTGGGGGTCTTTGCAGGCTGTGTTGTGTGCGACCAAAAATGACACGAATCCCTATTAGCCAACTGTCTTTTCTCTCGCCAAAGCACCACCCACAAGTGGCGCCCGAAGATGGTCGGGCTATGCTCGCAACTAAACAAAACATCCTGGGGCTCTGCTTACCTTGTCGCTTTCAGCTTCACTATCGATATCCTTTTTCCGTTTCTTAACGCTCTTTCGTTTCTCAGCTCCTGCATCTGCTGCCTCCTCGTCATCTTGCTCATCAGCTACTTCAGTGCTCTTCCGTTTTTTCTTCTCCTGCTTCGCTGCTTTAGCAGCTTCTCGAGCCTCTCTCGCTTCCTGGTCTTGCTCTAATGCCCGTTGGTGGTCAGCAAGCATATCCTTAAAGTATTGAAGATCGTGGTTCTCTGCGGCAACATGATATGCTTCGACGAGGGCCTTCGTCTTTCCTTTCTCGCTCACGTCTTTGCACGACTCGGGGTCAAGAGGTGTGAGTTCTGTGTTTGGAATCCATGCACTGTAAAGAAATCAGTCATTTTCGTCAGCCTGTATCCTTCAAATTTTCAATCCAGTCACCACCACACGTATAAAGGGAACACACTCCAGAGAATTGATCTCAGAGAGAATGTAGAGAGAAAGGTGCAAAGGGAGAGGGAAGCCAAACCAGACTTACAATTCATTAGTGTACAAGAACATAATTGGAAATGTGCGCTCATGAACTCGTTTGCCGCCATTGTCGTAGGCTTCTTTGTATGTACCATCCTTCTGCTTCGTAGTCACCGGACGCGTCGACAGGAGGCTAGGTGGAAGCATCTCCTCATCACAGATTATCGAGGGCCAGGGGGGATAGCTCTTTAGACGAGCAGTGTAGTATTCTCCTGGCTTCGCATCCAGGTGAGTGATACGGTTCATGGACTTCTTCTTATTCAGTTTTTTCCCCTTACTATCGGCGGCAGAAGTCGACTTGCGTTTTCCGTTGCTCGATTTCCTGGATACGGAGGGTGTGCCGTTGGCACCACCTTCCGCCACATCAGCAGTAGCAGCAGCTGCTGTAGCAGTCTCTTCATCCGAAACATGACCCTCTTCCTTCTCTTGTTTTGGCGTTTCAGCGGGTGAGCTTGGTTTGGCACTCTCTTCAGCGGCGCCAGGGGCGGTGGGGGTTCAGGGTTTCAGCAGGAGGTGCATCTGTTTCTAGTACAGTGACAATGAGAGGTTAGTAAAATGAGAAAAAAAAGAATTTCCCACCCCAAAAGGGAGACGATCAAAAAAAAAAAAAAATCAACCACGCCGAGACGAAGGGCGAAACGAAGGGGATAGCAGGGTTGACCAACCGGCCGACGCGTCCTCAAGCTTCACATCACCCTGTTCATCTTTCTCTAGACGAAGAGACTCTGGAGCCTTTGCGGGAGCTTCTGCAGATGGTGTGGGTTCGTGGGCCACGTCGCTTCGGCATGCAGCGGGGTTCGCATCCTCAGCCATGGTGATGGATGGTGATGGTAATCGCTCAGGTTGAAATGAAAACAGGAGATGCAAAGGATTCGGGGGACGATGAGGCAAAGAAGCCTGTCAAGTCAAGAGTGATGGGCAGGTGATGGTGTTGGCGACGGGGTTGTATTGGGAAGGATGGATGTCGGGGTGGGTGGGAGTGGAAAAGAGTTGGGGGGTTCGAGGTTTAGAAAGTTGAGAGTTGGCGGTAGATAATATTATTTTTCCTGGGTGCGCGAAGATCGTGGCATGAGACAGGAAACGCGTGTGTGGAAAGAAGACGGCAGCGGAAAAGTGAAAAAAAAAAACGGCCATCCACAACCGAGGGATTGGATGTGCACAGGGAACACTCGGGTTGTGTTTATTTCCTCTTGTCGATCAATCAATTAGATTTATTAATTGATGATTATATTGGGTGGCCTCTTCTTTGGCGTGTAATCAGAGAGGTTCTTCGCCTGGTGGGCCTTGATTCATCCACCGCTGTGGATAGGGACGACGAACGATCACTCCACGCTCTCTCCTCAGCACTCGCTGCCAGTACAATCCCAAGCTCTTTTCAAACAGTAAAAACAAGTAGAGACAGATTCAGCACACAAACTTGAACAGAGAAGCCAACACTAAAGAGAAAATAGCAATGAAAATGACATGAAACTCGATAGGAAAGTCTGGAGATATCGCTATCTCTTCATCAACAGCAGTAGATTTTCAATAGAGCCACCGCAGCAGTCACGGTTGCGGTATGAACAAACGAGAAAATAAATACGGGTATCCCTTTACCGCAATTGCATCTTTAGCAGGATGCCAGACGGAGCAGATGTGGAAATGCAGTTATCTCTTGCGAGTGAACAGGAGGGAGTAAATGCAGATGGAAAAGTTGAGGTTGAAAAAGCGATGATGCCTTTGGTAACTAAGCAAGGAGAGAAGCAGCACACACAGTTAAATATTGCTTAACATTCAACCAGGGAAATCATACGGAATACATCAATCCAGTCTCCAACTATCGATCTCTCTCTCTCTCTCTATATATATATATATGTGTGTGTGTGTGTGTGTATGTCTTCCCTCGTTTTATATTTGTTTATTTTCCCGCGCTGCATTTGGTTTTTCTAGATTCAAATTGATAAATTATACCCCTCCAGCTCGAAGGTGGTTACCATATATATATCCTAACATAGACATTCAATCAGGATATACTAGAATAAAAAGTAAACCATTCACAAATGTGGATGGGGAATTGTTCACGTAGAATACAATCATTGCATTTCACACAAGGCCAGTTAATCAGTGATTCTATTTGAGACGGCCGTGGCATTTCCGATTTCGTCCGTGCGAATATGCCCAAAGAGTTATCCATGGATGGGGGGAATATGGAGCCAAGAGCTAGGAAGGCTCACGGTACTGACACATGCACCAAGGAAAAGTCAACACGGCGTCGGTCCAATCACCTCATCATGTCCGTGGCTGTATCTCCCACTTCTACCCCCCTCTTAGCTCACTGATCGCGATTAACAAATTAACCGGTGGTTCCCTCATCGGATCTGTATGTGTAAGTGTCAGTCTACCTACTTTCTCCTACCGTATCCATCCCATTAAAACGGTTGAAGCCAAACCGGAGCTCACAACAGCTTTTGGTAAAATCCACGAGATGTACGACATTGCCAGCCATCCAGAACTGTTCCGTCAGCCCCTGTCGACTTCACCCGGGGTGGTTCTGTTCACTATTTTGAATCCACAAGAGAGAGAGTGGTATTCCTCACCTAAAACCCCTGCCTGTCATGTGGGGGTAGTTCCATCTGAGAACGAATTGTGGTGCTGGCCATACCATCTGGTATATCTGTACCTTTTAGTACTAGGCAGCAGCCGAAAGATCTCCCATGCCATCAGTGGGAAATTACCATATGATGGTCAAAACGTGAATATTCAAGCTCACGTTCGTGTATATTCCAAGCCTGAGAGCTCTGTCCATTTGATGGATTGGTATATGCAGCGTAGGGAACCAAGGCTCAAGGCTGAAGAGAAATATAACCTTGAAAAAAGAAGGGAGAGTGAGGGAAATGATAATCATAGAATCTGAGTACGGTTTTCCTGAAAACGAATACCTTCTCAGTTATAGGAACCAATACTAACAGAAATGGCATGGCGTTCTGTAAAATATCTATTAGAGCAAAGGAGCACCTGCTAGACAACCTACAGGACTGGCTGAACAGACAAAGAATAAACAAACACCAGTGACCAAAATCCGCGAGAGAGTCGAACCGTTCGTAAGCCAAGTCGAGGACAATGATGTCAATCGGAAACATAAAAGAAAGCATTAGTCACCGAAAATACACCAACGCATGGCATCCCGGCATAGGGAGTGGACATATGGATATAGGGGTCCCTGTTCCGGCTTATGGGTCTTCAACGGGTGGAAAAGGTAATCTTCCAGCGGAAAGGGGTTTAGAGGAATGGGATTCCCCCGCCCATCCCAATCCGCAAACAATGGCTCCTGCAAAAGCATCAGGAACGAAATGATTAGCAGGAGCGATAACGACAACGAGGATAGTGAAGGAGTAAATTGCCCCGAGAATAGGACAGACAATCCGGGGCCATGATGGTGATGAACTCTGAATAAAGTGACGGAGCGTGAAAGGTTGGGAGGCATGGGAGTAAGAAGATAGATGTTGACTGGGGAGAAGCGGGATGGTCAATACGGAACAACGATCATGAACGAGTATCCAAGATGCAGAGACGGCATGTGGCTGAAAGATCAGGAAAATGAGAGTTCTAAATAAAGTGCACATCACAGCAGCGATAGATATTTGAAAACACTGACCATGGTGATTGCAAAATCTGGGTCCAGACACTGCTTGCGCCAAAAGTCCCATAAACAATGTCAACAGTCCATGGACTCCCTGAAAGTTCATCAACTGGCCCCTTAGGTCACTCAGCAGGCGAGGAGGCATGCACGGCCACACTGTGAATACCACCAATACAAGCAAGCTGCACTGCTAGGGTCCGCCTGCGAGCTTGATATATAGCAGCACCGCAGCTGAACCGCTCCGGGAGCCAATTTATTTCATAGGATGATGGCCTTGAGCTGATGATATCTTGTAGTAGCAGTGCAGGAGTAAAGCCAAATGAGAAAGGAGATCGTTCTAAGTATCTGGATAAAAGAACATAGCCCGTTAGTCCACGCATGAGGGTTGACTATCCAGAGGAAGTATCTCTGCCTCCCAGAAGATATGGAGATTCTCCTCCAATTGTATTATTCTGTAAAGCATGTTCCGGGGCAACATTCGCTGCTCCAGCTTTAAGGGTGACTGCAGTGAAAGATCGCGCAAAGCTGATACATCTAGAAACGGTCAGTCCAAAATGCTTCTAGCCGGTTTCACCTAGAGTTGAACTGTGAAGATACAAACGGGTTCCTAATCCAATAAACCAGTAACCAATATCCAATATCCAATACCCAATATTCTAACAAAAAGGGAAATCTCCAAAGTAGCCGACTACACCATCGATTCCGAGACCTGGTTATATGTAGTATTCTAACTTCTCTGTTCCACGACCACCACCACCACCACCACCACCCAATCTATCTAGTTCTGCAGGGAGGTTCTTGATCCACGAGCAAGGATGGCGACGGGGAAACAGAGGGTGGACCGGGCAAATATCTGTTATTACTTGTAAAGAGACGGGCAGATACTCCGTCCTCAACACTGCCTAGTATTTTGGCCAGAGAAATTGGAATCCAGTTCTGGGCAGTAGCGTGCAAAATTTTGAGTATATGGACAGTTATATCCGATTATCGGTTGATTCGGGTTCCCAAGAATAATCGCAACGACGAGGGGTTCGAAAAATGTCCCGACCCCCATATCCTGAAATGCAGGGAAGATAAAGCAACAGACATCAGGAAAAGAAAAGAAAAAGAGAACCTTCACACAGTTGTTAGCTGGGAGAAGCGAAAATATTAACAAAGTTATATTATCTCGATAGATCTTTGAAAAGTCGAACACAAGACATCGCGGTATATTTTCGCGGAAACGCATCCAGGACCCGAAACCATTTTGCATGATGAAATAATATGAACCTCGTCAAGGCACGCCAAACTCCAATCCATAGCAGTTCAATTATAGTACAGAACGAATGTCCTATGATAGACCATACGAAGTGTGAGGAGGGGGCTGGGATCCTTCATAAGTTATCGATGAGAGGGACGGATCCGGAGATGTGTAACAAGTCGGACCAGATCAGGTTAGTTAACTAGTTAAACTACTCAGCATCGTTCGTCTTGGCATCACTTCAGCTAACTAACGTAGATTTGGCTCTGCCGATATCCTCGAACAAGCCAATGCAAAACACCCATTATCCGGTGTTTCAATGACTGCTAATAAATTATATCATTTGAATGAATACTGGTTTTTTGCTTGACGCATTGGTAACTATATCTATAGACTACCTACTACTTGCATTGTAGCGGCACAACTTAGTAAATAAGTTGACAGCTGGCTGCAGCGACCCTCTGCGTTAACATCAGCGTTTATATTCATATTTCGATTCTCTGATGGAAAAGAAAGATTGCCTTTCGACATACATGAAAGAAGAGTAAAGCTGTGGCTAGATTAGTAATGAATTAATATGCACTTCAAAATACAGTCCAGGTATACGCTCATTGCTAAGAGGGTGAGACAGGTATCTCAAATGAAACAGAGAGAGGCGATCTCGATATCTTTCACAGGAAAGGAAGTATACAAACTAGTTTTTAAAAGGAAATGAATCGTCCCTCAACATGACTCAAATTGTGCCCTTGTTGTCTAAGATCCGCTTTTTTGCCCTCTAGAATAACCTCCGCAGCCTTCTCGCTGATCATATAGATGGGAGCTGAAATATAGAAACCAGGTATCTTTGGGAAAGAAGAAGCATCGACGACACGGAGGCCGTTTACGCCACGGACGCGGAAATTGGAATCCAACACTGCCATTGGGTCATCGTCGGCACCGATGGGACAGGTGCAGGACGCATGGTGGCCCCAAACCTCGTTCTTGATGAACTCCTTGAGGCTCTCAGTGTCGTTAGCTCTCTCTGGGCCCGGCCAGACCTCCTTAAAACTTCCATCGAGAGGGATGACGTTCTCAAAGATCTTGCGCGAGAATTCCACCGACTCAACCATGGCCTGCAGGTCCTTCTCGTCTGCACCGGCCGCCGTGACGCCAGAGTCGAAGGAGTTGAAGTTAATCACGGGAGTGTCCCGGGGGTTTCTGGAGCGTAGCTTGACTGTTCCAGCGTTGTTGCGCGTGTGTGCTTTGAGGGTGATCCACGTCCAGTGACGAGCGTCAGTTATAGCCTTAACGGAGGAACCGGGGTAAAAACCGGAGAACCAGACCGGGGCACCGGATATGAGGACATCCGGGTCACCAGCGGATGCGGAAGTTCGTTTGACGATACCGACAGCAAGGCCACTGGATGTGTATATTCCCTTTTCGTGAGACCCAACGCCCTTTTGGTACTGCTCGAGGCATGGATCTGGATCTGTGGCTAAGAAAGTGCATTTGGAAATGATGGAGAAGTCGCTTGGGGTCTCTGCAATAAGACCAGTCTCATAGCGGTCCTGGAGGTTTTGGCCAACTCCGGGGAGGTCCACGAGGACTGGAATGTTGAATTTCCTAAGCTCGTCTTTGGGTCCAATACCGCTGAGTTTGAGGAGTTGAGGGGTGTTGAAAGCCCCAGCAGAGAGAATCACTTCCTTGGTTGCGGTGACTCTACCTGGGATTCCCTCCTCCGCACCAGTTGCGCGGGGGTCAGCTGCGTAGAGGCTTTTGCCTTTGAGGAAATCAACACCAACAGCCCTTGGCTTAGCACCAGAGGTATCAAACCGGACATTGGTCACCAAGGTATTGAGTGCAAGATCCAGGTGGTATTTTCGAGAACCATCTTCATTAACTGCGTTGGCTGTATCGAGGATAAATTCACGGGGTCCATTTCGTTTATAGTCAGGAGCATTGATTGCAAGGGGAACCTGATACGTGGCCTCAGTGGAGTCACGGAGCGGTGTGTCCGCGTTGATATCACCAAGCAAAACCCCAGCCAGCCCAGTCACAGTGGTGATCAGGCTTCCGACACTATTTCCCATTGCAGTGCCAAGTGCAATAACCAGCGAGAGGAGTTTGAGATCTTGCGCTGCTAGAGACAAGTCCGTCACGGTAGTTTCGAGCCAACCTTCGAAGCCGTGACCGGCAAAGCCATTGGGAACGTATCGTGACCGCTCAAGACGTTGAAAGTACTTCCGCATGTTATCAGGAGACCAAGATGCATCACCAGTGATGGTCTCAATGCTCCGCCAGTCGCTTTTATGAGGGTAGATGGTGATCATTGCATTGTGGGAGGCACAGCCTCCTAGCGTGCCTGCACGGGGATATAGAATTCCCAGAGGCTTAGCATCAGAAGGTGCATTCTGCCCGACGTGAACTTGACCATTTGCCTTTCTATAAGTAAACTTGGAGTTCTTTTTTTGGCGTTCAAAGTCAGGGAAATAATTAACCCAGTAATCCCAGCGCATTGGGGCATATTCAGTCGAATGTAAATGCAGAGCTGGCGTCTGATACAGAATGGAGTCGCCCTGATCATCGCCCGCATCAATCAGCAGCACTTTGTGGCCTGCACGAGCGAGCCGAGATGCCACTGGACCACCTCCCGGGCCAGATCCCACAACCACATAGTCGTATATCTCTGTGGTGTTTGACGACTCACGTTTTGCAAATGCACCTTTGATGGGGCTGTGGTGCTTTCCATGAGGAACACTGTCCAAGTCGTCAGTACAACGTATTCATTGATATCTAATTGAAATTTGGAACACTCCACTCACGTTGCAGCTAGGACATCGGAGGCAACGAGGGCAAGCAAGCCCAGACGTTGTTGGAAAAACATATTACCCGGACACCCTAAGCTTAACGAGGGGATATATTATTCAGAGTTGCATGCAGCTTCAGCTCCACGAATTCCAAACTCACAACCGGTGAAATATGCGAAAGAATGTGCCCGAGAATGAGTGATAGAACACATGAAGGAATGGGAAGAATAAACAACAGACGACAGACGACAAACGACAAACGACAAACGACAAACGACAGACGACAGACGACAGACGACAGACGACAGACGACAGACGACAGACGGCAGGTGAGGAAAGAGAGACTGATGAAGCAACCCAACCTCCAAGGTTTTTTTTTGTGCCTCCAGATTGACTGAGGGGGAGCTTTAAACCTGGTGCAGGTCGGTTTATCCTTTCGAACCCACCCCCTGAAAATTCCGCGACTCCATACCCCTGAGGAAACGCGGGCGTGTTAGTGCCAAGCTACAAGCATAACTTGGAAATTGGAATATCAGGATGAAGGAAGATCCCGAGGAGCCTTATTATGTTATTCTGCTTCAGCAGCCCGTGCATGTGCGCGGGACGCCTGTTCATATGGGGCAGCAGATGCTTGTCCAGCGTTTTCTGGTATGGCGATTGGTTCTGCCCCCATTATGGCTTGCAGGCTGGAGTCGCTATACAAATCCAGCTGGTCCACGAGTCCACGACTCAGTCAACCAGTCAACATCATTACTTGGGGCCTGAGGGGGGTCAACAGGAGTTCATGGTTCCTTGGTTGGAAGTGTGCTCGCTTAAAGCCCCTGGGAAAATGTTCCTGAATGTTCCTGAGCCCTTGCCGCCTGCCAAACTTTTAGAAAAAAAACTGATGCTGAACTATTTTCTGTGCAAGGATGTATCATTTCATGGATTATTATCGTTCAGTTCAATTGAATAGTCCCAGATAGATGCCGGCGCATGTTTCTACGCTGATTGCTGGGGTGCAGGGGGTTGTGGAATAACAGGACCATGATCACGATGTGGCTGCTTACTGCTCAATGCTCATTAACCCTAGTGCAGCGGGGAAAGCTTGGTAGTAGTTAGTTAGCAGAAAGAAATCGTGTGAAATATTCCATGTTTTTCATACATTCATTTCTCCATCATTGTGGACTTCCAATTTTTGAAGTTCACAACCACTCAACTATCCCGAGCTTGAATAACGAGTGGGAGAAGTTTATATGACCGGAAACATAGCAGTTCGGTTCGACCCATATTCCTTGACGCCGAGAAGCTAACGCTTGGGGAACCGAATCCGCCTGTGGAGAACTGTCGATCATAGTGAGCGTAGCCTGGTCTATTATTGGTGGTGTCCTCTCCCATGCTCCCGGGTTTAGCCCAAGTGCCAACTTCGTCATCGAGAAGGGAATATGGAGCCAGCAGAGAAAGGGGATGGTCCGTCCTGTGTCCATCAGTTTCTTGGGACAAGAATATTTCTAGATTATCTATTGATTTCTGATCCGAGTTAATCACGAAAATCCCTCTCTTCAATTCTGCCCAATGAAAATGCGGCAAATCTCAATAAGAGAATGAAAAAGAAAGAAGACATTAGTTATTGCGATTAATGATATCCGCAGTTTAGCTCATTTGTTCGCAGCGTAGCACTCCGAACTCCGGTCTTGATAGGACGATGCAAACATCACTAGCTACAGAACTGGAAAGCAATGATGGAAATAATTCGACTCTTCTCGCGTGCGTAGAGTTTCCCAACCCTGGCCCACACTTGAGAAGCAGGCTTTCGTGCCGCATTGCTCTGTCCTGCAGTTAGCTTCTCAAAGAGTGAGGATCTTAATATTAGTTGGGATGATGAATTCGAGGACTCAAGAATGGAAATACCTTCCCACGTCTCAACCACCTGCCGCTCTGCCACAGCCCTCTGGCTCCACGTTTGCCTGCGGTATAAAAGAAGCCTGCCAGAGCAAAATTTCAACATTCTTTCCTGCTTCCAGCATGGAAATTCAATGGCAATCTAAGAGTCAAATTCCGCAGATAGCCCTAGAAGATCTATCAAGAGGTGGTAAGTATCCTTTCTAAATATGGGCAAAATAGAAGAAAATCAGCATCCCTTGCAACTAACTGCCAGGTCTCAAATCAACGGCTCAAAATTTGGAAGCAGGTTTTGTCGAGGTTGCGGAACCGCAGTTGATTCAGGCAGGGATCTCGGCAAAGGAGTAATCGGGGAACCATCAACAAAAAGGGGGCTGAACCTCTGCATATCATGCACGTTTCAGCGAAGTCCTTCTTTAGCCCCCCCCGGATTCTCGAACCGATAATAAATATCCGAATTTCCAAAAACCATCCAGTGGTAAACTCAGCATCCTCAGAAATTCCTAGGATGTCTCTTCAATAGCTTCATCCGATGCTCCTCTGGTCTCTACCGTGTATCTGTCCTTTGGGACAACCGGGTTTTGGCGGAGCACAGCACTAAGAATTTCGCTTCTCTACTGATTGGCGTAAGCCCTAAGTTCCAGGAGGGACGGTGCGTAAAGTCAGAGGCGGCGGCTCAAGGTATCCTCCTGACATCCTTGTCGAATGTGATGACTTGAAACTTCCCTCCATTCGATGGATGCACTGTGGGCTTTTTCGAGCCTCCGCTGCAGAAGACATGAAGCTCCAACGAGTTCCTTTTTGTCCCCGTCCATTTTCGGTCTCACCTAGTTCCTTATTATGAAATGTGATAAGACGGACGCTGTGTGGTAGTTTGTTTGTTTGTTTTGAAATACTAGATTATTCGTAGTAGTCTCGAAAGAAGAAGAAAAAACCCCGTTTTCTAGGCGGCCAAGCATCCCACTACCCAAGTCCAAGAAATAAAACATGGAGGCCAAAGGAGAAAATTTAAGGAGATTTGTCAAGCTGACAAAAGGTTATCGGGGGGTGCTTTAAGGAGCGAAAATTTTGTATCAAAAACCCTCCATAATGTAAAAAAAAAAAAAAAAAAAAAGAAAAAAAATCAGGGAAAATGAAACGATAATTAAAGTCTAAAACGCTAAGGGAATAAGTTGGTCGAAAGAATGACTGGGGTACACAGCAGAATCATGTTCGATTAGGATTATCAATGTAAAAAGAGGCTAGACGGCGTGGAAGTAGTTGCGCTGGTGCTGTTGGAAATTAACAACATCAACCAGAGGCATCGCATCCGATTCATGGCATTTCGGTTTTTGGGACAATCTCTCTGAGTTGCGCATCATGGCCTCATCATGGGATGTGCTAAAAGTCCCAAATGTTCCTGATTTTTGATGTTCGGTGTAGGAGAACAGAGTGGGAAAAACTCTGCGGAAGAATGATCGCATGGCTGGCATGCACGCACAAATGATACCGACGTGGATCTCAATTGTGCTCCAGTATCCCATTTCAACATAATCCCCTGAGAGCGCACGTTAGTTTCACTTCTCTGGCAAGTAACGTAATGGGTACACTCACAGGTAAAATTGTGTGATTTGGCAAATTTGAGAAGCGTCTGTAGGCGGAAAATGCTGACGATCGTGACACTATCAAGTTCGCTGTCAGCTTCATCTACAATATTATAGCTATTCAGAGGCAAATCCGAACTTACAAGGATCCGACACTGAACATGAGGCAAATATGGATCTTCTTCTTCCGCCACAGCTCCAATTGGGACAACTCTCGTAAAGGCAGAGCCAAAGTGACAAAGTCAAGGACAATATTAAAGCCGGCACTCGTCCAGCCCTGCATGTTGATATCATTGCAATGGCCCGGCGCAGTCTTATCCCACCGCAACCATGCTAATTCAATTGGTCTGCACTGAAAGACGGATACAAGGATAAAGACGAGACCGTATGCCAATGTGATGGCCATTAAGACGTATATCGCTATCCTGAAACTCTTCTTGGAAAATATCCTTAAATAGAAAAAATGAAGAGATACTTTTGTGAAAATGAGGGCTAGAAAATAAAGCCATTCGTCGAAGTAGTATATCTAAAAGCTCTTGTCAGCCATAAAGAGGCACAGTGATAGGAAGCGTAGAAACATACGTAAAGAATGTTTGTAATGTCGTCGAAGGCAACGTGCCAGATGTCTTTGCCCAGGCCCGCATTTGCGACTGTTTGACCGTGGCTATTAGTTTTATTTTATTCGTTTTATGCGGACCTATGGAAAAATGGAGTGATACTCACTTAGAACGGAAAATGCAGAGAAAGGTATCGTGAACACCTAGCCTACCTTCAGTAATCACACACACACACACACCGTAGGTCATAGGAGCTGAGGGAACCCACCATTGCCAAAATTATCATCACATCGTCCATTCCGAATTGGCCGCCATTGAAAAATGGTAGTCTAGCCATCATCCGCAAAGCGAACGCTAGAAGCGCAAGGCCACCTCCTGTAACGCCAGTAACGGAAATCAACTTAGTTCGATCGCGAATCGGCCGCCCACACTTTAAGTCAGAGAGTCTCTTGGTTGCTACATTAAGTCAGCAGTTATCATTATATTCACGACGCAGATACCACCTACTCAACGATTCTCTGATACTACATGTCGTTTCCACGCATGGTCCGATTTTTGCTTGGAGCGCAGCATTTGTGCAGGTATCCATACACCTTAGGTCAGTGAGCGCGCACAATTCAGCAATTGCTAGTTTCGTACAATTGATCTGGTTTCAATTAGCAATGTGCTCTGCTATGATGCATCTTCTGGTTCCCATCCTACCGCGCATGCTGGGACTTGAGAGCGCTGTGCTTGGGAGGCCGAGATAAGGACGGCATATGCCGTGAGAGCGGTGTTGAAAGCCTTCATATCCGTGATCGGAGTACCGCAACGGTGCCGGGCTGCCTAATTGCCACACATGAGGAAGAGGGGCCGAGAGAGCGACAGGATGAAGTCAAACTGCGGGCCTAATATATGATGAGGTGAGGGAGTCTCTACCAAGACAGTATTGAATATTAAATGAAAGAAATGCGAGACCCTGTTCTAGATAATGATAATGAAAGTCTGTGATCCCAAAATCATCTTCCATGCAACGCAAGGATCAGGGAGAGAAGGATATGACAATTCGGGAAATATTGATTGACGTCCTTCAGGCGTCCAAAACATCTCATCCTCGAAATAGCAATATATATATATATATATATATATATATTTTTGAAGACAAGGGATCGTGGAAACCAAGGGGACGATTCTAGGCGTCTTAATATCATATGATAATGATTCAGAGAGCACACGCCAAGCATGCTGCTCGCCGCCAGCAGAAATCCCCACTGAAGTTGCCCCAGTTCATGGGCGCTGAGGGAGAAGAATTAGGAGAATTCATTGATCGCCGATCAGCAGCTGAGCCCCCCCTAAGATTCCAGGAACGAGCCTAGAAGCCCAATTATAATCCCGACATGGTGGAGCTGGTAGATAGGCCCATAGGCATGAAACTACCCGCCCGACGTACACTTGCGACAGCGGCCCGTTGGCCCATAGTAGTAGTCAAGTATTCAGAGAAGAATAATATGCCAGCCGCATCGTCGTCTCCTCCTTGCCCTTGCTTCACTTCAGTCAAGGCTGATTGTACTCCGTATCCCGTCAGAAATTAGCCAGTTAAATCTCGGCTACGGGTTCAACTTTCAGGTGCCTGCCCATAGTTAGTTATACTTTTTCGACCATTGTGCCGGAGATATTTTCCCCAGGACTTGATGATGTTAACGAGCGGCGGCGTGGAAACCTTGGAACGTTGGAGGGTTGGTTAACTTTGTTAGGGTTAGCGTTGCCTTGTGATCCTTCAGCCGAATGTCTGCAGGTGAGTTAAGTTCAACCTCAACATCTTTACTGCTCCCTCTTCCCAGGGGGTCGCACTTCTTCTGGGCAGATAGGAGAGAAACAGGGCGAGGGAGATAAAGAGAAGCGCAGCTGCCAGCCTTCTTTTTAAGGTCCAGGCCATGAACCGGCCCCTGGCGTTTGCATGTCTTCTTTTGCGACCATGTTATTTGCATCACCGTTGAAAGAACCCTTGTGTTCATCCCGCGCTAGGTTAGACAACCTTGGAACTGCGTTGATACCCCATAGTACTCCGTATTATGGACCAGAGGTTACCAGCACCGGGTTGTGAGCTTGAAACGGGCTATACCCCTTTCACCTGTGACTGCTTACAAGTTACTCCCCGAGCCGAAAGGTTTGCAGATCTTGATTTTGATAATATGGGCCCATTTTAAGCCATGTTTCTTTGGCTATCGAATTTTTGTCGGTATGGAATCCCACTACTGGACAAGCCAGCTATAGGATATCGATACTCCTCTCCACATGCCCCTTAAAGTCTTTCAGCTTTCAAAGGCGTTTCTGAGGCACCCAGGGAATCCGTATTGTCACATTATTCGGTCTTATTTTGCTCACTTTTCATATTTCCCTTATGTCAACTGCCCCTCGATCTCAATATTCTCCCTCCGTGATCTTTTTCGGAGAGATATAAGTTTTGCGACACTACGAAGTGCTTAACCAATCGTTCCATTTTTTTTTAATGTTTTTGGTCATTCGTTCTTGTCCTTTCCTCTTCAGTATCCTCTTTGGAGGCTTTTATTGGCAGATATCAACGTCCAGTCATTCTTTTTTTTTTTTTTCTTTAGGATCGTTATATTTGCGCTGGTGATGAAGTCCTTTTCAATTCTCTCATTTTTCCTTCCTTTCCTAGGGGTGGATATCCTCGTCAATGCCTTGCCAACTGCAGAAAATATTGCAAGATTCAATGCGGAACGAGCAGAGGAGCCTTGCCCTTACGCGAAGCTTCAGGCTGAGCTGAAACCCAAGCTGGCAAAGCGATTTGCTTTTGATTCGATGAAGGAGCCAATTGATGGTGAGATATACACAGGCATGGCCGCTTGTGAATATACCTGACATTTAACATAGTTACTGGAGAACATGCCTTTTTACCTCCAAACTTCGAAGCTGGTGACCAGCGAGGTCCTTGCGCGGGTCTGAATGCGTTGGCAAACCATGGGTATATCCCACATAACGGAGTTACATCTGTATTGAACATTTCTCTGCCTGAGACAATTAAGAATCTAACATGAACTTGCAGGCAGCTCAAGTTATCTTCGCGATCAACCGCGGTGAGGATTATCTACATATGAAATGCCGTACCCCTGAGTTCAACCTAATATGATTTTGCCATGTAGTATTTGGAATGGGCCTTGACATTGCTACAATCCTTGGTGTCCTGGGAACTGTATGGGCTGGCAATCCAATCTCTCTGACCCCCGGGTTCAGCATTGGCGGACCAACTACCCAGTCTGAAAACATCCTACACGATCTTCTTGGTTTAGTTGGTATGTGTGGGAAAAATCCTTTTGCGAAATCAGGATCAGCACCATTAATAATGTATCTCAGGAACCCCACAAGGTCTAATAGGATCTCATAATTTGATCGAGTCAGACTCCTCCAACACTCGTGATGATCTATATGCGACAGGAAATGCCCACACCCTTCATATGGAGAAGTTCCTGGGCTGGTATAACATGAGCAGAGAACACCAAACCGGAGATTATAATATGGATATCATGGCAAAACGGGCAGCAAATCGGTTCCAGGAGAGCAAATTGGAGAACCCTTATTTTTACTACGGTCCCTTTACGGGTTTGGTCAGTCGCAACGCTGGATATATTTTTCCCGGCCGATTGCTTGGGAATTATTCTAGAGCGAACCCGGAAGGTGTTTTGAGTAAGTCAAAATTCCTCATATATATCGTAGCCGTCAAGAATGCTAACCAGAGTCGAATTATAGCAAAGGAAGTTATTCGGAACTTCTATGGTGTTTATGGTGATGAGGATCATCTCGAGTACAAAGAGGGCTGGGAACGCATTCCAGAGAACTGGTACCGCAGGCCAGTCGATTGGGGTTTGGTCGGCTTTAATACTGATCTTGTCAGCTTTATTCTGAAATATCCCCAATTGGCAAGGTAAGCATGGACTAATCTGCGTCTCAGACACCTGTGTTGATATGAAATATAAAATATATGAAAGAAGATCCGTCAACTAACCATCCCATCCCATTGCAGCATCGGAGGCAACATGGGCAAAGTCGACACTTTTGCAGGTCTCGACCTTGGAAATCTGACCACCGGCATCGCCAATGCTGGCCAGCTGTTGGAGTCCAACAATCTTATCTGCTTCATTCTCCAATTCGCTAAGGCGCTTGCTCCGAGTACTCTGCCTCGTGCTTTTGCCGCAGTCGAAGCGCCTTTGAAGCTAATCACTGAAACTCTTAATGTTCCTCTTCTTGACCTCAACTGTCCTTCGTTTTCCGATCTTACCAGGGATGGGAAGCCTCTTTGGGACGTGTTGCTGGATTCGTTTCCTGGTGCTAAGAAGGGCGGGACCCCATTGTAGAAACTATGAACTGTACAGGCCTAAGGTCTTATTTTATGTCCTTTCTATATATGTGCTTGAGGCTTAACACAGAAGGACTAAATAGCTATGCTTGCATAAAGAATATTTGAATTTGTTTCTCTCATTCCATTGGCCTAAATATATATTTTAGCCATTTTTGCGTTACTAGATTTATATACTTCCAGGGTTTCTACTTCCGCAAAGGTTATATAAATCGCCCTCTATCTCTTCAAGCTTCAATATTTATAAAATAACAGGCATTCTGGGGAATTCTGTAATCAGCCTTTCTAGGTTTCGATTAGGATCTTCTCGTTCTTCCTGAATCAGACGAAGATTCTCATATCGTTAGAAACATGTGTCCATTGCTCACTTAAAAAATTGCCTTAGTCACAAAGATTAGAAATCTATTTTTAAGCTCTCGACTCCCACAGTTGTAAAGAACTAATAATTTATGTATTCAGACATAAACTCCGCTGGCTGTTGTCTTCCAAGGTCATCCTTGTATAGGAAAAACGCTGTTGAGACGTCGAGTTTAAAGAATCATAGTAAAAAAAAAAGAAAAAAAAATCCAGAGTTAGGATTTAGAAAGAATTCCATATCGCTTAGGACCCTTTCAAGCTATTTTAAATATGTACAAAAAATGTATTACTGGTACCGCATATCACTTTATGGTTCAAAAATGCATATGAATAGAACATCGGAAGGGATTGAGACACCCCCAAAGGGTACAAAAGGTAAAGTAAAGTAAAAAAAAAGAAAAGAAAAGAAAAGAAAGACAAAGAAAAATATGGGTGAATGCGGTGACGAGAATAAAGTGCGTCGGATGCAAGGCGATAGGGAAGGTCATCCAAGTTTGATGTGATTGTAATGCTTTGGAGGAAAATGTTAAAACACCCTTATGGACGAAAACATTTGATGATAGGAGCTGGGTCACCATGTCGTTTCTTTCATGTGTCGAGACACATCCTCGATGACCCATGATAATGGATGTTTTAGTCCCTTTCCGCCACTATGTCGAGATGTGAGATTCGTGAGCAGTCAGTCGTTCGTATCTTCTTATCCTTTTTGCCTTGCATTTTGATACCATGGAGGGATTGTGTTAAGGCCCAGCTCTCCCTTCCTCAACAGCTACAACAATAACAACACAGATGTCGTCTACCTTGCCACCTCGGAATTTGTCCAAGGTACGATATCTTTGTGCCTGTTTTGCAAATGGCCCGTCCCGGTGATGATCCACACTGGCAACTTTTGCCTGCCGAACAATTGAAAGTGCAAGGAGACTTTGCAGAGTATGAAGTTGTTCTTGAGCATAGGGCATTTGGCGATTGGGAATATGGTTGTTTGGCGACAGGGAGATTTCTAAGGATGGGACAAGGCCTCCGACATGTGTAAGTTTATCAAGTTCAGCAGAAACACTGATTCCCGAGTCTGAGGAGCCATTCCATGCACCCGTAGATATCATTTGGTTGGTTACGATATTTAGAATGTCCTGGTTGAATAAATTGTCCAGAACCCCGTCAGTAGCGAGAATAAGCACGTCACCATGTTGCATTTTCAAATTGGTTACGTTCGCGTGGTAAGGAAAATCTTCGAAAACACGTCCCCCGAATATTGAAGATTGGAGTCGCATAAGTGGCGGAACTAAGGTAAGCTGGTATGGGGTATTGAAATTGTGGGTTTGAGGGACTGAATAATGATGAATGGCTGCAAGACGGCAAACAATGGATCCTGAATCTCCGAGGCTGAATTAAACTGTTAGTATTAAAAACTTGCACGATTCTTTTGTGGTGAAAATAGGTGCATACTTTGCAAGTTCCACCTTGCCGTCTTGATGAGCAACCCCAACACAAGCCGTACTTCCACCCGCAAAAATTGTCTGATCTGCTTTGCATCTCTCATAGCCCGCCTGCATCAGGGTCCTGGCCCTCAATTTATCGAATTTTCTATCCCAATCCAACGCTACCTGGGCCATGTTGCTGCACAACGCATGAGAGAAATCCGCCGGATCCACGCCGTACTCAGCCCACCCCCCCACCCCGTCTGCCACACCGAAAGCAACAGAATTGGTTTCATTGTCGATTTTGCTCACGAAAAACGCATCCTCTCCACTATCAAACCGAGACCTCTTCCAGGCCGCAGCAGTTACCCCCTTATGTAAACCAATCGCGTCCGTCTTGCCAGGATTAAAATTTATGACATTTTTTGTAGGTGAAAGTTTGTGCCCCTTTCCGGAAGCTGACGCTGCGATGCGATAGGACACACGATATTCCGCCATTAGGGAAGGGCTTGAGTGGAACGACCTGTCCGCTCCCACGCCCCGAGATCGTGTAACTGCGGATGTGCAAGGGGCTCGAGAAAAGTTGGTTCCATGAGAAGCCGATTCAGACCATAGGGACCAACCGGAACCCACCACGTTCCACAGCCGCATTTGGGCCAAGCCCCGTAGCCGGCTTGCTCTGGCCACTATCACCCTGTCCATACTAAGTACGGAACTCTGCCCTCCTGTGCAGGTAAGACCTGTGAGAGCATTGGGACAAGCTCGGGAGATCGTCGTAGGTCAGACGCATGTGCTGGATGTTTTAGGATGAAATCGTTACAAAGAAGTTCCAGCCATAGCAATCGTACATAAAGACGCGGATAAACATAATATGCGTTGTTTTATTGGTGAATTCGTTTTTTTGAAGAAGTTCGATGAACGTTCAACGTCAAGGCCGGGAAGTTTCAGTTTGACGCAGGCGCCAAAAATTAGTTTACTCGACAATGCAAAGCAATTGACCAATCGGCAGTTCGGTGCATGCAGCTTTAACCAGCAATTTCACATAGTAATGTAATATGTGGGCTTTATCCCTGCAAGTAAAAAAAACAGGAAGAGCTAAAAATATCTCATAGCTAACTATGAAGCGACCATTTATATACCGCATTTGACAAAGTAACCTGAGTACGCGCTTAGTAATAAACGCGCGTATAACTAGTCGCAAGAAACCAGCAACGCCGGTATATCAAACTCTATTCCACACGTCCACATTCTGAGGTTCAGGGCAGCGTTGGTTGGTAACTCGGCAGTCACCTAGGGTTCAATGTAAAGTTTCTCTTCAAATCACCGAGGCATCAAAAAGATGTTTGGGTATTTAAATAGGAGTGAAACATATATACATAAACTGGGGCATGCAACATTTGCCCTATTCCCATGTTGATCTCTCTTCAAAAGCTCTCCTTCCTGCCATCTCATGACAATGTCGAATATCAAGATAATTGGCACATTGTTTTGTCCGCAGTGCATTTCCCTGCCCATACCTTCAAACACGAAATATTTCTGCATCTTGTATGGGATATAACTCAAATGCTGGCCCAAAGGGACAATACCTTTTTTAATCCATTTCAATCTCCTGATATTCTTCTGGCCTACGAGATAACAATTTCACATGATTGGGACAACACTAAAAGATCCCAGGGATGATTCTCCACTTGACTTTGTTGCAGTACTCCTCCCAAGTCTTCCCGTATTTCTTGATACATCGCTGTTCATCTCGATAGCATCGGTGAACAAGAATTGTTGTCATGAATAGGGCATATGTCCACGGGAGCAAATGGGTAAATCCGCAGGTAGCGCACATCGCATAGGACAGGATGAGATCTCCCAAGTAATTCGCATGACGGACAACCCCCCACCATCCTGCCAGAGACAAAAAAAGAAGTGCATGTCTAGGTTAGTAACCGACTTAACAAAAATGTCAAGTGACAGAATGAGTGAAAGAAAAATGGCAAAATAACATACCGGAACAGATTATGATCGATTTATGAGTCAGACCGTTCGTGGTTTTGTACTCGCCATGGATAAACTCTGGAACCTTGCCCCAAATCAAACATTTGCCCTGGGTATCACGCACGAGGAACTTTTGGTGATTCGCAGACCGGAAAAGTGCATATCCACCAAAACCAGCAGTCAAAATCGTAGCGGCTGCAGTTGGAGACAGCGTAACCGGGTGAACAGCTAAAAACTGGGGCTGCAACGTGTATATTGTCGGGAGCCAGGCAGCGGAACCCCAGGCTAGATAAAATCCAACGTGGTCGTGAGCCATGTCAATAGTTTTGAGGTACCTAAATGAAACTTGTTTTAGCAGGTATACATGCAAATTTCGCTCTCATGTAAACACACCAGTCTTCGTTGAAGAAAAAATCCACGATATACGTCAGATGGAGGACATCAGCAATTAGAATCGAGTTTGTAATGTATCCGTGTCGACAAAATTGCAGCGCAGTAAATGAGATGTCACTATATTATTCTTGTTAGTCCATGGGGGGCATATCATTGAATACGTTCAGCTACGATATACAGCTGAACAGATATTCCATTATCTCACATCAATATCCAGCCAATGATGCCAGGACGGCCATTGTGAAACAGTTTCATATCCCAGGATTGGCCCAAGCGTGGGTTCAACTCAATTCCCATGTAAAGATCGTACAATGGAGATCCTGTGGCAAATGTTAACGGGGGTGAAGGGATATGGAAGGAAGAGCTGCATGATCTAACCGCTGAACTTTCTGTCCTCAGGATGAGATGGCCAGAGGTGGGCTTTTAGGTAGAAGGCCAGAGTGAGAAACAGGCCATAGATATTGAAAGTGGTAAGCAGTGATCCCCAATTGTCGGCAACGAAGGTGGAAACCGGAATCCCTCCATACAAGCTGATAATGGCAAATAGCCACACAGTAACCATCGCAGCCAACATCCCATTGATTTTGTATTTCAGAACGTTCCCCGCAGGGGTTGGCTGACCTTCCTGTGTTGACCCTGGGAGAAAGCTGTAAAGCAGGGCCTGGAATAGAACCCATCCTCCATACGCCAAGGCTGTTTGCAAATTGGGGACTGGGCAGTACCGGTGATAAAACGAAAAGAGACCCTCGTTTTTGAGGGCCACAGCAGTCGACAGTAAGGAGCCGTCAAAATGCTGCAGGGCCACATACCAGAAGAGTATTGTGGTAGGACATGCCATCATAATCACGAGAGATAACGCGCCATGAAGTCGAGGGACTTCAGTTCGCCTGCCCCATGACGGGATGACGTCCTTTGGAATCAACTGGAGTTTGTAGTTCTTCTGATCCGCTTGACAAGGAACTGCAGCTGAAATGACTTCCTCCATCTTTTCATAGAAGTTGAGAACACGCAGCAAGAGTAGATAGAAAAGTTGGAACGAGAGACTTTGAATTAATGGAGCAGAGTCTGCAGGAAGTGTAACATCCAGCCAGGCTATCTTGAAGAGATGAAGTGTTGCTAAACTTTACAGTTACAGTTCAAAGAGGAGCGAATCGCTTAGGTAACCTGATTCGTCCACTATAAATACTGAGATTTAACTTGGTGAGACAGTCATAGACATGTCTTGTGCATTCCGAAGGTAGAGAGCACAACAGATAAACAGATTGATCCCATTACACTGGGTGAAGTAGATCTGCAGGTTCCAGGGGTGGGGGGCTGGGAGATATATAGCTCTCAAGCCTTTGCACCTTGCATCAGAAATGGAGCGTTTGCACCAAATATTTGGTAGCATGCTATTAGACTTTGGGCCTCTGGCAGGCTCCACGGCTTTCTGAAATTTTGAACAGATCAACCCCAAATCTGTTGATACAGATTGGCGGTAAGCCCTGTTGCTTAAATTGCGCCATGAATACCAAGCCAAAGAGTAAAAAAAGGGACTAAACTTCGAAATCTATGGTGTGACTAACTATGGAGAGCAGATAAGGCTAGAGTTCAAAGCAAACAAAGATCAAGTTATACATGGTATCTATAACTTTGCAGGCGGTGGGTCCTTCAACCCTTGGGAAGAAAAAAAAACCAGACCCCGCTGCAATGAATACTTGCAGAATTCAACTGTTGATGTCAAACGTTGAGGTTGAGGTTTGAGCTCGCGGCCAGGCCGCATCAACCAGGTTGGGACGCTTGTGGGATGTCACATGACACTCTAAGGCATCGAGCTTCGAACCACAGCGACATGATTTGCGGGCATCCTAACCCCTATATAAACTAATTCTAAGCTAGTTAACCCAATCCCAGCCCCTTGACCTCCCTCCAGCCTTGGTGTTGAGGGACGGGAGGTTGAAGAGAGATGTATTAGTAATATTGTAATATGTGTGGTTGTATCTATCTGGCCAGTTAAGATATTTTTGTGTGTGTGTGCACGTGTGTGTGTGCGTGTGCGTGCGTGCGTGTGTTGTGTTTGTTTATGTCACCCAGTTGATGATCACATGGTTTTAAAACCACGTTCAACTCTTTTAAAACCACGTTCGACTTTTTTTAAAACCATGTTCAACTGTAATTAACATATTTTGTGGGTCAACTCGGCACATCTTCCTACGTACAGATTTATGACTACCTGCCAGCAATGACGGTATCTCGAGAATTCTTGAAGAGTAGTATACAAAGCGTCCATATGCACTGAATTTACATTCATTGGTTTACGTTTGGCGAACCACGTTCTCATTCCTCCAGTCGCATTATCCTCATTTCTGTCGGAAACTTGGGCAAAATGCATCCCTCAAGGAGAGCTTATGTGGAGGATGCTCCAGAGGTATGGTGATATATCACTTCATTTCTCCATTACCCCTTGCTTTATACACCCTCTGTTTGCATGACCATGTTCACAAAATATCTCTCCCAAAGGACCTGCTCGTCCAGCCCGTTTCCATTGTCCGACCTCAACTGATCAGCTCCCTGTCGTCTTGGAATAGGATACGGAAATGGGAGTTGACTTGAACAACATCCGTAAGTGATAAATCTCTAAAAGTGGATAACGATCATGTTCTCCTTCCCCCCCCCCCCCCATTTTCCCCGTTAAAGTGGTGTCCTAATAGTTTGCTTTTCCGGAAGCTTAGCCTTGGACCGAGACTATGATATGCCCTCTGCAACTGCGGGTATTGCTCCCGAAAAAGCCTCTGCCATTCTTTCCCAGTTCTCTCGTCGAAGAAGAGCTGCTGCGATTGCAGTCCCCACAGATGATGGTCGAGTTCGTGCTAGACTACGCGAGCTTGGACAACCCATAACCCTCTTCGCTGAAGATGCCACTGACCGACGAGATCGATTGCGTGAGCTCTTAACCGACCTTGAAGAGCGGAAGGAGGCAGCTGGAGCTGCTGGCGGTGAAGAAGGGGAGGATGAACTTATGAAAGAGGGTGAGGAGGAGGAGGAGGAGGAGGAAGGAGAAGGCGAGGAGGAATTCTATACTGAGGGTGGCCCGGAATTGCTGGAGGCGCGAAAAAAAATAGCTAGATTTTCGCTGCCACGGGCAAAAGCCAGGATTGAGCGGCAGAAAGAGGAATCAACCATCCCCCTACGGACACATATAAAGCATCGCAAGGCGATTAAAGAGAAATTGCAAAGTTTCGACCTATACGGATCCCAAATTGCCGGCGAGCGGCCAGTGAGCATCGTCCGTTTTGCTCCCAATGGTCAAACTCTAGCTGCAGGAAACTGGGGCGGGGGGATTAAACTTCTCAATGTACCAAGTTTGGATGAGAAAACCACGCTACGAGGCCATTCCGACCGTGTTGGAGGTATTTCTTGGTTTCCAGGCGCTACAAAGCCCGAATCGAATGTATCTGAGTCGTCCATCAACCTTGCATCTGGTGGCGGCGAAGGGAACGTCAATCTTTGGTCTCTCACACAGGATACACCAGTAACGACACTGTCGGGTCACTCCGGACGCGTCTGCCGTGTCGAATTCCACCCCTCAGGAGACTACTTGGCGTCCGCTTCCTACGACACTACATGGCGACTGTGGGATGTTACAACGAGCACAGAGCTCCTTTTGCAGGAGGGCCATTCTCGAGAAGTATATTCATTAGCGTTTAATCCGGATGGCTCCCTTCTTGCCAGTGGCGGTCTCGATAGCTATGGACGTATCTGGGATCTACGCACTGGTCGAACGGTCATGATTCTGGAGGGACATATACGAGAAATATACGGTTTGGACTGGGGTGTTGACGGATATCGCGTGCTCTCTGGATCCGGCGATGGCTGGGTTAAATGCTGGGATATCAGACAAGTGCGATGTATCGGCGGGGTAGGAGCTCATCGAGGTGTTGTCTCAGACCTCAGGTGGTACAAAGGAACTGAAACGTCGTCTTCATATCTCCCGTCCGTCCCGTTGCAAGACCAGAATGGCGACGGAATGACTAGTCCTTCCACGCCACCTGTGGACCAATTAACCTCGTCGTCCCAATCCTTGCAGCCAAAGAAGTCGGGCACTTTCTTCGTCTCCAGTGGCTTCGACAAGAATGTCAATGTCTTCAGTGCTGATGACTGGGCACTCGTCAAGTCGCTGAGCGGTCATGCTGGAAACGTTCTCAGTGCTGATGTAAGCGATGATGTGAAATGGATTGCTAGCTGTGGTCACGACCGTACGGTGAAACTCTGGGGCATCGAAGGATGACTGATGATGGCAGAGCGAGCCGACCCTGAGTAGTAGTTTGTCAGGTTGTTCAGTTCGTGAAGCCTGTTTAGTCGGCACGCAACAAAAATATGGGCAATCTCGAACAAATCGAACTGCTCATTATTCACTGCGCCTAAAAATTTCGAGCTGCTCAGCCTCGCTGAAGTCTGGTCGTCCGTCACCATGCTATATCCTCGTTCACAGTCGTTTGGGAGATGATTCAAGGTATTATCAATGTGTGGAAGCCTGTTTTCATCCCTACACTTCTCCCATCGTCGACCCTCCCTCAATAAATATACAATTGTCACTAGCGCCTCTTGCAGATATCCTATGCCCAAAGGAAGCTGAAGAAATCAAACCACAGACATCCTAGTGGAAACACCAGCCGACATTGCCCTGCCCACCGTAGTTGACCTACTGTTGCAACTTATTTTGCGAGCGATCAAGGGGTCATAGGATGGGTGGGCGCTGAGTCAGAATAAGCTTTCATAAATCTTGTGCACACACACATTGCGGATGACGAATGAACTAATGAACCGCTTGGAACAATTTAAACGGTAATTCTCTTTTTCTCTGACGATACAAATAGAGGTTTTAAAAAAAGCAAGTAAACACTGAATAATATTTTCAAAGGCCATTTTGATGCAGAAAGGGTATCTGTAGAAGGGCATGAACCATAGAAATCACAAGCAGAATCCTAAAATAAAACACTTAATTGAACCTAAACATTGCGAGTGTCCGTCGTAGATATAAACCCACAAGAAATGAAAAACAAAAACCCCCAAAATAAAACTGACAAGCAACAACCCCAGCGACTTAGGGTTGATATGCCGGTAGCTCTAGGTCGGGCTTCTGGTTCCCTTTCGAATCAACAAAGTCATATTCCGGCGCATGATCCCAAGACCTTCCCACAACACCAGAACACATCCGCATCTCCTCCTCCTCCTCCTCCTCCTCCTCCTCCACCACCACCGCCACCACGTCTTCCTCAATGGGCGCCGGTCCGAGAGGCTCTTGCGAATAACTCGACGACATGACATCAAACCACATTCTACTCGCGTGGATACTCTTCGTGCATTCAGCACACTCCACCATAATTTTTAGGTGCAAGCTATAGCTGCGCCGAATGATATCGCTCACGAAGCTAGGCGCCAGTGATTGGAGGCAGGGGTTGTTCAGAGGCCACCCCAGGTGGCAAGGCTGGCTTTCCAGAGGGATGTCAAGGTTGGTGCGGTGGGCTACGATGAGCTTTTCATCCTTGTTGCCATCGTGCGTTCCTCCCCATGTCGAGATGCCGCAGAACGATGTGTGCGTCCTGAGGGTTAGAGATAGGTGGCGGAGGCGGATTATGGGGATGATTTCGGTAGTGGAGAGTTCAGGGAGGTGTGTGGCACTGACCAGCAGTGGAATTGATTGGCCTAGGACCACCTTGTCGGGTAGTTTGGTGATGATTCTGAAGGCTGAGCTGGGGAGTTTGGTTTTGGATGAGAAGATGGAGGTTACCTTTTCTTTCATGGTTGGTTCGTAGTTTTCGTATTCCGGAAGGATTTTCTTGCTGAAGACGGTCCAAGTGGATGGTGCGGGTGAAAAGTTTGTTGCTGGCGATGCTTCTGAGCGGTGGGGTGTAAAATTTAGTGATTTTTGCGCACGCACAGTTCCAGATGATAAACTGAAGGACGACGGGCGTTGAAGCTCTGCGGATAGCTGATATTGTATACGGCAGTGCGTTTCGTTCGAGGTAAGATAAACAGACTCGTAGCTAAAGGTTGGTGGAAGCGGATATCCATCCATGCGTCGCAAAAAGTTACCCTGAGTGACGTCGGATTGTTTGTTGACTGGTGTGTCCGGGAAGACGAATTGGAAAGGCCATTCGAGACGTTTGGAGGCAGAGAAGGTATAGTTCCCACGGAACAACTGTTGAAAATACGAGAAAAATTGGACGCGTCCCGTATATGGGCCTCCGTCTGAGGTTCTAAACCGAGTCTTTGCTTTCCCCAAAAACGAAATGGTTACAGACGACACCGCCTCGTCTTGGGCTGAATTCAACACGACTTTGCCCTGGATAATGGACCCTGGTGACCACACTGTTTGCGGATTATCAAGTACAATAAGGAAAGGCATGGCCCTGGGAAGGCAACGGAAAGTCCCCAGAGGAGGGCATAAAATAGATGACAAAATAGCGGGAATTTATTAGCCACTCTGGGGCAAGGCAACTAGTAATGCCATCCAGCGGTTAAACACCTGGGTTTCCCTTGATGCACTGAGAAACCCCAGGCGGCTTTTGCCATACCGAGCCACTCGAAAATCGCTTCAGTGGAGTGACAATCAGAGAGCAAGCAACGCAGGTTCTGTGTCGTTGACAGTCCCTCAAAGTAAGAGGATAGTATTTCCTGGCACAGGAGAAAAGAGAATGGATTGGAAAGCAGATCGTATGTAGGAAGTGGGGATGAGTACATTTGACAAGTCTCCTTCGACAGGGCAGTCCTTCGGCTGACCCGGCACAACCACTTCGCAGCCGACACAAAAGTCAAACTAATATTGATTGGCATTATCAATAAGTCTTAACCATGCGTGTCAATATAATGACAAGAAGAATATCCAAAACACTCATGGTGTCATCGTGTCATGGTAAGGCAGGCGACTGACATTTATCTGCCCCGCACGGGTGAACGGGGTATCTCGAGAAAAGCTCACCGCCAAATGATGTCTGAGTTTACCCTGAATGCCTCCCGAAGACTGGCCCGGTTCTCTTGCATGTTGGCCCAGTATGTACTACATAGCTCGCGACTAATCCGTGAAGCTAGGCCCTGGAGGGGGGGAAAGTCAGGAGACTACAAGTGAGGCATTGTGAGGATTGCAGGGAAATCCTGGAGAAGTTTCAATCCAATGAGCCAAACATGCAGAACCCCCCCCCCCCCCCCCCGTTGGTGGAGACACTCGAACTTGGTTGGCATGCTTATCCCTAGAAATGCTTTAAATACTTTGTCCAGGGGTGGAATGCGTGGAAATGAGGCACGGTTTTGGTTGATGAGTGAAGGTTAAAATAACCTTCGAAGGTTTCAGGCCATCAATTTTATCAGACCAGTGTGCCAAGCGATGAAAACCACAGGTCTGCCACAGTTTCGGGGAATGCTTAACCAGTAAATATAGATAGAGATAACTAGTTAGTTGTATACAATCTATACTCTGTACGCTGTAAGCTGTGAGCTGTTGATATATCAACATTATGTACAAAAGATCCAAATTGGAACAAATCACAGTATCCATAAGACTAGAATTCATCAATGTGGCTCGATGCAAAAAACAATCTATCCAATCTATCCAACAACTCCCCCACAAACCGTGCAACCTAAACAATAAAAGGAAATGTGAAGGAATAAGAATGAGGGGGAAAACAGGCGAAAAAAAAAAGAATATATATATATATAAATAAATAAATAAATAAATAAATAAATAAATAAATAAATAAATAAATAAATAAATAAAAATAAAAATAAAATAAAAAAATGGACGATGCAAATCATCAGGCCAACCACCCATCTTCAGCGACACAATTCTGACAACCAATGCTGATCCTCGCCCCTCCGCTCACCTCCACCCAATCCTCCGTCTGATGCGGCAACACCCCGCGAACCCGCATCTCAGTCCTTGCCGCTTCAAACCAAATCTCCCGTATAGGAGGCGGTTTCACGCTCTCCTCCCCATCCCCATACACCATGCAAGCCCGCACATCGTTCCTGCTCGCGTCCCAATCCGCCTGCATGTTGCGCATAAACTCCTTGCGCATGGTCCGTTGGTTATTGCCCCCGCCCTTTTCCGCGGCGAAAAATTCAGCAATACGGCCCAGGCCGGACGTGGTAAGCAGCATGCTGATCCAGGGGTCGCACGATGTGTGGAAGGGTGGTTCGGGAGAGAGAGTAAAGCGCAGATAGGAGACCAAAAGGTGGGTGCAGTGGTGGGTGGAGATCAAGGTGCGGGTGTTGGTGAAGGGAGGGGTTCTGACGATTTCAGCTTGCAGTTTGCGGAACATGCGAGAGCGGTCGGGAGGTTGGATTGGGACAGGGAGTCGGCCAGCTAGGTATGTGGCGTAGAGATCGGATTGCAGGTCGAGGCGGGCGCGGGCGTAGGTTTCTAGGAAGAAGAGGGTGTAGAACCTGGGAGCAATTGTCAATATGGAGATAACTTGATCGATGGATTATGGGGGTAGCATCGAGGTGTAAGTATATATTTACACACATGAGAGGGGTGAGCTTGAACTGCAGCTGAGCTACCCGACACTCATGAGAGGCCTGTAAATCCTTTTTGGAGGCAAACGGGGGATCGTTTTCCAGTGAAGTTTGCATATATCTGTCCAGCACTCTATCTGCAAGATAGTACGACAACTTCGAACACACCTCCTGGCGCTTCCGCAAACTCCAGAGATACCGAAAAGTATAGACGCCCTGGTCGCTATTTTCACGCCGGGGAGGGGGAAACAGATCAGAGAGAAGGATCACGTCATCCTCCGGCTCCCGTGTATATGTCCTTGATTCATCGATGGGAGACGGCAAACTTCCGTGTCTTCGAAGCCGTAGATATTTCCGCGAAATCGCTTCTTCGTGGGTATCAATGAGAGTGGTGAAGGCTCTGGACGTCAGCCGCAAGTGGACTATATCCTGCAGACGACAGTGGCTAAAAATATTGATCTGGATCTCGACCGGGAGCCAGCCCCAGAATGAAGGCCTGTTTACCTGATTATCACTGCTCTCATGGGTTACCTTTTGCTCAGTGAAGCCAAACCCCTCTAGTCAGATAGAGCTATATGTTATCTTAAGAAATTTGGTCTGCCTTTCTTTATTGTTCTTCTCTTTTCCCCCCCCTCCCCCGCCTTCCCCCCCCCCCCTTCTCCCCCCCCTTCTCCCCCCCCTTCTCCCTCCCCTCTCCATGGCTTGTATATACATACTACATACCATTGATTTTTCTTCAGATATGTAGCTTTTGCTCTGTCAAACATTGCACGGAATTTCCGGGCCCGCACCTCCAGGTTGGGCGCCATCGCGGCGGGAGCGTGAGGAGGGGCGGTTTTCCGGCAGCGGAGAGAACAGCGGCTGGGCTAGGCTGGGGCGTGGGGAGACGACTCCCTGGAATGGTTCGCCAAACACTAGAAATTTAGATGGTAAAGCAGTTACCGCTCGCGGTGGTACAGATTACAGGTCCGTCTGGATCAGGCTCAGCCAGCGTCCCATGTGCATTTGCGCGCTCGGGACGGAGTAGCTTTGCTCCGGTATCCAATGTTTCATCTTTAATTTCTAGTGGTTTAACTACGCCGTCCAAACGTGCCTCTTCACGCGTTTTCCATGTTTAATTTTCTACGGAGTAGTTATTAATCATATTCCACATCCAGCTGCATGGATCTGGTCAACCCCAAATCTAACCAAAACTGGAGCACACTAAGGAGGATGAGCTCTAGTTATTTGGCTGTGAGGAATTTAGGAACGAGACGATGTTGTATCCCAGGCCAAGTAGTTAAAATATCATCTGCCTCCACACCAACTACTCCATTCTCAATGATGACTTTCCGCCGGAAGACCCGCCTTAAGTAGATCATGAGAATCGCATTTTGACAACTTTTGGAGAATGGAATGAAACAGCTAAACCATATAAAAGGATCCAGACCATTCAACCGTGCGTCTGATGAGTGTGATCTCATAAATTGAGCAGCACGATGGTTGCAGGGAATTGTGATATGGGAAAGTGTATGAACAGGTGTCCGATTATGTTATAATCTGTATAGAACGATCCACATCATTTACAATAAAGTTTATATTAATGAACAAGGAAGAAAGGAACCGAAACTTGGAAAATAATCAGAGACAAAAAACCAACATCAGTGAGGAAATTGATCCGTAGCCATATATTAACAAAATTGTTCACAGAACCAAGATTTTGGAGTCAGGACAAACCTTCGAAGTCTTCGCAGATAATTACGTATATTAATGATATAGGCCTACGTCCACACGGATACACATACTGGCCCCCCCCCCCCCCCCCCCCCCCACCCCATGCAGCATGCAGGTGCAGAAATAGCTTACAAAAGCTTGGAGGACACGGGGAGTTGTGTGTAGTGCGATCTGTCGGAGATCACAGATACCGAGTCAGGCTCCGATTCAGGAGATGTCCATCCCGCGACTGCATTCTTGTAGGTTGGCGGTGGAGTAGAGTCTCCTTGTTGAACATCTCTTTCAGTCAGTACAAGCCCAGCTGATCAGTGATCCAGTCATTCTCACTGACTTCAATCACCCAGTTGTGTGGTGGCCCTTCTGTCTCATACCAGCAAAATTGATGCATCTTTTCTTTGAGAATAATCATTGTATATAAGGCTCAGTCAGTTGCATTGACTCCAGCAATAACAGTCACTCATTTCTGATCTTCAGGCTGTACAAGCTTGAGATTCTCAGCTCTTTCAGATTCAGTCATCACTCTGACAGTCTCAATTACACTCATCTGAAACCCTATCTTATCAAAATTGTAGATATCATCTTCCAGGATCTCATACTTCACAATAGTGTTTTGTACAAGCCTAAATCACTCACAGATAACCTTAGAATCCTCACATAGAGCCCACTGATGATCATACTTGCATGAGAACTTGAATTTCAGCTCATCATGGCACTTGACAAAGTTTCATACCTAGCATTCACTCACTGTGGATGGGGGGTTGGATTCTTGACTAGCAAGAAGAAGATTGGCCATTTCTCATACAGCTGCAACTCAGGGAGGCTGACCTCACTCATCCATGGCCAGAATTCATTGAACAAGAGATTCTTCCTCTGTAAGACTAAGTTTCTGGTTCTTTGGAGGAGTGTCAACATGTATTGTACAACCATGTATGCAATGAGTTAAAGTTGCATAAGAGACTTCATATAGCTTTGCTGCAGCTCATACACTTGAAATTTGATCATTTTTAAGTGTTTGAATGGCTAAAAGAAGCCTTCCTTCCTGAGTAGAGGCTTTATTTCTTTGTGTGGTTGACATTTTTGATGCAGAGCATTTCTCATTATATGAAGGGTGGGAAGTGGTTCACTCACTTATTGATTACGTTAGTTCTTGGTTCTGATTATATAAGCCTAGTTACTAAAATTAACTAACTTTAGTTCTATGCAAAGTTCAAGTCCAAGTTTTCATAAGTGACGCAATACGACTGAATGCGACTCAATCGCAAAACCATTTATTTGCATGCCATACACTTCAGTAGGACACACCGAAGTTTAATCAATCACTATCGGAGACTGAGTGACTGGCCGTGTCTGGGTTTTCCCCCTCGACCAGCCTGTCTGCGGGACCTGACGAATATGCCCAGGGCCTTCCCATCAACTGCTGCGCTGAGGCAAATAAGCCGATCTCCAACCCTCACCCGAACAAGCAATATTTCTCGCCCATCAGACAGATACAGAATATGCATATTATGCCAGCGTAGAACCTGTCATCTATCTCTCGCCAATCGAAATTATCATAATTCATGCAGTATATCAACTAGGTCCGGTTTCTCCGCCGTCAGCAACCCATCTCCGCTGCAGAATGGAGAGCAAAATAATTCGACAGACGATGCGGAATCACTCATAAACAAACCCCCAGATATCTCTACCCACTATACCATCTTTCCCGAAACCATCCCTGTTCCCCCACCAAGAGGTTCCTTCTCTATCTCCATTCCGGACCTTCGCCGCGAATTCCTCCGTCTCCAAGCCCGCGCCCATCCTGACAAGTATCCACCAGGACCAAAGAAGCAGCGCGCAGAGGCGCTCTCCTCTCGCATCAATGAAGCATACCGTGCCCTGTCAGATCCACTGTCGCGCGCACAATATATTCTCGCCTCTCAGCATGGGATCGACCTGGAGGCTGAGGACGGCGCCAAGGATCACCCGCAGGATATGGAGACGTTGATGCGGGTGCTCGAGGTTCAGGAAACCATTGAAGAAGCGCAGGATGAGCTGACGGTTGCGCAGTTAAAAGAGGAAAACGAGGAGAGGATTAATGGATGTGTGGCAGCGCTGGGGTCGGCGTTGGATCAGGGAAATATTGACGAGGCGAGGAAGGAGTGCGTTAGGTTGAGATTTTGGTATACCATTCGAGAAGGACTGAGGGAGTGGGAGCCCGGGAAAGGTGTTAGACTGATACATTAGATGGCTAATTTCCCTGGCCTATTATTCCATTCCTTTTATTCCTTTCCTTTATTTCCTTTCCTTTCCTTTTATTTTTATATTTATTTTATATTTTTATTTATTTTTATTTTTCCCCTTTCCATCCTTGGATGTCATTTCATTTCATCCGTGTACATCATGGGAACAAAAATGAGATGTCTTTGTCAATGCTTGTTTCTGATGTTTGTGGGTTTTTTATCGGATGTAGAAGAATTGCCAACACTGGTGAGGTACGCCTGGTTCTAGAATGTCCTTTATTGCGATATGTGACGTGATATGCCCTCTGATTGCTGAGAGTTTGGATTCCTTCAGAATGAGGTGTCGAATCAATGTGTTGCGCTTTTTCCAAATTCATCCTCTCATCCAGTTATATTTTTCAGCTGCAGCATGGCTTCCTATATGTAGGAACAGGCATCAGATCCAAAATATTGTGACACAAAACAATAGCTTATATTGAAATGTCTGGGAGGATGATGCCTCTTATTTGTAAGATATGCAACTGCTCGTCAAATCTCCTGAAGATATGGACCTGGTGTGCATAAAAAAAAATTTACTAAGTAAACAACTTTAGCTCCTTGTTAACTAACCAACCATTCTTCTATTTTTCCACCATGCAATCCGGCATCAATGACATGATGCAGCTTCACCTGCCCGCCAAGCAGAAAGAACAGTTGTCAGTCCAATCATTTGACATTGCTTTGTCAATTTCAGTTTGAAAGGCAGCTGTAAATAGTAACATTTGTAACCTTGAACATCACCTTCTGCAATGTGAAACTTTATGGATAAATGAGATGCTAACTCAACAGCTCTGTAACATATTCATTTTTAAAGAAAAAAAAAATAATAGATTTAATTCTTTATCATATCAACTGTAGTCTTCAGAATTTGATATTTTTGACTTGAAGCTTTAAGACTGTATTCTTTGCTCACAAATAAATAATCTTTCATATGTTTTTTTAGATCTAAAATGTTGATACTCTTCATCTGCTTCTTTTACTTTGACATTGTCGGACCATTAAATTAAGAAGTTTGACTTCTCCATGAGATGCTAATACTTTGGAGTTAATTCATTTAGTTGTTACAGATATAAACATCTTTTCTTTTCCTCTAAGAATCATTTGGCGACTTGTAAATTCCTCACAAAAATTTATTAATAAATTAGAAAATTTTAACATTAAAATTATAAGGTAGAAACAATGGACTCATATTTATTATTTTTACGGGCATCTGGATGACTGCGTTCTGCGCGTTGTCCAGCAGGAAGAGCCCAAGCAAAGCCAACCTCAAGCGACTCACCGGGGTAGTCAGCCTCCGATAATACCCGTGCGACAAACCATGGAGAAGCACATGCTTTGACGACACTAACAATGAAATCTGCAAAAGAGGTATCATTGATGCTGTACTCCGTATGTTGCAAGAAAATGATGTTGACATTGTGCAGCCTGCCTCGTAGTCCTCACAGGGATTTCCCCTCAGTGGACAATGCCTGATAACCCCGTATTACCTTGGCTATGTGCTATTTTACCCAGACTTGAATTCCTTACCCACGAAACTTGCTAAATATGCTAAAGCGTAGATAGTAATATCTTGAAATCCAGCCCTGGACACTACAATACAATACAAATATAATAATAATAAACAAAAAAGAAAGTGTGTGCAAACATTCCACACATGTTGTTTTTGGTGTATCAAAATGTCAAGAACAAGAGGGAAAAAGCAGGAAGCAGAGCGCTATGAAATCAATATGAAAGTGGTGAACTAAAAAATGCAGCTGCCAACAAATCATACATATCCTTCCATTATGATTGCTAGACGTTTTGTTGGGTGGTTTTCTTGATCAGGTACGTAATAGATACATGAATGTTTAGAAGTCCAAAAAAAAGAAAAGAAAAGAAAGAAAGAAAGAAAAATTGGCAGAAGGAATGTAACAACCTCCCAGCACCCATTCATTGTGTAGATTTATTGTCCATGATTATGCACGCACACACACACACACACACACACACACCGTAACATCCATTCGCACGTCTATCAAGCATCATCTTCAATGTAATCTTCTACCGTAGTTGCACGAGACTTGCCCTTCGACAACAACCGGTCGGATGACTCATGATCGTCGTCCTTATTATCCTCAATACCTGCGTCAGACGTCGTTTTGTCAGCTGCAGTTGCAGATGTATTAATTGCCGCATTTGATGCAGCAGGAGCCCAGTCTGGGGGGGCAGGCATGGATTCTTCAGAAGGGTGACTATTGGCCGAACTGGGTTGTACTGGCACGTTGTTGGTTCCGCTATTCGGTGTGGAAAATGAGAACTGGGGATGTATGGAAGCGGTATCAAAGAGAGGACGCTGATGATTTGAGGGAGGGGGGTTAGATGGCGCACTCCAATCGGCTGTTTCTGGATTGGACGGTTGGAAGATATTTGGCATTGAAGATGCTTGATGATTGGCTGTAGGGGTTGAGGCAGTCTGTGAGGATGGGGGATTGGTGGCTTGAAGGGTTGAGGTTTGTGTGGACGGTTGTCCGGAATTATTGACCTGCTGTAAAGGTAATAATGTCCAACCTTGCGGCAGAGTTAGTCCTTCAGGAAGACGATTGTCCCCTGAACTTAGTGCGGGGACTTGTGGATTGGATGTGAACTGTCTTTGGCTGCCAGTGTACGGAATATGTGATGATGCTAGAGCAGTAGGAGTAGTGGTTGGAAGGGATGGAATGGCTGCGGGAGGTGGTTGGCCAGGAATGGGTCTGTTTGCGCTTGTTGTGTTGGCTTGAACTGCGCGAAGTCTGGCCAATTCAATTTGTAATAAGCGGACGACCTGTAGTTGTTCAGCCGCAGTCCGCAGAGCATTTATTTCTTGGGAAATTTGTTGCTCGATTTGATGAAGTTGAGCCTGTGTATAGTGAATGTTGAATTGGGTAGTTGTGGTGGTTTGCTGTGGAATTTGGTGAAGGGGCTGCTGAAGGCCTTGCTGAAGGAGGGGCGGTTGTTGAATTGGGGGGCGCCCGAAGCCAAATCCGAAACCAATCTGTTGCGGTACAGCGAGTCCCGCGATTTGATTAGCAGCTGGTGGGGGAAGAGGTACGTCTCCATTGTGGATCTGTTGCGCTAGGTTCTGGAATAGGTCCCCACGACCAGCACCGAATCCGATGCGAATGGGGCCGAAGTTGAAGACCCACGCTCTTGGTCGAGCTTCCCCGGGCTGGCCATTGGCTCCAGGAGCTTGGGCTGGAGGCACGCCTCCAACGTTACCCCTGCCACCAGGAACTGCAGGAGGAGCAGCAGGAGCTCCAAAAATACCGGTTTGGACTACCGGGGCAACAGGCCGTCTACAAGTTGGGCAATTTTGTTGACGTTCCAGCCAGCTGCGAAGGCATGCGAAGTGGAGAATATGGCCGCAAGGAAGTTTCTTCGGTCGCAATCGGTCTGAAACTGGCGGTCTGGCTGCAGCTCCATTGCCATTTGGGACACCAACTGGGGGCCAAGGCTCCATTTCTTCGCGACAGATGATACACACATCCGCATCCGTCATTTCCTCAACAGTGGCATCTGGGTAACGCTCATTCATATCTCTCGTAGCATTGCGGTAGCGAAGGAAGTCAACAACACGTTTCCCAAATGACCTCATTGTAAGCACAACGTCCCGAAGAATGTGGATTGGTAAACCGTAGAAACTGAAAAGGATTGCAAAGAAGGATATGTAGACGACAAGTTTCAGGAAGTCTGGATTTTCGATCAGCTTTCGAAAGATTGCTAACGGAGAAAGGGAGACTTGATGCTCACTCACCAGTTACAAGATCAAGGTAAAATACCCATCGACCTTTTTCTTCCCAGCCAGGAACATCGAGTTCCATTTCGTCAATATCATCTTCGTTTGGTAAATTGTTCAAGGCTTCCTCAGACCTGGAATCCGATCGCTGCTGAATAGCTTCCTCTCGAGCTACTCTTATCTCTGCTATTCGTTCCTCCATCTTAGCCCGTCGTTGTTGTCTAGTTATATAAATATCCCACAGGGAGATGGCATATCTCGCTGCAGTCGAAGTCGACAGGATTGATAGGATGGCAAACTCGAATCCAAACATCACCATCATATCCGGACGAGCCTGGAGCAGAACGGTTTTCACGGCATATTCGAGTAAAAGGCCGTTGAATGTCACGGACAAAATAAGGGACAGAGTCAGCCGTGTGTGAAAAAGGCGGGGGTTTTGCGGCGGCTGTTGTTCCAGTATTTCAACACGACCCTCCCCAATCCATCCCCAAACCTTCCCAATGAGAAGGCAGACAAACATTGCCAAGAACCAGGCACCCAGGTCGCCGCGAAATGTAGTCATCGCAAGGCATGTTTCCATTACCGCGAACCAAGCTTTCTCATACAGCTGTTCCGTTTCGATGGGGCGGAGGGGTCCGTACAGCAACCTCTGTAATCCATATAGTACGAATCCAACGACCATTAGACAAAGGTTCGTTAGAATCTAAGTGCCAGTCAATGTCAGCCGTTGATCCAATCTTCAGAGTCCCGTCGGCAACGTTTACGTACCATAAGGTTCGCATTGCTCTGGGACAGATAAACGCAAGCGGAATAGAAGTTTGCTCGCTGGTGCAAAGCTTTAAGGATGACACCGGCAGCCAGGGCCGTCGAGACCTAAAACTCATTTAGAATCGGCTTTGTGGATTTCAGGACACAAGAATATATCATACCCCAGCATAAGCTGCTAATCTCATGGCAGAAGGGCTCAAGTTCACTCGGTCCCAGCTGGCTTATACCAAGGAAAAGAAAGGGATACCAAGGAAACAGAGACTTATTGAAACATAGTTAAAGAGAAGAGTGAAACCAAACCCAGTGGGTTTTCCCGTTGTCTACGGTTAGTTGATTCGAATATGGTTGCGCAGAAGATCAAGACTGACTATGCCAGCTATCATCAGTTAAATGTCCCAAAGAGTCGAAATGGAGAACAGCGGAAGGGAAGACGTGGGGCCAATCAGAGAGCTGAATTTGGACATAATGACTAAGCTCTAGGTCACGTGGTGATAAAACAAGTCGCCAATTGAGCTTCCGAATACCAACGCTCCCTTTTTTTTCCGAATACTGGAAGAAGAGTAAAACTACAGAAATATACGGAGTATCTTCTCTTTGCTATTACTTCTCAAAACAGACTCTGTAGATCTATAAATAATCGGAAATGGGATCAGAGCACTATCACGTGATGTGATCCATTCTTAGATGCGCTAAACTGTAAACAGATAGCGCCAAACCTTCCAGAACTCCACGTCAACGCTTACATAACTATTATCAATCTCAATCTGATAACTAAACTGAGTTAGTTTCATCAGGCTTATGCCGTTCGCATCGTTCCAACGTACAAATGCTGAGGTGTCAATTACAATATTCAATCGCTCCAGTATGGTTGAGGTAATAATTAGAATTCTCTTTCCAGGTTATTCCGGTGCTTGTTTACTGCTCTAGTTGAATTGCAATGTTAACTGAAACATTGCAGGAGCGTAACAAGCTTCCACGCAACCAAACGTCATGATGTTTACCGCGACCAAATTGCAAACCGCATCCTATCTTCTGGGTGTTTGCCTCTTCTCAATCTCCTTCCTCGTCTTTCTAAACTCCTCAATATCCTTTGTGGTCACAGACCTAATCAATCTCCCAAGCGGGGAGGGAGATGCTGTTGGTACTCTCGGGTTTGCGGACGAGCTATTTGCTCTCATAGCGTGCCCGGTATGGGGAATACTGTCGGATCGGATAGGCGTCAGATATGTGAGTTCAAGCCTTCCCGGATCGCTATCTCAATGAGTTTACTTACATATGTGTCAAGGTATGCTCGGTTGGGTACGCGATCATTGCGCTGGCATTGGCCCTCATCGTGCAAGCACGAAATGTCTATCCGCAGCTCCTCCTAGGCCGACTCCTGTTTAGCCTTGGTGGATCAGCGGTAACCACTATGGTAACTGCTGTCCTTCCAGCTATAACAGCAAACCATGGCTTCTTGAGTAAAGTCTCCTCAATGAACCATAACTCCGGAGAACCTACACCCAGTCCTCCTCGACCTGGTGAATCTGAGAGATGTAGTGGCCATGCACCCAGATCATCTCACTCTTCAGAGTTGACGATAACTCCTGCCCTTTATCAGATGGGTTTACGAAATTCAGAAGTAGTCGAAAAAGCACCAGAGAGGAGCTCAACCTCACATTTAGCTGGTATTGTCGGCATGCTTACGGGCTGCGGTGCCGTTGTCGCGTTGTTGATTTTTCTACCTCTTCCAGCATGGTTTGAAAAGTCTGGGCAATCTCCGGTTCAATCAATCAGATTAAGCTATTACATAGTTGCTGTGCTTGCATTTATAGTTTCGTTAGCCTGTCTTATTGGCCTACGACATTTGCCTGATGATCGGTACACGGGCTGGAGGTCACTATTCAGATCGCCTAAGGCTCATCCATCGGACGAATCAGAGCCTACTACAACTTCCAGATCATTCTTATTATCTTTTTTTCCAAAAGCATACCTATCACTGTTCAGCGCAGCATTCCTCCTTGGATTCAAGCAGCCAGGTATCGGACTAGCTTATTTGGGTGGATTTGTTGCTCGGGCCTCTACCGTTGCCATTTCTCTATTCATTCCCCTGTATGTTAATCAGCATTACAAACATTCTGGCCTCTGCCATGGGGGGAAAGATAATGTCCAAATTCATATATTGGAGACAGATCAGGGCGGAATAAGAAAGTCATGTCCCAAGGCCTACATTGTGGCCTCAATTCTTACTGGTGTTGCACAACTTATCGCTTTGTGCTGCGCACCAATCTTTGGTTATTTCTCAGCAAAATCGACTCGACACAACATTCCCTTACTCTCCGCCGCTTTGATTGGAATTATTGGCTATATTTTTCTAACCCTCCTACCAACCCCTCAGATACATGGCCCTGAAGGAAGCCCAGTCATCTTCATTTCCATGGCGTTCATTGGGATTAGCCAGATTGGTTCGATCGTCTGCAGCCTTGCAGGTCTCAGCATCAGCGTCATTGAATCCAGTCAACTCCGAGATGCGTCGTTAGAACATGGCTCGGAAGGACGGCAAGTTCATTCGACGGGCCAGACAGATTCAGATGGGCCACTAGGCGCCAGGACTTCAGTTACAAATGAACAATCTACTCTTCTTCCAAAGCCGATGTCGCCGTCTGCAAACGCCAACAACCTAGTCCATCTCAAGGGGTCTGTGGCTGGGATGTATTCCCTATACGGAGGCGCAGGCATTCTGATCCTCACGAAAGTTGGGGGTCTCCTCTCAGACAAAGTTTCCCCCAAATCGCCGTTCTACATTCTCGCTGGCTTCAACGGAGTGCTCTTGATAGCCGGTATCGTAATTGGTGCGTGGCAGAAGTGGAATTCTCTCAAGGGCCTCTAGTGAGTGACCTGCCTTCCCCAGCCCTCCTTCGGCGACAACGGTTAAATCTCATCTTATTCGAACGTTCCTTTTTGACAGCTCTTATCACATACATAGGAAACTGTATTCATCTGCTCAACAGATTAAAGGAAAGGGATTAAATGTATTTTTCTACACCATTATGCATGTTCCTAACGAAGGACAGAAAATGAGAGTGCAACTCTCTGTATGCCTGCCATCTTTTATTGCTTAATTAGTTGCATACAAAGTTAAAAAAAAAGTTTTATCTAAACGGCTAGATTACTCAGGGGTAGGGTTGAGTTTGATTTACGAGAAAATCACTAAGAAGATAGTAGGTAGAGTGGAGAAAGTTCCTATAGAATTTAAAGGAAAAATTATCAAAGCCATATAACAACATCGACGAAAAAGACTACGCGCGGAGAGCATTGCTCATTGCTCCAAATCTAATTATAGAAGAGCATCCCAAATAGACACTTTTCATTTCATCGCCATGCCAGCATCCTACCCCAGACTAGAGCTGTTTCATACAACATTCAAACCCACCTTTCTCCTGACTACGGAATGTATCTATTCAAGACAGCATTCGCCAATAAAACAATTCATGGAAACCCATCAAAAAAAAATACTTAACCTGTTGGATTTGGAACTTGATACATGAGTACAAATAGATGTAAGCGGCAATTTGCTGGAATTGATGCTCGTTTCTCTCGCAATGCTTTTCCTCTTGGTGGTTGATTGAAGTTAGGTTTATTGTGGAGCGAGGGATACGGAATCGAACTCTTCTCTCAAAAAAAATGGTTGTGGAAAATTTGTTGGCTTTGTCATGGACGTGGCGAAATGTCATGTACATTACCTACACATTCCGATTCATGTTGGTGCAAATGAGGGTGTGCATATGTACTGATATGCATATCATACATGAACGGGACATGGACATACATTGGAAACAGGTGTCCTCATTACTAAAATATACATGCAGAACGGTGATGCACTAACCTCTTTACACAGAAAGATCCCGTAATATGTGTGATAATCTTGCAGAAAACGCCCTAGCAGAGAGCCCCAACGGTTTGTGGTTTGATGGCCCTGGGCAGGGATACAGAACCTATGCATCATAATTCATACGAAGATGCCAGATCCGGATGCACAAAACTGTTATACAATGACATCAGCTCGGATGAATACCACAGCAGTCATAAAGAGAAGATCGGTCACATATTAGAAAAGTACCAAACCTGTTTTCAAGCATAGTTACCGAGACACGAAGAGAAAAAAAAATCCAATAAAGGAGGGTCGACGAGCTTCAGAACGGATAACTTTACAAACATTGACTGAAGCTCTCCGTGTGTTGTTATGACTGTTACTATCAATGGATGTTGCCACTTCTTGGCCCCGTACCAGTCCTTCACCCCAGGGAATCCCTTGCAGGAAGTTGTGCAAGCCTCCCGTTCTCCCAAGTCGAAAGCCAACACAGGTGTGACAAGAAAATCGAAAGCGGCGCGAGAGCCTAGAGGAGAAAAGGGTCTCCAAGCGCGGGCGATGACCTCTCCTTCGGCTCTGCCTTCTCGAAGTTTTTGTGTGGCTTTAGCTTGGGCTGTCTGGGCCGCTATAAGCATGATCGTGTTCGGGTGATGTCGTACATGTATGTAGGACAAGGACATGCCGCCTGCGTGCAGAAGGTCTGAAGAGGAGGCGGACACCGGGAACTGGCTAACCATGGATTATGTTTTAATAGTTGTATTTTTTTTTGATCTTTTCAAAACGAATTCTTCCGCTGTAGCAGCGGCCTGCTGTCAATGAGATGATGCAGCTATAATAAGCATTCTGTTCATAATTTCACTTTCACTCTCATATTCTGGTTCCCGTGTTTTCCCCTTTTGATCAATGAGAACTGTGTTTTGGTTGAGGTGGGAATAAAATGCATTCAAATGTAACTCATCTCTGCTACTATTAGTGTGAAATCTAACATAGCTTGGATCTTCAGTGACGTTGAATCCTGGCGGCTTGACATCACCAAACTTGATCGCCCAGCAATACGAACAGGCTAACAATGGTTGACATCAAAAACGGCTGTCCCGCGGGAGACGAATGAAGTTGAAATAACATAGCCAAGTGCACTCTGAGCTCATGCATGACGAGTTAAGTTAACTCACTAGGTAAGCGAATGTTATTTTAATTTTAGCGTGTAGTGTGATATGGCGGATGTTGATCGGGTAGCTCCAGGAGTGGACGAGACGAAGTGATCTAGTTTAAAACGAGAATACAAAGTTGATAATTCCAAGGCCCCGCCACCGATGCATGAAAAAAGCAATATACGTGGAAAAAGAAAAGAGAAGAATAGAAAAAGGTTAGGAAACCGCGGGAGTTAATTAATCACTCCAGCTGTGATTTAATGCAAGCATGGCATATTGCAACAAGCAAACTAAGGTTGGAGAGCTAATCAATGTTTTGGAAAGTAAGTTTGATGTTAAGGAGCTAGCTCATCGGGCTACTTGAGACACTCTTAAATGAAGCTTTTCTGATTAACATGCAGAGCTAACACGTTCCAGAGTTCAAGAACGGCGTTTTGAAACACCCACTGTTGGTAGGGACAGTCGAAAGCGAGACATTGTCGGAGGAGACTCTGAGCAAAGAGCCATAGAGGAAGTTTGGGTTCGAAATGATCGGAAGCCGAAACGTGGCTTTTCATCGACCATGGAGAGCATGGAGGTTTTGGAAAGCAAAGATGTGAGAACACGATCGACACAGCCTGTGGCGTTCTGATCACGGAGTGCCAAGTTTGTCAAGATTTATGCGACCAGTCATATTGTCGGAATGTTCAGACACATTCATGCCATACCCCATTTTGACAAATCTGAAGAACATGTTTGCATTTTCTTGGAAGCTTAACTTTGTGTGGGGTGTCAAACCCCAATGCGACCCGCGATGCGAGTTCTGAAATTTCTCAAGGAAGGCAAGTGGGTCGCTGAAAGATCCATGCAAGCCTGAGTCATATAACCAAGAAAGCATTTTCATCGAAAATTCTAGAGCATCACGGACAGCGATGGCTGGTACTAACATGATATCGGACCAGCGAGAGAGCATAGCCATATGCAAGGAGCCGAATTATTCTGAGATATACTGAAAGGTTTGACGTTATGTAAGGGGGTTTGCATCAAACCGCCAAGTATTGCAGCAGGCCCCCTCGTTTTATGGCGAAGAAACAGTGCTAAGACTCCAACCCATGGTATGGACTGTTTGATTCACTTGCCAATTCCAAATCAGAATTAACCTCCATGAAAGTCTGAATACATTTACTTCAGGGATTATGGAAGTTCAACGGCTGTTCCATGCTTTCGAGAGAAGAGAAGATTGGGCCGCTGTATCAGCTGCAGGAGAACCACATGCCGGGGTAAAAAATATTTTTTAACGGTCGAAACGGCTCCAATTCTCCGAAATATGTCGTATAGAGGCTGAAATGATATAATGAAGTCACCATCACCATCATCATCAGAAAACGGAATGCATTTTCAACTTCATTGTCAAAATCGATTCCCACAACATTTCGTTATTGTTCTCAATCTCAATTCAAGTAAATCGAGAATCAATCCAGCTACCTATTGCTGGGTGGCTGACTCGAGAATTGTCACAGCCACTTTCGAGTAAGTCTGAATTGACGATCAAATATTCGTCCAAACGAGGTTGTATGTCTAATATATCAATATCAGGCTATTTCAATACAAACAATTGCCCCAAAGTGGTACCGAGTTTTTGTCAACAAGATACATTCCTGAGATGACACTCTATTCGAGACATTTTTAGCTGGCTTGACGACAATTTGTCCAGAGTATCCAAGATTCGTGCCGTGGTCGTCAACTAGAAACACTTCTCCGGAAGATTATCAACTGAGACTTATCGAAGTTCGCCCGTGTTGGAGAAGTTGGATTTATCTTCCCTGAGACGACAGCGACTCAGGAATAGGCCCCGGGTGGATCAGTTCCTTTTGGGAGTCAGCTTTGTAGGGGGTAAATAATACTTCTTCAAAAGAGCTAAGTGTACCAAATGGCTTTATCCCGGCGATTGACCTACTTAGATGGATTCACTGGCCACGACCAATTGCAAATATCTAGATGGGGACCCACGCCAAACATTTCGACGACACAAGGGAAATGGCACGTAAAGGTGCCGCCACAAATTCCTCAACGAGAAGATGACTTTGGCCCTCATCAACAATTCTTAATTCCAGCAAATAAACCTGAAATCTTCGATTCCAGCTCTGTGATGACCACAGGATTCAAAATCCTGGGGAGGAAATGTGATCCTGGGGAATCCATCGAACCACAAAATCAACGTCACTGGTTCTCTCACAATGTCGAGACTCGTTTGGGCGATCTTCAGGGGTCAGCGATCACTTCGGAGACAAACACCGGATGGGAAAGTTTAGCGGACTATAATCCAGGAACCCAACTGTCCTCATTCGGCCTTCCAGCAGTACTCCCGAAGAAATCGGGCTCCAACTATTCGAATGTACCGATAGCGGAGCAATCCCTAATGAAAACTCCCTTCCAATGGATAGCTCCAAACAATTCCGCCCATCCCGGTATGCGCACAACGGAGGTTCAACACCACAACCCAAGGTTAGGGCCCCAGAAGCAAACAATCACAAATTGCCACAATAGCTGGCAAGCGAATAAAAGAGCCAGGAGTGTCCCTGTCGAGGAGGGCCTCCATCAAAAAGGAGACATGCACTCGGAATGGAGTGAGCCCTTGGATGGAAGGGCATGCATGGTTCTCACTTGTGCAACAGACACGAAAGTCAGCTCAGCATGTTCTGCAGCGACTGAGTGGATAGAGCAAATTTGTAGTAGAGACATTGTCCCAAATTTCGACAAAGGGGCACAGAACTTCGTTCAACAACCACAGCGATGGACTGGTAATACAGACCACTGCTCATTTCGCCCTATGGCCACTCACAATAGTTTATCAATTGCACAAGAAGATTGGTGCGAGTGGCACACAGCTCCTCTCAACCATCAACGGAGCCCGGATTCTTCATTCTCATCATGTTTTACCCCAGACACCACGCATGAGGCCCTGAATTTCGATTCACCGAGTTTCCGTGACGTGAACGCACCCTTCGAATACTTTGATCTTAATTCGACTCAGGAAAAGCAACCTAGATGCCATGATCACTTTTCTGAAGTCGAGTCCTTTGAGACAGCCACAACAAAACAACTAGGGAAGCTCCGAAGGATGAAAACAAGTGAAAACCGAACGACAACAGCAAAAGTTGGTCCCCAGCGGAGCAGCGCAAAAGATGAATTTCTAGTCCAAGGCAAGCGTTCAGGGATGTCATATAAAGAAATCAAAGAAAAGGGAAATTTCTCTGAGGCCGAGTCCACGTTGAGGGGACGTTTCAGAACGCTCACCAAAAAGAAGGAGCAGCGAGTAAGGAAGCCAGGATGGCAGGAGAACGACGTGAGTAAATTCTCCTTCAAGGGCAAAGAGAACATTTCAACGCAATATCACTGACAAAGAAATGGTCCATTTGCAGTTACGCCTCCTTTGTGAAGCTGTCAGGAAGTATGCAACCCCTATAAGAAATATTCCAGGAGATGAGATCAGATCTCCCAAAATATCATGGAAGCAAGTAGGCGAACATATTTGGAGAAATGGAGGTTCGTACCATTTTGGCAATGCGACTTGCAAGAAGAAATGGTCGCAGATACAACAGGGTATGATAGTGTTATCCCCAGAGCGTCAGTTTGGTTAATCGATATTCCGATAAAAAAGGTTGGAGAACCAGGTGGGAGGAAACCTCACACCCACCGTCGCAATCGCGTTTATATATAGTCTAGTATGTACAGTCCACCATAATTTTTTCTCTTTTTTTTTTTAAATATATATATTTTAGACTCTTTTATTCTGTTCCTCAAGCAACTGCAATTTGGATATGTTCTTATAAACGGCGTAGAGTGCGCTCGAAGGAGAACGGATTAGACACATGCGTCAATGACTTTTCAATTCTTTATTAGTTTGTAGTCGGTTGAAATCTGGTACGATATAGCGTGCAAGTATGATCCATATTCTCATAAAGCGTAGGTCGACAAATGGGTTGCTGAAATCGGAATTTTGCTACGACCGAAGATCGGGATCTGGAAATCCAATCGTTTTCAAGGCAGATTCCAGAATTCTAGGTTGATTTCTCAAAGCATTCCATTCAGCTTCTACTTTGACCATCAATGTCCCGGCTAAAATAGTGCCGTTGAGCCTAATCAAGCCGACTTCTCGTGACTTATTTTGATCCTTCGAATCTATGGGTATCCATGTAGATTCGCTCCGTCGTGGGCAAATGACCATCCGAGTTGTAGTCATGGATAAATTGTAGCTGATAACAGAGGGGCCTTCGGTTTTCAGACTTTTGGGGTCCGCATTTTTTGATTGAGGTCCAGCTATCCCTTGCGCCGCCCTCACGGCCATTCGGTATAACTGTATGTAAGACTGATGTAGCTCATCTGCGGACGGCTCGCCTGGAAGATTGACCGCATAACACGCAAAAGGCAAATTAAAAGAGTTCGGATAATTGAAATCTCCGTATGCAGAAGAAGAATTCCCATCTATCAACGGTTTCCATTGTTCGTCACCCGCCTGGGTCATCCGTTCCACGGGTAGGAACTGTAGATGTCTGTGGGGTTGACTGGCACCACTGTGTTCCCCTGAATTGAAAAAGGCAAACAGGCGCTTTGATCCCTCAGGTCCGTCATGTTTCTGCCATGCTTTCAGGCATTGAAACGTTGCTAGGAGGTCCTCCTTCTCGAGCAAATCAGTTTGCGGTTTGAAGGCCTTCGTCGCAATTATGAAGTGATCCGGGATGACGGGGAACTTATTCAAGACCAATATGTGAGACGGTTCAGATAGGGGAAATTGGGTGATGAGAAGGTCCTCTGGAGGGTCATGGAATGGATCCAGCTTCAGGATCACGGTTCTTTGCTCCGCATTGTGCGCCGGGTTATTGACTGGCTTCCCTGCAAGCGCAGGACAGTGTCTAAGTTGGAACTGGTATGGCATCAGCAATCAATGGGCTTTCCATCCTTCCATGGCTGGCCAGCTTGGAAGAGTCAGAACTGACATACTGGAATATTAGATACCAATATCGTGGTGACTTCGGTTGGCGAGAAGATCAGCGCTCCCGACTGCTTAGCAGCAGCGAACCGTCTGGCGACGAGTGCTGAGAGATTTTCTGTGAGACCAGAGAGCATGGTAGGCAGTGGTGGAGGACATGCACCGGTGCTTTCGCCCAAGGGCTCTATACAACTATTCATTGGTGCAGAATAATTGAAGTTGTCGAAATTATCGACGTCGCTGATAACCACGGATTATCATGCTTGGCGCCACGACTTTCATCGGGGTCCAATCATCTAACTAGTTACGACATTAAACGAATCCAACAACAAACCAGCCAACAATGACCACTCCGCACAACATATCTTGCTCTCTAGAGATATTTGACCAGAATACGTCTCCCTTCAGAACTTCCATGCAATATAGCCTCGGAAAGGGGGTGGTAAGTTATCAGCATTCCTTCTAACCACCCAAGCCATCAACCGCCACGACGATGCCAGGGCCGATAACTAATCCAGTCAGTAAATCCAAGTCAGTCCATGGAGCATAATAGCATTGCAGTGTTGCGCAGGCAAGCATGAAAGAACGACATTCAATTTGATTCTCAAGCTTTGGTGGGCTCTCAACCTTTTGCACTGTGATGTCTCCATGATTGACAATATTTTCATGTAACTCACCAACCAGACGTCTTGCTGGACACTTTGTTGCTATATCACAAATATACAATAATATTATCACCAACTGACGATGATATAGGCCAACTATCTTCCCAAAATATATACGCATACCATAAAACATTCGATGTCAGACTACAAACATATCATGTTGTTTCTATTTTAGAGCTATCTTTCCTTATCACAGATGCGACGAAATCCCACATTCCTTAAGGGGGCTTAGTAGGGAATTATGAAGACAAACTTCGCGCCCATAACTAAGCCAGAGAGTTGAACTAGTTAAAACATGCCTCAGGGATGATGATTATTTATATAATCCCCATTGCCGGCTCTGAGAGACAAGGAATGGTAAGCATTCAGCCCCATATTTCACCTTCCGAATGTTAGTCAAGTCTTTTTTTTTGCACTATATCTCCTCCCAGACTAACCTCAACTAGATACCTCCTGGATTCTTGTGTTTGGAATTTGGATAAGCATGCGGAAATTGGCCTGGGGATTAGGCCAAATACTCGGCTCACTGATCCCTTACTAACGCGGGGTGAACAAGAAGGAATGGGCCAGCAATTTGGACCTGTGTCATGCTGTTTTCGTGCTTACATCAAATCATTTTGCCAATACACTTTACCCAGAAGGGGGTTTGGGCTATTTTGAAGCGAGCTCTGGATTTAGCACAGAGCCCAAAGCCTCGGAACAACCATGTTTGTGCGTTTACTGGATGAGCTCCTTGTTTGACCTTCCAAGATGAACAACATATCGATAAACCAAATACTCCTGGCTTCCCCAGGCTCAAGACAACCTACGGCCAGCTATTGGATATCTTAAGAAACAAGAACAACTTGAAAAAAACTTTCAGCCGATCAAAATGGCTGCCTTAAGTCCCATCTTACTGTGGCTAACACCATTCGAAGCCCAAAAGGATTTGCTCTGACAGGAAACACCCGACGCGTGTTAAAGCGGCCCATTGCTGAACAAATCCAACAGTGCCACAGTTTGGTTCCAACACTGAGGGACCTTACAGGTCTTATCTAGCGCGACAATCGCCTCCTGAATTCCGAGCCACTTAGCAGATGAGCCTGGGTACTTAATCATGCCGTTTAAATTTACCATCATAGTCTATGAGGTCTACAAGTCTTAGATTTACGAACGTTTTGTCTTGGCTCCTCATCCCTTCCCTTCCCTTCAGCCGGACGAAGTCAGTAGCCCATACAGCATAAACATCTGCTAATGACTAACTGCTGAACAGAACCAGATTCCGATCGTTTGTCACCGCTTGTTTCATAACATTGAGGCTTGAAGTGTCTCTAGTTGTCGACGATTTCCCCAGAGGAGAGGAGAGTATAGAAATTAAAAGTGCGGGTAAGCCCACTATTAGACCAGGACCTGCAGATGAAGGAGGACACTTGACAGAGTAAACCAAGCATGTTTTTTTGTTTGCCTATGGGTCCTGCATGAAGGAGCGTTCCCCTTCATCGCCGCAGTTTCGCGATTAACCACGATCCGGGAAATAATTCACCCTTTATCAACTCTATTCTTTCGAGGTGTTCTAGTGATTATTCACAATAAAAATAAAAAATAAAAAATAAAAAGTGTGTGTGTGTGTGTGTGTTGGGGGGAGAGGAGGGGGGTTGTCTGAATAAAGGTTAAAAGGTTTAGGTGTGGCTGAAGCCGCCCCCTCGTGCAATCTAGACATCGGTCAAGAGGAAACCGGGTCAACCCCTAATTTGAGATTCGGGAGATACTCAGCTGGAAGTTCAGTACAGTGTATTGCACCATTTGCATGTCTCCAGAAATCGACCCGACATTAGCACTCTGATTCGGTCTCGAGGAAGGAGTACTGGAATCAGGGGTGGCTCAGAATTCTCATGTCTTCAACACATGTCAATCCTTCTTCGGAATCAGCTCATGTGCCTCCTCCTTCATGTAGACATATTGCATCGAGATTCGTTTGAGGGTCTTCAGAGTGGATGTCTTCCGAATGGCAAGGCAGACAGCAGACTTTTCAGTCTTGCAAATTTTGTAGAGCCTCGTTTACAACTTTTTGGCTTTATTTTTAACGCTTTTCTAGATCAACTGGTCGCAGGCAGAAATCCAGCCACTCGTTGCTAACTATGAACTACAGTGATTTTACTTTGGACTTGTTCGGGGAAGCCGTTGAGAAACGACTCCGTCGAGTTTCAAAGCTTACCAAAACAACATGCATACTTGATGCTCATTTTTACCCTCATCGATACGGTTCGGCAGAACCATATACGGAACAAAGAATCACTGATATATCCCTCTAGACCGAACCTCATGCTTCCTCTCCTTCAGCTACTCACCCACCTTCATCACCCGGCTACTGAATTTGGGATCTGATGCTCTCACTGGAGATTTGGGATATTGAAGCTCAAGACAAAAGGAAAAATCCATGGACCCAGTCTCATCAATCCTCTCTTGGGGAACTGAGAGCAAAGGCAGCCAGCCACTCATTGTCAACGTCACCAAACGTTTTTCCCTGGCGTTCTTCTTTCCGTTCCCTATGTGGCACGAATATCCTCCTCATTACCTTTAGGTATGTACAACTTCTGCAAATGCGCTATGGTTTCTCCCTAGTTTTACTATATTAAATAGCCTCAGGTAAACGAGATATCTCGTTATACTACCTAAAATTTCATCCAAATGCAAAGACACCAAGGACAACGTGAAAAGGAAACGAGATCACCACTATAACGCATGTCCAAATGAGACGGATATTCACCAGAAGTCCCACATAATACCCGAGGATTTAAGTACACGCTACATAAATGTGTGCATGCAATGCACAAGCCGCAAGTAAACCTAGTTTTTCTTTTTTTAAAAAAAAAAAGGAAAAAGGAAAAGAGGCCCATTGCGGTAGGGTCTAGCCCAGGTCCAAGCGGGACGGTGTGTGCAAGGATTTAGCCGGCTATGCACTGCAACATGGATGTGGGGTCCAACTGAAAGGGCAGACCGCAAGATTTGGTGGGTAGACTATGGCTCTGCACTGCGATCTGGAGGTGTGTCGGCATCACGGGCTCGGCCACTTTAAGACCGTAGACACGTGCAGGTTTAGATGATCACTTGCAGGAATAATGCGGTAAAGTTGGTTGGACAGTTGCTAAGGCCGAGATAGAAACTGGCGGAGAGATGTAACTACAATCGATCGAATTTTAGTTCCGTTTTATGTTTGCTGGACGAATTGGATGTGGTGTTTGCCTCGGGGATGTGGGGAAAGAAGATGCTGATTCGATGAGAGAGGGTTGTAAAAATTGAATTTGTCGGAGTCCAGGCATCATAAACCTTCCCACTTCACAATGGAATTATACTCTTCACCGTCGGTTCGTTTTCTTGTTCGCAATAAAATGACATTATATGCACGGTACGTACATACATAATGGCATTGTACGTAGTTATCTCTTTCACCTTACTAGCCAGTTCCCTTTGCTCTCTATATTGATGCACCAGGGTGCAGTGCATCTCCAAGAAATGCGCCTGTGTCTGCACATTTACCCTATTGAGACGCCCCACAGTCATTCTGTACGCAGGATAGACGTTCGCATTATTGATCCTTATGACGTATATTGCACAAATATGCGGATAGAACTCCGCTATCACACCTTAAATTGGACCTCCAAATACCCCCATGCCCGCCTCCTGCGGCAGGAATATGGCGGGGTGCGAGTTTGGCAGTAATATATTTGCCACTGATGGGACGAACCATCGAGTTAACTAGTTCACGATCTAGCTGGCTATGGAGATGCATGAAATGACAATCAATGCAAGAAGCACAAGGTTGACGAAAGTAAGGGAAAAGGTTTATTTGTTTACAAAAGCGAACATTGCTCTAATTTGTGTTTCGGACAAGAGATCTTGGCATAATGCTCCATATTTCCGTTGATACGGAGTATTTGCAAAACAAGGTCATTCTTTAGGAATCTGTAGGAGGCAAGTTAATATTTACAAATATCGTTCATAATGCCATAGTTTAATTAAGCAAATAAAATGGGATTAATCTTACTGTTACATTTCTCCTGCATCCATCACATTTTATTCAAGAGCGGGCTCAATATTCAAAACTCTCTATGTTTAACTAGTTCAGATTTATCACAAACTAGTTAACTAACTAGTTAGTTAGTTATCATAGCTACTTATTAAGCAATTGACCCCTGAAAATTCTAAAAGTCATGGATGCATTGAACGCGTCGCTTGACTAACTAATTGAAGTTATGAATGCTTACTTGTTTCTTTGACTATTTGCTTTAGTGATTCCTCTATTTCATCAAAATAGACATGTTCAAGATCTCAAAGAGCTAATGGACTAGTCAATAACAGTGAAGCACAGAAATATCCAGATACAGAGAGCTAATATGGGAAATGTTCCAAAAAGATGAGCGTCAATATCAAAAGTTTTTCGACTCCTACTAAAAAGGTAACTCGGGGCTAAATTGGAAAATGGAATTGTCTAAAGACAGCGGCCCCGAATAGCAGGCACGAGCCTAGGGGTTTTCGGGCCTAAACATAACTGAAACTTTAGGTAAGCTTACCCTAAATGGTAACTAAAGCTTAACCACCAATAGCGGGCCGATGCCTAATAAAATATGGCTTAATTTTTAAAAAAGGCGGTTTTGCTAATATGTCATTTTTAATGCCTTTGGGTGAGTCAAACTTCTGCCGATGATTTATACGGGAGAATTTTCAACATCATCGATGTAAATTAACCACCGATATGAGGAGATCGAGGCCACCGGTACTCTTACTGAGGAAATAGGGTGTGAATAAAGGAAGAGGACATCAATCATGTATATTCCGGCCACAGTTTCATAGTTCCCACGACAGAGTTGGATATAACAGATCTAGTGTAGTATCAGAAGTGCTTCAACGTGGATCATCCAAACACATGCTGTCTATAGAGCTCTGAAAATTAAATAAAATGCTGACCTTACAGCTGTGCTGGGTGGCTGTTTCGTCGCACTTGTAACATCTAATGATTACTGTTGTGTCATCCCCTTTTTCATTTCACAGCAAACATTTTCCTCTCACTTTAGCTACCACAACTACTATTTCGTTTAACAGGAACTCTTTTTATACATTTCACAGGACACAAAAAATGAAACCTTAGAAAAAATGGATTCACCATTCCACCGTGGAGTTCGGCGAAGTACTGCCAGATTTTGTTAACCAAGGCGCCCCCTTTTGTAGAGCCAATTGCGCTTAACACTATTGGTTCCCAAAATAATTAAGGATGCTTAATTAGAATTGACAGGTAACGCTGGAAGTCGATTTGAGGCCGCGATTTAACAACTATCATTTTTATTAGTCGGACGAGCTCGTTTAACTTGAACTTAATCGTGTGGAAACTCCAAAGGGGAATTGAGGATTTCCAGAATGTGAGGAACACGTATCAAAGAGAAATTCTGAACTGAGCTAACTTTTCATCAAGGAAATAATCAAACTGCAGCTCCGCGCTCAGCAATCAATGATTGCACCGGGCTCATCATAATTCTGTTGGAGCCTAGGCTTTCTATTATGGACTAGCGCACCGCACAATAGTATATAGCATCCCTGAGATAGGCCACCAAAACAACCACTTCAGATGTCCAACAAATTCACCTTATGTGCTTTGTCCTCACCAAATGCGACATGGATTTCATTGAAAGAAGAACAAACACTCCGCATCCAACTAGCTAGTTATCTAGTTCCGGGCGTAGAGAGAACTATTGAACATGCCATCCTCTCATGTGATTTAAGGGGCTTCAACTCGCATGAAGTTAGCTCTTTTCAGAATTCGATTTCTGCAATGAACAGCTTAGTTACCATAAGTTCCTTTGGGCGCGTGCATGAGGATAACAACAACAACAACAATAATTATAATAATAATACGAATGTCTCCATACACGTGTGAATGAAAAATATCAAAAGTTAACAATGGCATTATAACCTGAAAGGGATTGCGCTCCGGCCTATCTGGGTCGCCGGCGCATGGATGGGGTACGTGCATAGGGCTGAGCGGCGGTTAAGAAATTGTACTGCTTGTGGCTCATTCGTAACAGAGAACAAATGGGCAATCGGCTTTCGCGGGATGCGGATACAGCCTTGAGCCGCAGCAAAATCGGCGAGTGCGGATTTTGGATGGAGTTTTTGATGTAATGCCGTGCTTTTTTTTTTTTTTTTTTTTTTGAGATTTTAGAATTTGTGGTTTGCTATTACATGGTGTGGGGGAATCGAAGCCCTTGGAAGTTCAAATGTGTTCTCGATCCAGAGGTCTATCGGCTACCAAAGCAATGTCATGTTAATTCCGAACGAGCCGATGAATGCACTGATACGAGAGTCACATGGGTTGCTGCATGTCCCGTTTTTGAAAGCCGTCTTGGGGAGCTTACAAGAAGCCGACACTTGAAATAAGTTACCCGCCTGTCACCCAGTGGGTGACTTTCTTCGATCAGCCCTCTGAACGTTGGTTGTGGCCCAATCATATATTCTGTCCAACAGTTCAACAGGGCAAATATTTCAACCTCCTACTGTCATGCGCCAGTGGAATGAGAATTGATAAGGTAATCGGGTACCTTTCAGTCCCGAGGTTTGATACTGACATTCCTGCTATCAAGCTGCTAATTATTCCTCAGAAGAATATGTCAAATAATATGAAGAATTATTAATGCACTCCACCACGCAACCAAAGCGCTGGAACATTGGCTAAGTTGGATTCGGAGCGCCCGTTCCAAGATAGAGAAAGCCTGCCAGACAGCCCCACGAGAACTAACTAACCCCTGTTCAACCAGTTCTGTAAGGTTCGGTTTGTTCCCTGCCTCCACAAATTTGGCGTAAGTTCCACTCCAGAGCATGCATTAGGATCCATGGAACTATCATCAAAATCCCAATTCCATAGGCTATTGGAGCGGTCAAGCCGCTACAGCCAATCAGCAAGAATCCATCTCTAGCAAAACGAATCCCACACTAAACCTCATCGGGCTGCTAACAAGGTTGTCCAGAACGAAAAGGCGGGCAGCGAGAAAAAAACCAGCTATTCTGGGATACTACCTCAGGATTAATGATAGCGAGGAACCGAGACAATGACGAGACGAGATGACGAAGCTGAGGAACTAATGGAGAAAAATGCACATGGAGATTCCACCCACATGTCACTTCGGTTGTGAGGGGACATCTCGGAACCCCTTCTCGTTGAGCATGAACGAAGCTCCGTGCAAGATGGCAGCACGGTCTTGCAACCTCCCTACGACCAGGCCACTGCCAAACCATTGGTTCGCATCCGGCGGTACGTACCGTCGCCAGTCACAGACTCAAAAAGGTACCGTGGTTACTAACTGTTCAAAGGAACAAAAGAGGAAATATCTCGTTGCGGTGCGTTCTCCTCTAGGAAAAGACAATACGAGGATGCGACAGATCACTTTTCCTCCACCCAGTTTGAAAAGAACATGGTTTGCAACTACATGGAGGATGAGCTGATTCTCCCACCTACTTACCCGGCCAAGGTGTTTAGGTTACTGCTTCTTGGTTGTTATTATTCTGCATGACTGAAGTTGTGCTGGATCACTGCGTGGATCTAACTAGCAGGAGTGGTTTGCCCAGTACGAATAGTAGAGAGTATGGTCATAAACTTGAGCCTCACGGTCTTTCCCGTTCCCCTTGCTGTCAAAAGGTGGAGGTGGCGATTATCCTCATGCACCTCTCGCGCCAATCAAATGCAGTGCCTAGCCAGTGTTCTGTGTCCGGTGTCCCACAGTAGATGTGCTCGGCACCAAAATGCTTCTCGTACTGCATAAGAAGTCTTGCAGAGGAGGGGGGGGAAAGAAGAGGTGAGTTGAAAACATTTGTCATCTTGATTAAGCAAAATATTGCTGTGGTCAGTGGTAAAATGGTAGTTATTACAGTTTTATTCCATCGCCCGACCCATCTCTCTTCTGCCCCCAGCCCATCCAACACGATCGTCCTTTGGACCGCGCATCTCGAGGTTTCTGCTAATTAAGGCATGGACGGCGATCTCGGTTTGGATTAGTTGAGACCCAAATCGGACTGCTATTTTAAGGTACCATCAAATAGTAAAATAATATCCTGACCAAAACAAGGAATAACGCGTTTGTTCGTATTTCTCATTGATTTGCAATTCACAATACTCCGTACAGTATTGAAATACTGCACGTATTTGTGAGGCCCAAGCCACACATTTTATTCTCCATTTCAAGCCAGGCTGCTTCCTTGCATGCGTATTGGGTAAATGCTACGAAAATCATCTGAAATATGGCTGTGACAACTTGAGAATCCAGGAACGAGTTCTAGCTGCACATCTCTTTTAATAATTCGGAGCCACTGGGTTCTTCAGCGGGTTCACCGGTGGTCTAACCCTTAAACCCGCCTCCTGGAAAAGATAAGGCCTTGAAGCGGTCATCAGATTGCTGACAAACAAACCTGCAAGAATCAACGTATTAAAAAAAAAAAAAAAAGTGTCAACAACTCAATGAAATATTCTAAATATTCCTCATCAGTTAGATAAAGGAATAGCGAAATAAACAAGAACCCAAACCGGAGACGGCCCTCAAACTCAATCCCAAGACCAACAAAGTTAAAACTGCCAGCAATCATCAAAAGAGGAATGATGCCAGGTCTCCAAGACAGTCCGTAGGATTCCCTTCGCGGCGTTGAAGAACTCTGTTTACAACCGCTCCCGCCCCGCTGTGAAAGGGAACAAACCGGAAGGATTCCGAAGTTGCAATGGGTTTCCGCGCTATTTCTTGAAGTGGTGGTGGTGCTGGGCTCTTCGGATCCGGATCTGGAATGTCGTAGTATGAACGGAGATAAAAAGAAAACGGAGTAGCATTAGGCTATGTCGGGGGTTGGCAAATTAATTCCATTCATCAAGTATTATTGGTGATGGGAGCTTTATTCAGGAGCAAGAGGAATTGCTTCTTTTTGTGAAGAATCAACGGCAATACGTCTTCTCTTGCTTCCGTGTCTGAGGATAAGAAAAGGAAAAAAGAATAAAATTGCTAACTGCTGTAAGGCTCGTCTGATGGGACGAAGGAGGGACAAAAAGATGACCGTATATGAACAGGTTGACCCCGGTGGTTGCACAGCATTTTTGCAAGAGCTATTTCCATTGCCATGAGGCATAGATGTCGTGCAGCGTCCAACAAATCATCGTCACTATGAATGATGTTATACTTTTATGCATCCGCGCACATGGACACCAGGGCCATTTGCTGGCTAAGATTATAGTTATGGCTGTCTTTCATTTTTTTCGTTCTCTTGTTTTGTCACTGTTTTAAAGGGGAATCTATCTCGGGGAGCGAGCACGATTGCCCTCTTGCAGTTAGCCCCCTTGCGCAGAATCACGAATATGTTTGGAACAGCGTGAACCCGAAACCGTGGAAGCTTGTTTTACGAAGCCGAGACACTTTCTTGTATCCGTCTTATCAAAAGTCCTTGTTGGCCTTGCAACTGTAACCACGATTGCATCGCTAGAATATATGCTGCCACGCATAAAATATAGCCAAAAGGCACGGGGAATTGGGAGGATCACAAGATAATAATGAATTACCTAGAGCAGTAAATTGAGCCTCCCGATACGAAGCAAGGGTTCAGAACCTGCTGCAAGGGGAAACGCGCCTTCGCTATGTTGGAACCAATAACAGCAAGTTAAACCTTGGAGACTGAATTGAGACTGAATTATCGTGTTCGTGGTAAGGACGGGATGTTGGGATCATCTACAACCATCATGTCGATTTTCCATTGTCTCTCTCTCCGTTCTTTATACCTAGAAACCACCCATGTCCCGCGAAAGAGGAAAAGAACACCCAAACAATCCCGGATGGGCATTTCAAAGACGTTTGCCAAATTCCAGCAGAAATAATAGAGCGCACTGATACCCTGATGCTACGGAGTACGGAGTACGGAGTATGTGTTTCTCCGATCCCGACGACGAGCGACCGGAGATCTTGAAGTTCCCCTCCGAGTTGCGATGATTGGGCCCCGCCTTGCCCCTGCCCTGAATCGGATCGCATGAAAACGAAGCTCAATAACAATCACCGTATAGCAGCATCAAGTTTGGATCTGCCCTCCAGGGAAACTATCTCTTATCTAAAATGGCAAATGGAAAATGGCAATTGCAAATGCAAATTCAAATGCAAATGCGTCACCGTTTCAACAAGCAGTACGTTTTTCTTTTGTTGCCTTAGCCACTTATTCTTTTTCTTTTTCTTTTCCTTTTTTTTTTTCTTTTGTTTTCTTTTCTCTCTCTTTGTTTTCTTTTTTACAAAACCAAAATTCCCTCTTCATGTTTATTTTAAATTATCAACAAGACGCCCTGTCGCGCTGTGTCACATAGATGTTTAAGGTCTGTTACACTCAAAGTCGGGCGACCCGGGGGAACTTCCGGGATGAGGAGGAGTTGAAAAACGTGGCTCTGATCGGCAGAATGTTTGGATGCGGGAAGGCGATTCGCCATGTGTTTGCCGGACGGTTTTGGGGGAAGGAGTGTTACCCATAGCAGCCTACAACTCCGTACCGAGAAAAGAAAATTAGCCCATTTTTTGAGTCTTTACCCCCTATCCGAGGTATTTCCTCTTTTGTGTTCTTCTGTCCTTGTGCAACAAAAGGGTTGTAAAAGGAAATCGCCATAGTTCGGCTAATTGGTTGAATAAAACCCAAACTGCATCTGTAATTATGTCCTTCTTTTTCTTTTCTTCTCTTCTTCCTGGATGTTTCATTCTCTTCGCATTTCCGTGACACTGCCGCTAAAAAAAAGGCACATGGCAAACTCGATGATCGATGCCTATGCACAGGACACCCGCGTGGAACCCTCGAGACATATGACATGTTTTAACTGCTCTGTACTCTCGCAGCTCGCACAAGGTCGTATGCATATTATGCATGATTCGAACCTATGCGCACGTGTCTTGAAGCGTAGAAGCATGTCGAAGCCTGCATAGATGAACGGCGCGTATTTTGATTGTCTTCTTCTTCTTCTTCTTATTATTATTATTATTATTATTGCCGCATAAGCGCTGTGGTTTATACACACTGATTCAAAATGAGCTGTTCTATATATGACCATTTTCAATGACTTGCATATGCTGTCATACACATGGAAGATATTGACAGCCTCGATGATGATCTTTCTGGAAAATTCTTTGGTCGTTCAGTCAAACCCTGAAACGTTGCACGCATGGAGTTGGGCACGGCAGAATTTAAGAATTGAACTCTTTTCCTTTTTGTACCATGCTCTCGTATTACAATTAATACATAATGCAAACTATCAACAACTAACTGAATAACTAACTAGTTAACTGCTGAAATGGAATAATTTAGGGCACTGGGGAGGTAGGGTAAAGATTATGTAAAAGGGGAAGCAGACATCATGCCATGAGTTACAATCAAGAATGAAATATGCTAAGCAGATCACATGAAGCCCTCTTCTTTATGTTTATACCAAAAACAGCAACATGTAAAAAACAAGAGCAGATGGGGCGGTGCGAAAAAAAAAAAAAGTCAAAATCCTAGAGAGATATCGTTAAATTAGTGGCCAATCAGGCTGCCTAAGACCCCTGTCCTCCAAATCGCGAATCCTTTTAGTGCGATCTGCCGGGGCCTACTTTAACTTTATCAAGTGAATAACTGTAAATACACTGTGGCTCATGCCCGCCTGCTTAAACCTTATTGTGTGGAGACGGCCCAAAACGACATTTGAAGTTGATACTCCAGCCACAACCTAGTGCAACACTGCCGTCGGGATTCACTGAGTGAATGACAACTCCAAACATCTTTCGGAGGAAAAAAAAAAAAAAAGGGAAAATTTTCCACTGTTATTTATTTCCAAAATCGTTCTCATGGGAAAACGGAGCTGGAAGACATATTGAAATTATGCATCTGTGCTACCAACCAACACCAACATTTGAAGGAGAAAGAAAGAAAGAGAGAGAAAATCAAAGTGTCCCTCCGTGGCTTTGCCCCCAATTCTAATCTTCTGACTGGCCACAACCAGTAATATTATTTTAGCTACCATTTATTTTTATCTCCCATCCACAATTGAAGTTATTGGCCCGATATGTACATTACACTTGACCAGTTAAAAAACGCGATGCATGCACTCAGCCACAGGCTTTTACCCACTTTCCAATTTAGTACTTACGTGCGTATTCGGCAAGTTTACCTTTTTGTTCCAACAGACGGTAAAAGAAAATGACGACATGCCATTAACCTCAGACGTGTATTTTTCAATCTTACACACGGCTCAATTTCCATCCGATGTACCCCCATACTTCCGTTCCCCAGTATATACACAGTACGTACCGCTTAGTTTGAATCTTATCCAATCTCTCCAATGTACCCTTTGGGGAATTATCGCGAGCAATCGCTATTCTAAAACACTTGGATGTATGCTTCTCGTCTACAACGTTGTGGGGAGCTAACCTGGTAGGATGCTGAAAGCCAAAAGGTGACGACGGCTCTTATTTGATGTCTGCGGGCATCTTTTTGTCATATTGTATACTATCTAGGGTTGTTTTTGGGGCATTTCGCCAACCCAAGACCTAAGACTTTCTAGGAGCTACCAAAAGGGAACCAGATCAGATGCGGATGTCGGAAGAGAGTAATCATTATTCTTCTGGTTTCTATCTCTTTGTTTGGACGTCTCCATGCTGAGAGCTATCAAGTAAACGACCACACGTAATGCCTCCTTTTTGCATCCCTACTCTCATATGGATACACAAAGCTACTTGTCTTAAGCTCCAAATAAAGCCCTTTTTATGTGTAGGTCACCGGAGGAGAAAAGTAGGGGCGCGCCGAGCTGTGAAGAGGGGAAACAGACGAAGAATTCAAATAGTGCGGTCACTGTTTCTAGTGGTTCTCGGGAACATTGGGAAAAAATTATTCAAGTCTCCGCAGAGGTTGAGTTTCATTGCTACTCTGCCGGCTCTTTCGGATGGTTTGAGTAGTTAAACCAGGCAACAATTTTGCAGAAGTTAATTTACCTAATATATAAATTGCTTTGATTTGTAAGGTTGATATATTGCAAAGTTATGCGTGAGTGATAATTAAAGTAAGAAGACAAGAAGAAGAAGAAGGAGAAGGAGAAGAAGGAGAAGAAGGAAAAGAAGAAGACTACAACCAGGCATTAGCAAATGATCACGCACGAACTCGAAATATCTTCATGTCATCCCGCGATCGACATCACCCCAACGTTGCCATCGCTAAAGGCAACCTTAAATTCCCGTTTTGACTTCGAAGTAAGCACCACCAAAGTCTCATCCTTCCCTAATCCTTCATGTCAACGGTTCAAAACTCCGTAAGAGCGCCTCATTGCCAATCCAAAGCTTGGTGTCTCTCCGCATCAAGTGCATAATTTTAATTTTACCCCTTTTAAACCCCGCTCCCCCTGGGGCTTTAACACGTATCATAAACTCATGGACTAGGGGAAGCTTGGGCTGAGAGAGAAAATCTTCTCCGGATCAAAGCAGGGTCCAGCAGGGGCCCTGGAATGTGAAGGGACGGGGACGGCGGTGTTTAGAATTGAAATTAATGAATACAACTGTGATTTAACAGGGGAAGAGGGCGGAGAGTTTTATAGGAGAAAGAGAGAATTTTTGGAGGGAACATGTAACTTTCTAATGTTGGGGGTTGTCCGCCCATAGGGCTGACCAGTTAAAAAGGGGCAAGGATGTTTTCGGGAAACGTGCAGCAGGTTCGGCCGAAGAGGTAGAGAGGGACAGTCGCTTACTGACTGAATAAATGAATATAAATATGAACATAAATATGGGGGAAGAGGGGACAAGGGTAAAGAGGACATACTTGCTATCTGTATGTGTCTTTTGATTTTATATAATTGGAATTGGCGGAGAGATTGGAGTTAGGAGAAGGGAAACAATTGCTTCGTTGTTGTATTCTATTTTAAAAACCATCCTGTCTGGATGTTTCGTGCTCTCGTATTTTTCCTGTTTATTGTTTGATCTTTAACCACATATCATCTAATAAAAGAAGCAAACCACGGGGAGATTATTCTGCATATACCATTGTTTTTTTTCTATATATATTCCTCGGGGCCAATAACTTTGATTGGCCACCCGGAGAAGAGGGTGGGCTGGAGCCCTTGTTGGAAGTATATAAATGAACTCTGCGAGATTCAGTCCGAGTAATACAGACGCCAACTTCTTCCTGTGATCGTATATCTCCTCAAAATATCGGGAAACAACATAATAGCTGTATACGTACCTGTTGGGAGTCGTAATAACTACATATTATTTGAGATTGCAGGGAGTGGGCAAAAATTATGCCGACGGGGCATCCTGATTAATAAACGATCTTCTGGATGGGATTCTAGAAAAGTAAAAGAAAAGGAAAAAGGGTGGTGGAAGGTGGGAAGGAGGAATGGCCAGCCAACAAAATGTAAGCGGAAAAGAAAACGAATTGTTCTCTTGCATGGAAGGATGTTGCGAAAGCTTGCTTTTCTTCAATTCCCTTCTGAAACGCTCGTATTCATGCCGCAAACTTGCAAGAGTTATAGTGCGGAAAGAGGTTAAAGTAGGTCTCACTCCGGCCAATCTATAGAATGGTGCTGTTATGCTGTGCGACCAAGGAACTTCAAGGAAGTGACTGGAGACTCGCGGTCCGGAGATTGGAACGCCAAAAGTTTCGGGGTATCTGTATTGCTGTCTATTTTTGACATATATATCCTGAGTAAATGGATGAAGGGATCGAGCCATGTCAGAAACCGGAAATTCATCCGGGGAACTCGTAGTCATAGATTGACATCAAAAGAAATAATAACCCAGGCGATAACTAGGTTTGTTGATCAGGATATGCTGCCCGCGAAAGGTTGTTCCTCGTAAAGCTAACCGTGGTTAACGACCCTGCGGGGAAGAGCATGAAGATCTGCCCTATTCCCCAAGCGCAGTATTGCAACAAAAGGTTCAGCCTTATGAAAGGGGATCGATCCATGGATTGAGGGAGTAACGTCAATCTACTCCCCCACAGTTCCGCAAAATACTCCAGAAATCATCTTGTTCTGCACAACCCCATGAATCATTATTATTAATTGTTATTTTATCCCCGCGGCGCACCCCCGGCATACCGCAAGACTGTACCCCCTGGGTGGTTCAACCTGGCTTCTTCCCTACGACGAAGAACGGTGAAGGGCCCATCATGGGATTTGGGTTTGGAAGGGTGGATGCACCGGGGGGGGGGGGGGGGGGGGGGATGCATGCATGCATGCATGTGGTGTTTGGGATCCATTGTCGCAATAATGCCATTTACTCTTCAAGTCCCCATGTATTCGTGGGCCGTTTTCCCCGTGCACAGAGCGGTTTTTCAGGTCGGATTAAGATCAACATGGGACCAGTGGGGAATAAAGTAGGCTGAATGGGTACATGTATGTTCCAGTAGAAGGAGAGAGAGTATGGAGTAACTACTGTGTACCGTAGGTATTGTTGCCTCATTGGCCAGCCATGAAAAGTCGAAGAATTCAACAACGGACTGACTAATATAGTGAGAGGGATCGGATACATTTAAGCCAAAAGTAGATGAGCCTCGCTGAACAACATCATTTCATGGGCTGTTGTTCCTGTTAACCTTGTTCACTTTTCCAAGGAAACTAGATCTTCAAGTCCTTTTTCTATTTTCTGCATTCGAGCGAAACAAGACCATCTGTGAGTTGAGAATCAACCACATATACATTACCAACTTGTTGAAAGATGATAATACTGATAAATAGATTAAGGAGAGGAGGTTGTAGCAACTTGTAACTCGTAAGCCCTAAATCCAACTCACACCCCGAACACTTGTGGGGCGGACAAGAGAACACGCAAGACAGACCGAACCGCAGGGACCAGGGTCATTCATCATTACTCATCCCCTTAAATTTCACCTCTCTTTTTTGGGTTTTGGGTAGGGTACTGCGCATCTGTATCGAATACGATTTTTGCGTATCACAGGGTGTAATTGCAGACCTCATTTTCTCGTATTTGTGATATAAGAGATGTAACTAAGGATTGTGTGGATTGAATGATGCGGACTTTAATGCATCCCTTGTCCAGATTGTCCAGGCCAATCACCCATCCACCCACACCTCCGCCCCCCCATTCCACCAGTCTAACGATCCAACCAAACTGCCCGGGGGCCCCAGTTGAGCACATCCCAGAACTGGGTTTTAGCGTCTGCGCACTGCCGAGAGGAGACTCAGAGGAGACAAAAGAGCGTAGGGTAGACTCGACTAGTATGGTGTAGTTGCCCGGTAGTTGACAGTAGTTGGGCCGCGGCCGAATGACGGCTGCTGCGCTGCTTGTTGCTGCGGTATAGCGTACGCTGTTAAGATGTCCCATCTTGGGTTTTGCTTGTGCTGTTGCGCCTTGCTGGACAACATCTGATTTGTGTCTGGGATTCTGGGTCTTGTTCTCCCTTGTCTCTTGCTCTCCTTGTAGGGCAAACAAATCATATTGATCCAATCCGGTAGATATCTTTTTTTTTAAAAAAAAAAAAAGAAAAAAGAAAAAAGAAATAAAGATAGAGAAGTATTTATTTTTAATCTTTCCCTGCACTTGTCGCTGTCCTTGTCCCTGTCGCCTGCATGTTCTTCTGCTTTATAAAAACATCATCCCTCGTCCACCGTTTCTTATTTTATTTTATTTTATTTTATTTTAAATTTATTTTCCCATTTGATCTTCTTTTGACTACGTCCATTTCTTCTGTCCTCCTGTCCATAGTGTTTGGTAGTCGGTGGATCTGTCTACTCACTATTCCCACCCCTACTACTAGTAGCCACTCCAACGGAAAAAAGGAAGCAAGGGAAAGAAAAAGAAAATACTCTTTTATCCAAAAATAAAAAGAGCTCTCATCCCCGCCATTTGCCACCGAGATCCATCAAGATATTTCACAGTAATACCATTGTTGCTCATAGAAGATACTCTCCTCCGGTTTGTCTTCTCTGCCTGTGTCTATCAATCTCTGTGTCCCATCTGTCGATTGCCCGGTTGCGCTTTTGTCCATAACCTCAATACCCTCTCCTCTTATTGGCTGTGCCCGTCCGTCCCAGCACGTCCACCACATCTCTAGCTCTGGCTGCGTCCGCTGTCCTCGTCCACTCCTTCGCCCATCCCCGTGTTCAGTAGCACACGATTTCGCTCGAGTCGCTGTCTCAGCTGTTCAAGGGGCTGTCCTCCTCACGAACACCCCCTCCTTCTATTTCGTGTATGAATAGCAGGACTGGTTCTTCTCTTCTTTTCTGTTGGCCTCTCCCATCGTTATTTAACCGTCGCGGACCGTCCCGTTGAAACTCCCATTGCCACGACTTTGTATGCTTGGCGCTTGCTCCACGAGGGATTCGTTGCTTGAAGAAAATTAGTTTTATGGTGTCAAAAGAGCTACTGATAAAAAGTCACCGTCCGACTGGTATGTCAATTCTGTGGTTCAATCCTTTTGTTGTCCCTTCCAAAATTTCCTGTCCTGCATCCTTTTTCCTGGTCCAATATATATGTATATTTTCTTTTGTTTTTGCTGGCTGTGAGCATATTCGGATATGAACTGGTTTTGGTCAGCTGACATGCTCTATACAAAATAGCCAAAACCCTTTTTTGCCCGATGCTGCGCTGATATTGGCTCCGTTCCTTTTTTTTTTCTTTTTTTCTTTTTCTTTTTCTTTTTCTTTTCTCTCTCTCTCTCTCTCTCTCTCTCTCTGAACAATTAGATCTGTCCAGGGAGAACTCTGTTTTCCTTTTTCCTTTGCTTTTTCCCCTCCCATAAGTCGCTTCTGTTGTGGTCTATTATTTGTTGTCCTGCCATTTCTCTTCCCAACGATCCGACAATGCTAGCGTTGGAGCATTCTCGTCACAAGCAATCCTATCTCCCGCAGCTGTCGATGGATCCCTCGATGCATGATCCTTTTGGTCCGCTGTATATCGACAGCTACAGCCCCCTTGGTTCTTACAACTTATTCCCAGCGAGCTCGACTTCGTTCTCAGACGCACCCTCGTTCCTGATCGAGGCGCCCCATCACCCCTACAACAACAACAACAGCAGCAGCAACAGCGCCAAATACGAGCCCTATGCACATCACCATTGCGCTTCTCCCACAATAGTTTCAATCCAAGCTTCAGATTTCAAAGCTTCTACCACAAGCTCCTCCGCATCTGGCCCATCATTGCCAAGCACTTCTTCATCCACCATAGGCTCCCCCTACCAGGAGAGCTGGATCGACATGAACAGCTCTTCCGGATTGGGGCCTGCCACCGTCGGCAGCGATGGCTATCCGCAAGAATATGTAGGTGCCGCAATGGACGCTAACATGATGTTTGCGCCTGAGAAGCTCCCGGATAGTTTTGTGGGTGAGTACCGAAATGTTTTTCCTTATTCTGCTCCGTCGCATACGCGTATCTTGCCTGTAAAAGCCGTTTTGTTTGCAAAACCCTCTACCGTATTTTCACCTTCTCCAGCGCTGTGTAGCTCTGGAGGTGCAGTTTCTTGTTCTCTTGTTTCTACTTCGCGACACACAGATGTTGCAGCTTCATCAGGCAATACTCAACAACACATGCTATCTATGTCTCCCCCCTCGAGCACTGTGCCTCTGAAGGGAAGGAGATCGCGCATGGATTCAAGCAGCAGGACTAGCAGACGCCCGGGTGCGCTGGACGCTCCCATAACCCGATCGCTGAGCGGCGAGTATTCTCCGTCTTTGTATTCTCCAGGCCTGCTCAGGAGCAGAAAACGGTCTTTGACCCAAGCCTCAGACCTGGCTTCTGCTGTTCATGCGAGAAAAATGTCAACTGCAGAATCCAGTGTGAAATGTCGAGATAGCCTTCCTTCAAGGAGCCCGCAGTCTCCTCTCAGAAGCTCCATATATAGAGAGCGTTTTGAGAATTGTTTCCTTAATCAGAGTAGCGGTAATTTTGTGCCGCCTCCTGAGTCATCTTGTTGGTTTTCGAAATTTCCTACTTGATATCCCTCGCAGTTGAACTTCGTTTGTGATATTCTTTTGATGTTCTCTTGATACCCATAGTTGTGACTGTTATATTTTCTGCTTTTTGCTTTTTGATGTCGATTTTTTTCTATCACATATCCTGGCCCTATCTTCTATTATTGCAAAATTCGATCATGACTAATTCATTCGCCTGCATATAGATCCGTCTTTGATCAACCCACCTATGCAACAACAAAGCAGCTACCCGCCCCCGACCGTGTCATACGCAGAGGAATCCCAGTATGCCTTTGCACAATCACCCGCCTTCATGCCAGCATCTCCTGCCGCATCTCCCTTACCCCAACCCCAAACGCTGCACCACCCACATCACCCTCACTCAGCTCTCCCCTCTCCATTCCTCAACCAATCTGTATTCCCCTCTCGCCCAGTGTCCTTTACCGGACGAAGATCATCAATATCTTCCGAGAATTCGCGCCGTTCACGCCACAGTCCCCTGGTGGGAAGTGTCGACTACGAAGAAGAAGGAAAGGAAAAAGGCCGTTGCCCTCATCCTGACTGCCGGCGCCTATTTAAAGACCTGAAGGCACACATGCTTACCCATCAATCGGAGAGACCGGAGAAGTGTCCGATCTTGACATGCGAATACCATCTAAAGGGCTTTGCCCGAAAATATGACAAGAATCGGCATACATTAACACATTACAAAGGCACCATGGTGTGCGGATTCTGCCCCGGTTCTGGCTCTGCTGCAGAGAAGAGCTTCAACCGGGCTGACGTGTTTAAGCGACATCTTACCTCTGTGCACGGTGTTGAACAAACCGCGCCAAACAGCCGCAAGAAGTCACCGCCAACAGCAAATCGAAAGGCCTCATCTTTCTGTAATGACGCGACCGGTAAATGCTCAACGTGCTCCTCGACGTTCAACAACGCTCAGGAATTTTACGAGCATCTGGATGACTGCGTTCTGCGCGTCGTCCAGCAGGAGGAGCCCAGCGAAGCCATCAACCTCAAGCGACTCACCGAGGTAGCCTCCGATGATGCCGTGCGACAAACCATGGAGAAGCACATGCTTATCGACACTGGCAATGACTTAATGACCAAAAATAATAATAACCCAGCGGATGAAAATGATGACGACCTTGACGACTCTAATGACTCTAACAATATGAACACCAAATACAACTCTGCGGGCCAGGGCTCTCGAAAACCCCCCTCCTCCCCATCCCACTCTTCCAACCCATCATCCGCCTCCAATACCCTCCAAAAATCCACCACCACCACCACCACCACACCATCAGGCATCTCCAAAACCCGCCCCACCGTCTCCCGTCGCCGCAACAACCGCAACAATTACCCCCCATCCTGGGGCTGTCCAACCAACAAAATGAAAATGAAAAAGCGCGTGCTGTGTCTGTACGACGGCCAGCACCGCCTCTGGAAGGACGAGATGATGCTCGACAACGAGTTTGAGGTCCGTCTAAAACTTCTCGGAGGCGTTGGTGCAAATGGCGCTGGTAGCTCGTTGACACCAGGCCGTGATGCGTATGTGACGGATTTGGATGTGGAGACGCTTAAGAGGGCGGAGGGGGTGCATGGGGCTACGGAGGAGGAGAGGGGGGTGTCGTGGGATGCGGAGTGTCTTCCTCTTGGTTCAGCTGGATTGATGGGGCCTGCAGCCGTGCCTGTGTTGGGCAATGGGCAGGATGGTGGGTTGGTTGATGATGTTAATATCGAGGAGTTGATGGCATGAGGATATGTGTGGAGGATACGTTTGCTTTTTGTTTTTTTTTTTTTTCTTCTTCTCCTGACATATTGGATGGATGCGATTTTCATCCTTAGTTGTGACTCAATAGAAAGGGATCATCATATGGCATGAAGGGAACATTGGGTCTTTGTTTTTCACTGATACCTATTGGGTTTTACCTGCTCTGGATTTCTATTTCCATATTTTACTCTCCACTTTTGGTTTATCTTGGGTCCGTTTTCTTTCTCCATTCTGGGTCATGTCTTCATTTCCTTGATACATCATCTATTACTGCGCATTCCTCACATTATCTCAGTTGTTACATTTCGCAGTTGGTGTCAGCCGGACTGACATACCTATGCAATCAAACTATATACATTTCTCATATTCAATTAAATAAATGCTCACCAATATACTAAAAAATGATCCTATACTTTGTTTCACTCTAACTACCACGTAGAAATTCAAGAGACCGATACTTAGCCTCTTATGACATCCTTGTGGCAGTTTCTTCTCGAGGTTCCCGACAATGCCTGGCCCATTGCAAATCACGTGACATTCATATGATGGCTGAAGCTCAACTTCTACCTTGAACAAACCTCCTGTTCTCCGCTCTCAATCCCTCTGGATGAATAACCACGAACAGAGCGGGATGATCTAATTCAGAGATCATCCTTCTTGCCTTCAGCTTGTGAGTAAGGTTTCATTTTGTTTACAGAACTGCACTTGGACTGGAGCTGACTTGATGTATTATTGCCTGTATATAGATGCAGACGGATATAAAGCGTCCAACTTGCATACTGCGCTTGAATAACGGAATCCCGTAATAAATGTGAGCCCTGCTTTATGATACTCCTGAACGAAGAGATGCGCAACGAAACGAAATCTCAATAAACGTTTAATTAAGACGAGAGGGAAAAGAGAGGTCTTGAAGACCCAATAAAACATTCGATATAAACATACAATACATAACGACTCGTCCGTCTTCGCGCAACCCTTTATTCGCAAACAAAATACAGCGTATATTATCAAGTTCCACGCGCATGTCTTCTTCTTTTGGAGGTCAGGCCACAACATTAATCAATAATATTCCAAAACGCCCCTCCCTTCCCAGACTCGCGGAGGCTTGAATTCGGACTTCCGACATCTCCTAGACACGGAAACGGTGTTTCTTGGTAGATATCCAGTTGATGACGGTGCATTTACTGTTGATTTCATCTGCTGTTTGGGTGTAAAATGGACCCGCTTCTTACGCCTGCACTATATGATTCGGTTGCGGATGTGGAGATGACTATGGGGAATGGAAATGGAAATGGAAATGGTGATAGGAAGAGGGGGCAGAAGATGGTCAGGGTTGATGGTACGTACCTGCTACCTCCCCGTACCCTAATACCGGATTTTGAGACTTTATATGGGGGCGAGGGATGGAATTTTGAGCTCTTACGTTTTTTGTGATACGCTGGATACAAGGCTAACAGATTGTTTAGAACCGCCCAAGTTTGACCTCGAGTCATATATTAGCAATTACACTGGCATGTTATTTCCGTTGTTTGCTGCTTTGTTGTGTTAGTTTGTACTAATGCTGCTGCGCTTATAGGGAGGACGAGGCTTGCTAGGCTATACCTTATTGGGACCTGCTCGACCTTCCTATCAGTTGATGCCTTGAAGATGGCGATTACAGAGGCGAAAGCTGGGAGGGATGTGGAATTTTATACAAGAGCCGTCGAAGCTTTGGCTCGTGTTGCTCCCCATGATCCGGAAGCGAAGTTGGATGCTGCATGGGTGGATTATACTTCGAAAGTTCTCAAGGCGGAAACGGACCGATTAGAGCATGAGCTTAAAGGATATAAGAACAACCTGATCAAGGAGAGCATACGGGTAGGTGAATGTCCCTAGCTTGATTGATTTGGGATAATTAATTTGTCTAACGCGTTACCACTCTCATCTGAATAGATGGGCAATGAAGATTTGGGCCACCACTATTATCGCATCGGAGATCTAGCTTCTGCTTCCAAGGCCTACTCTCGGATGAGAGAATACTGTACCACAACCTCCCACATCGCGTCTATGCTATTCAAAAGCATCAATGTTGCCATTAATCGCGGCGACTGGCTGGCGGTTCAATCTAGTGTCCAACGACTTCGCAACCTGCATTTCAAGCCCGAGGACGAAGCGAAGCACAAAGCTAAAATGTTGGCTTCGCTCGGCCTGTCTCAACTTGCTTCATCCTCTTACCATGCTGCAGCACTAAGCTTCCTAGCAACGGACCCAGCCATTGCAGATAGCTACAAGGAGGCAATATCCGCCAACGACATTGCTGTATATGGCGGTCTATGCGCCCTGGCCTCCATGGATCGTGCCGACCTGCAGACCCAAGTCCTGGAAAACAAATCATTCCGCAACTTCCTCGAACTAGAACCTCACATCCGTCGTGCGATCTCCTTCTTTTGCTCCTCAAAATTTCGCCCGTGTCTGGATATCCTGGAAGCCTATAAGGCTGACTACCTCCTCGATCTTCATCTCCAGAAACACGTTCCTGTCCTCTACTCTCGTATCCGCACTAAGGCTATGCAACAGTACATCATACCTTATAGCCGCGTGGTGCTAGACGCGATGGTAAAAGTGTTTTCGCCGGGGCAAGCGGTGATGAAACCGGGCACGGGTGGCGCCATCGATTTGAATTCGCCGTTTATCGTTGAACTTATCGATATGATTCAGAAAGGGGTGCTGGATGGGCGCATCGATGTTGAGAAAGGCGTGCTTGTTACCAAAAAACAAGATACAAGGGAAAATCTGCAGCGGTCGGCTATTAATAATGCAACGGAATATTTCAATATGGCACATATACAACTCCTGCGACTGAATATTATTCATGCTGGCTTGGAAATTCCGCCTGTAGGTGCTGACAGGGAGAGCAGGCGTGGTATGCGTGTCAAAGCTTCTGCGGCAGATGCAGGGAAAAAACGGTTTTCGCTAGGTAGAGGGGCGAAGGAGTCGAAAGAAATGGAGTGATATAGATATCACTGAATATGGAAAGTGTTTGGAGAGTAATGGATATCCTTGGGCAATCAGTCTTCTCTTCATGAATTACGGGTCATTAGGTTTGACTTGCTTTGGCGGTGACGATCGTGACGCTATGGGGTGTTGAGTCTTTCCCTATCATGATGTATTAGAAAAATGGCAGTTCAAGGGGCCCTGCGGGAGTATTTTATTTATTTATTTTTTTTTTTTTGCAAAACTTTCTCTACAAGGTTAGATACAAAATATTGATGATCATCATGCCCATACTTCACCAGCCATAAAAGAGAATACAAAAAATAAAATTAAAATTAAAATTAAAAACCCCTCACAACTTCGCCCTCTCCTTCCCCTTTTCCAAAATCTTCACATCCTGAAACGGGACTCCCAAAAACTGCCACATATAATGAAACCGATCACTGCCAAAAAACGGTTCTTCCTTGCCCTCCGCGTTCCTTACCCAGAACCACGGCGCCCCAAACGCGCCCCGATCCAGCGCCTCCTTTGTCCGGTCCGTCAACGCCTGTTTCCCCTCAGGGCTCTGCGCGCTCTTCATGATGGTTTCAATCTCCGCGTCGGAGTATTTCTCTTCACGCAACAGGGCAATCATATTCTCGGGCTTGCTAAGGTCGATGTGACGGTAGAACATGTAGGTCCAGTAGAGGAGGAAGGTGTTTTCGAAGCGGGAGCGGGGATAATTGGCTTTTATATAGGTGGCCACCCGTTGGGGCTGTTTGGGTCTCCTTGTTAGACAGGGGATGTAGGGGATGTAAGGGATGTATGGGGATATATGGCTAAGGGGACGCCGGGATGTGTTTTGGAGGAAATTACCAGGATAGTGAGGGGAGGGAAGAAAGGGGGTGGTGACATGTCCTTGACATTGAAGTATTTGGCGGCTCGCTCACGGTCAAATTTGCCGTATCTCGCCTTTACGGGGTTTGTCCATGGTGGTGTGTTGCCTTGATGGGATCGGTGGATTGTTAGCCTCTCTGTGTCTAGTTAATTGATCCCTGGAAATTCGATCAATGGGTTTGGTGTTTACCTGAGCCGGCATTTATTCCTCCCAGAAAGACGGGGAAGATCCTAGAAGGCAGATTGGTATTTTTTAGAGCAAATCACTTGGCGTAATGGTTGTATAATTATACGTACTCGACCTCAATGCCATGCGATGCTAGTAATTCACGGTTCTTGAGGAGGTGTTGGAAGGAGAAGAAGGAATAAGGAGAGGCTAAACGATTATTAGTGTTATTGCTCTTGTCAAAGTGAATTCATCATGTACTCAAATGACGTGAGGGGCCATACGGCAGTCGAAATATGCTTCTATCTTGCCGCCCATTTTTTGTGATCTCCAGTTTGCTGCTTCCGGCCAAACGATAGGAAGTGATAGGTACTTCAGAGAGATATATCACCGAAGATCCTCCATATATAGAGACCAAAGAAAGGAATTATATGGACCCAGCTGTATAACTAGAAAAGAAGGTGAAAAATTGCAAACCACCTGGGTACAACGTGGGTATCTGCAGCTGTTTATATCTATAATTTGCAGAGATGTAGAAACTTTCTCTGTGAAAGACTGGGTGGAAGATGCCGAGGTCCAATGTTCTCGGCGTTGTTCGTGTGTTCGGCTGATCAGCCTTCAACGTCTTTTCGGGCCGAAAATCCAAACCCGATCGGCAAGCAGAACAGGAATGAATATCTGATATTCAACCCCAAAACATTGCCGAAGTGAAGAATGATTAATCGCATCAGGCCAATTTATTGTGTCCTAGGGTAATTTTCGAAATCTATCCGACTTATTTACGAAAGCTCCATTGGCCTCTCTAGATAAACTCATATATGAGCGCTATCCAACATTATTTTCTCTGAATCTCGAAGTGCTACGGACGCCAGGTTACCTCCTCATTTCGGTATCCTGACAGGAGATTAATTATTTAATATATCCTACTGTAGTGCATAGAAAGGATCATAGCAGCTATGCCAACCACCAAACCAGTGGCATTGGTGATTGGAGCGTCTCGCGGAATCGGACGCCAAATCGCCATCGATCTAGCAAAGGATAGCTATGCCGGTTCGTGTTGTCCTCGCTGCCTCGATCTCTACTCAATTTGAAAGAACAAGATCTAGTCAAATGCGACTGCTAAATAAGCTACCTTGTTTAGTTGTTGTATCTGCGAAAACAACCTCCGACGCCAGCAAAACCAACCCCTTCCCTCCAGACCCCAACTCTCCAGAATCAACTATCAACACAGTAGAGCGGGAAATCAGAGAAGCGGGTGGCGATGCCGTGGCACTGGCAGTCGACACTAGAGACGATGATGCTGTCAACCGTCTCGTCCACAAGACCGTCGAGATCTACGGGAAACTAGATGTTCTCGTCTATAACTCTGGAGCCATATGGTGGTCATCCGTTGAGAACACGCCCGTCAAGCGATTCAAACTCATGCAACAGGTCAATCCGGAGGGCCTGTATTCTAGCGTACAGGCGGCGTTACCTTATTTTGCGAAGAATGGATGGAAGGGTAGGATTATTGTAGTGTCGCCGCCCATATACTCAAGATTTTTCCGGGGGAAGACAGCGTACGCTATGGGTATGTACCAGCAACTATTTTTAGGCCAATCAGATCATTTGTCGCGCTTGTGAGATTCTTTGGCATTAACAGAGCACCCTTTTATCTTTATCAGGCAAGATCGGAATGAGCGTTTTGACCAAGGGGTTGGCAATGGACTTTATCCGCCAGGGACGCAAAGACATGGCGATTACAAGCATCTGGCCTGCTGTGGTATGTCATGGCCTCTGATTTACCTCTATGCAGTCTTCTTTCACTTCTTTCAGTCTCTGTTTTTTCTCCTCTTGGTCCTACCGTCGCTTTGGCACTAACAACAGGTAACTAAAACCAGTCCATCGAATCCGCCGCAACCAAACGATCCACAGATAAAGACCCCTCGTTCGCAAAAGAACTCCGAAAACCTGTATGACTTGGATATTTCCCTATCCCCCGATTCCCAATCCCTCAAAGGATAACAACATAAAAAGCTAATTTTCATCCACTTCAAACACAACGCAAAGACCATTTTCTCCGCCGCAATCATAGGAATACTACATGCTCCTGCATCCACTGTAAATGGCCTCCTAACTCTAGACGAAGACTTCCTCCGGGAGTATTGCGGCGTGACGGACTTCTCTGAATATAATACCGTGCCGGGTTCGAATCCGAGACGAATTATGCCTGCCAAATTCCCCACGTTGGAAGTTGAGGAGCAAGACGATGAAGGGCGAAGGGTGGATAGTACGGTCTTCAGGGTTGCAGAGGGGAAATCGAGGTTGTAATCTATTTCTTTATTAGCGAAGACATATTTTTATGATCATTCATTTTGCTGCGTTTCCCCCAAATCCCTTCCATCTGTGGAATGAACAGATAGGTAAAGCAGACTACATAAACAGCCATACGTGGAACCAGATAATCTCATCCTACAAAAATGAAGACGAATATTGTACAAAACACTTTACACCGAGGTTCCAACCCGAACCTCGAGTGAAGACCACTCAAAATTCAACCAAAAACTTGGATAGGGACAGATTCTTTTCGGGTGTCATAACCCCTCTAGCAAAATGTGAGTTAACATTGAATAGTACTGTCATTAGAAATAGCCGTGGGTATAGGACTAAGTTGGGACATTGTGACTGGGCCGATTTCTGTTCCTTCTCCATCATTGTTTGTCTTTGTTGGCGATCGCAGGGCAATCGAATCGAGCGCTCGATCAGCCAACAGAGCTGACATTGAATTAGATTATGTGTTAGTGCTTCTTACTCCATGTATGGTACTAGTCAAGGTGAGGGGAGCTTGGGATATATCTGAATAACTCACCTACGAGCAACACCAGCGTAAATGTAAAAATAATCATAGGGTTTGTCATAAAGCTGTAGACCAGACGGAAATTCGTCACAATTGCAACCATACCCAGCAGGAGAATTCCCAGCAAAACACGCGTGGTAATAGCCACCCAAGAGTATATCTTCCCTGTATGACGCTGCGTAAGGAAAACGAAAGCGGCGAATATGAACATGGCAGCGGACGCGACAATAAAATAATACATGTACACAAATCCCAGCATTTCTAAATACAACATCAGCAGCTTGTCGCTGTCCACCATATGGGTTGCTGGCGTTATTCCCATGCTTGAGAAGAGGCTCGCCGTCACGTTTCCCATCAGGTCATGAGAACGTTGGAGGGTGAGAGCACCCGGGCCATCATCCGACGAGCACAGGGGAGGGTTATCTCGGAGCGCTTGGAGGATGGATTGGATACAGCGTTGTTCGTCTTTGGCACCTTGGGAATAGTCAATGTCCATGTCAGTGATTGTGCTGTTGAGCAGGTCGATGGCGAAATTTGGGTCTGGCCGTGGCGGTTCGCATGCAAAGAAAATGGTGTTACTCAGATACTTGAGTTTGAGAGATATATCTAAAGTCAAGGCAAGAATCTGGGAGCCCTCTGAGAGGAGAACAAGCACGACATGGAACGGGAAGTGCAGTTGAGTCCAGATCTGTTGTTGAGTTGGACCATATTTCATTCGAGGAGATATATCGAAGTATGATTGCCATAAAAGGTACTAGGATAACGTCAGATCACATTTCCATCTGTTCATATAAGTGCCGCGGGAAGAAACATACCACTGCCGTCGTCACGCCAAGTATATGAACAAAGGACCATTTCGTCCAGCCACCAGAGCCAACAGTTCTGTTGACGATTCTAATTATGGAGATAACGCCTTCTCCAATAATTATAAGCGTGAGAAGTCCCATGCGAACATTGAGATGGGTATCTTCAAACCCAATTCCCGGAGTTCGACTCGATACAGACATAACAACCAGAGTTTCAATAGCAAATATGAGAAACCACGAAGTCCACACATATTCTCCTCTCGTGCCCGTAATGTTGTTAAACACAAAATACAGCTAACCACCGAGTTAGCCTTGATCTCATGCCAGAGATACGCTCACAAAACTCACCCCAGTGTAGGTAAACCCCGTTGCCATAAAAACCAACACTATCAGCAGCAACCCCTTCGAAGCCAATCCCATTGTACGGTGGAGGAACATTGCGGCTATTGAATACTCGAGGCTTAATAACAGGCGACTGCAGGCCAGAAGCAAGCTCAACGAACGGAATGCCCAGACGTTCTCATCGCGGACTTGCGTTGCGAAGCCAGAGCCGGTAGAAGCAAACCCAACCATCGTCGCAAGCTGTAGCGCTTTGCAAATCCTCTCAAATATAGAATCCTGCGCAAAACGAATGTCAAATAAGGACACCTGAAGCCATGTGAACCATATGATGCTGAGGAAGCTAACATAAGACCACAATGCTATTTGAAGTCAGTACAGAATTAGTAAAGCTGCGGTGTTCCCTTGTAGACATGACGATTCTCACCTTCTAGATTATTGATTTCATGAGTAGCAGTGAATGTAGAAAGATTTGCGACGAAGAACAGATCGAAGAATAACTCGATAGGAGTTGAGTCAGTATGCTGATGAAGTTGTGGATGCGCTCCGTCCGTCTTATCGAGCGGCGATTTAATCCAAGGGACACAGCGATTTGGTATTCTAGAGGAGCGGGTTAGCCGGCTGATCCACCATAGCATATTTCGGAGCGTAAACTTAACCTTTTCCTTGCAGACCAAATGATAGACAGAGATTCGCAACTGAAAGCAACGGATCGTGGGCGAACCATGATGATGCCACGAATAACTACGAGGGCCAGGATAATCCTCAAAGTGCAATATTCAACTGTTAGACATGGGGCAGTTAGTCTAATTTACTCTCCCTTCTTCTGCCTCGACGATAAAAAAAATACTCGTTTGGTCTGTTCATGGGCAGGCGCGAATTTGGTATCCGCCACGGCCGGTGTTTGATCACTGTCTGTAGCAAGAGCAACAGACACTGCCGAGTGGGAAAAGCTCAGCACAGATCGATATTCGGCTAAGGAACCCGTTGTTCTTCGCAGCTCGATCAGTCCGGAACCTCAGCTTCAGATGCCGCTTCGGAGTGTCCTCCCATATTTTCCAGCCCACGCTGGCCCTGGACGTCGGTACCTGGTAGGAGATTCCTATCACCCGGGTTGAGCCCCGCCTCTGCCTTCAGTCTCTCGTAGTTCTCTCCAGCCTTTTTCAGCAGTGTTTGGATCTCCACTTCTCTAGCTGCGATCTCCACTTTCTCCTTTCGAAGTTCCTCCAGCCGCAGGACAAGCTGCACCTTTGAGCTCTCTACGGAGCTGAGGGAACTCCTCAGGCGAGCTAAGTTATCTGCAAGACGAGGGAGGGGAGTTATCTTAGGAGGTGTTTTTGATCGGGCGGGAAGACTCTCGTGGTCGCGTCGGAGACCGTCCATTCCGGCTCGAGTTTGTGCAGCTTCGTAAGCAGCTTTGCGTTCTGCCTCTGAATCGTCCGCCTCGGAAGATTCTTGCGCCTCATCAATCAGTTCCTTCATCTCCGCGCGTTCTTTCATTTGCTGCTCTCGTTCCGCCATTCTGCCCAGCGCGATTTTGCCATCTTCTACATACTCGTCAAACCCCTCCGCGAAATCTTCGTCATCCCGGACAAGCCTCGTTTCTAGTTTCTCCTCCTTTCGAGCCAACGACCAGCCATCATCACCAGTATCATCTAGGGAAATAAAATCCTGCTCGGGACCTTGTGCCTGTTCCATGGCAAGACGGGCGCGCCTCTCCTTTTTCTCGCGGATCTCAGCTTCAGAGGGAATGATGGATGGTCCCGAAACCTGAACAATCTCTCCAAATTTCGCCGAGATATCCAGCTGTCTTTCCCTCTCGTTCTCAATCGTATGCATCGATCCCACGTCCTTTGGGGTCGAAGGGGTGGAGTTGCGGAGTTCCTTGAGATAGTCTTGGTTATAGGTTGGGCGATCATCTTGCTGGCCGGCGCGGAAAGGTAGATGCTCAGACGAGGCTGAAGGTGTCCATGCACGGTGAAGACTGCTTTTCTCCAGAACGTGTTTCCTCGCTCCAATTCTTTTTGGGGTTATTACTTCGCCTTCATTCAAGTCGGTATCATCGGTCATGGAGGTCTCTCCGGAAGCAAAGGAGAGGCGCATTTTTGATTTCTGCTTCGGTTTGGTGTTTGGCCTCCGGATGACTGGCTCCGAATCTTTTCAATGTTAGCATAGGCACTCTCTCCTTCCCTCATCTGCAATTTGCATGATTTGTGATGTGTTGGGTGTAGTAGCTGATCCCGACCTTGTTCGCTGCCATTCTCCACGCTGTCTTCTTCTTCATCACCACCAACCTTGCGAGCCTTGCGACGATTGGCAAAAGGAGAACTCATGATTTCCCCTGTGAGCAAGGCCAAAAGAAAAGGTGCAAGAAATAGAAAATCAATTTAATTGAATTTAGGTGATCAAGAATATATAACTGTTTTCCATCGTATAATAAGCTCAAAAGCTAGCTAGCTACGTAAGCTAAACTTTCAGTCCGGGTCCCGGCAAATTATTGTTCCGAGGACGCAATCGCAATACGGTTCTTGCAGTGCATCTTCTCAAGCTCAAAAACAATCCGCATCAGATTTAATTTGAAAGGATCTTCACAACAACCCGGACTTCCTTTCAAAATGCCTCAAGCTCAGCCAGAATTAAAGAAGGTATGTCAAATTAAAAAATTAAAAAAAATAAAAATTGGCGTTTTCTCCGCGCAATTTCCCATGGAAGCTGAAAACTAACATGCCTCCTCCCCCCCTCCTTTGCACTTTTTAGTATATGGAAAAGCGGTTGTTCGTTCAAATCAACGGCAACCGCAAAGTCATCGGAATCCTTCGAGGATACGACGTACGAGCTTTCCCTTGCTCTCTCCCTCTTCTTCTTTGAAGATCCGCGTGGCGCTTCGTTTCCCCCGTTTTCTACAAAGCGCCAGCGAAAGCTGACATGGCGAGTGCAATACAGGTGTTCATGAACATAGTCCTGGACGAGGCCGTCGAAGAGAAGAGTGGAGGCGAGAAAGTGCGCTTGGGCATGGTGGTATGTTTTGAACAAACAGGACCTTTATGATAGCATATCCCCCCACATGTATGGGCTGCGTTAACTGGTTTATATTTATGTTCATTAGGTCATTCGTGGAAACTCCGTCGTCATGCTTGAGGTTTGTTCCCCATGCCTGCGGCATATCTGAGGGAATGGCAAGATGGAAATGGCTGACATTCTTTGACTTAATGCCACAGGCACTCGAACGGATTGGAGATCGATGATACCCTGCGACGTGTGCGGAAAATACTCCTGGCGTGTTTGGGCATGGGCTGTTCTCTCACATTTTCTTTTTACTTTTCCTTTTTCCTTTTTCCTTTTTCCTTTTTCTCTCCCCTTTTCCCTCGATAATGTTTTCTTATATTGCGATGGCTGAATAACATTTCATTTCACTTCAATTCGTGGTTCTAGGAGTTCGAAATCTTGGGAGGGAGGTTCCAAAAAAATATCCCGCATTAAAATACTATATCAAAATGGAGGGCATTCAGATCACTGGGAGAATATGCTCCCAACTTTTCTTTGTTACACTTAACCATGTAAAACAATGGATAAACCTTGTTTAGAAAAATGTAGTTTTAAATAGCTGGGGGTGGTTCAAAAAAAAAAAAAAAGTTAAAATATATATCGCCTGCACAGAGCTTCCCTTCTTCCTGACCAAGAAACAGCAAACAGCATTAAATCCCAGTGGCGCAAGCTTCATTCAGATCTTGCTTGCTCTTCATGACCCCGACCTACCTTGTTCCGCCAAAAAAAAAATAAATAAATAAAAAAAATAAATAAAAAACAAATACTCCGAACACCTGAAAGACTACATCATATTGACATAGCCATTGATAAAAAACAAACCCAGTGATGGCGCAGACGGCCAACAGAAAAATACTAACTTTGAAAAACTATTCAAGGTGAAAATCACGAAATAAATATGCAAAGTTAGAAAGTTAGTGAGCAAGCGTGGACGAGCCGGACTTGAACTTCAATTTCAGCTTGGGGATGGTTGTTGATTGCGGGGTGGGTTGTGTGTTTCCAGGGGACGAGGATAGAGAGAGTTTCGGGACTTTGAGAGTGAGTTTATGGCTAAGGGGCGGAGGGGCGGCGTCCTCCCGCTTCCTCTTGAGAGCACCGTTAGGAGCGGGAGGGGCCCCTCCTCCTCCTCCTCCTCCTTTCGATACAGCTGCGGTACGGAAACGGTCCCCTTTGAAGAATCGGAGCTTGCCCTGGTTTTCAACGTGTTACTTCTCACATACCCGATTACAGTTGAAATCAATTTGATCCAGTGGGTTTCGTTAACAACGGGGAAGCTTACACGTCCAAGATTTTCCATTTTCCAGTACCGAGGATACTTCAGAGAAACCATAATTTTATCGATGGGTTCGTATATGACGCTACAAATATCGACGAAACTGGATAGTTCCGCTGTGCCGACCACGGAGGAATTGCATGCTGCCCACAACGCCTCCTTTAAGGTTGTGTTGCCTCCAAGTTCCTGCTTCAATGCCTCAATCGCTCCGGGAACGGTTTGCTTGCGGGCAAGATTAGCCTGACGGACTTCCGTGGATGACTCTTGCTCGATGATCAGGTTGTTGGAATGTTCTGGTTTGTTTTCGCCGGTGCGCTCGCCGAAAGCGATGGCAGCTAGACCTCTACCGAAGGCGAGATGCAGGTTGTGTCGAATCCACGGAGACGGGTCCGTCGACATTACGTAAATAAACCAGGTGAGTAGCTCGGGGATTTGGAAGATGTCAAACTCAATCAGGATGTCGAAAGCATCTAGCCGAAGCATTTCGTAGGTGCCTGCTCTTGTATACTGGAGGAACTGCACGAGGTCCAACTCAATCACGCCGGCCTGCATAAACCGTCGCTGACATCCTATTGCAGTTCTCGCGTAGATGTTCTGAAAAGAGCTCGTCCACTCGTCCATTCGTCTATATCGGTCAATCTCTGCAATGCAATCTCGATCAAGTTGTTGTTCCGCTTGGCGCTCAAGTTCCATTTCCATATCGAAATCCATGTCAATGTTACGGGGTTCGTTTTCCTTTCGTCCAAGTAAAGCATCGCATATGGATTTCATGAGCGCCGCCACGTAATAACAATCCGAAATCTATTCATCGTATCAGTATCAGCAAATTCAATTCCCATATCCTAAATCGAAGAGTGCTGTGATGCCGTACCTCACTGTTGGAATTATCATTAAACTTTAATTTATCGTAGAGAAAGCGTTTCACCCTCATTGGTGTCTTTCCAGTGCTATCCCGAACCTGTGCGATGGCCTGGGGTATAGTGAGCTGGAGAATATAAGATGACCGGTCTGAAAAGTCGTTGGAACGAGTCATGGGAGAACCAGGCAAACAAAAAAGTTCCTGGAATGCGCTTTCAAGATGGAATAGGCCGATCCAGTCAACATCCTCTTTGGCATGTTTTACGAGAGCCTTGGCAGCCGCTGCTCGAATTCCATAGAAATATCGTCGATCCATAAGAGTACGTATAAAAATGGTTGATATGAGAGGATGCTCGCGCTGGGCAGCCATGTATTGAATTGACTGAAAACAGTTAGCATGATTGCTTATTCCTAGAAACAAGGGCTGGAATAGATGAATACCTCCAGCTGGGCAACAATATCTCTGTCTTGTTGTAGTTGAGATAGATACATGTACCCGGGCATAGTAAGTGACATTTTACATATCCACTCGAAATCAGCATCCATTCGAATCCACTCATAAGATTCCTGGCCCATTCGGTCCTCATCCTCTTTACTCCATTCAACGAGTTTCCATTTTTGAATCTCCTCTTCAGATTGGAGGACATCTCCCAAGCAGTAGAGTAAGACGTCATCTTGAAGCTCGGCATTTGGATCTAGACCAGATGCGGCAGCTGCACGTTCTTTCTGTCTCTTGTTGCGCTTCAGGCGTTTGTATTTGGTGTTATATGGTATGTCGAACTTGGTGACACCTTCTTTGATCTCAACGATATGTTCATACGGCGTCCCATCGGCTTCGTGTATTCGAATAGTCATAGAGCCTGTGAATACATGTTGCACAGCGCCTGCATAGACGTTTTTTATTTCCTCTTTAACATCTCTCATGAATGTCAGTTTATCTAGGTCTCGGACGGTGGGTTGTTCGGATTGAACTTGTCGAATCATCATTTCAACGACTAGTTTCTTTTTGTTGAACCGTTGGGTGGCTAAAAATCGAGGACAGCCAGCACCATACACCCACTGTTGAAAAAATTGGTCAAGTTTCGTGTGTCCCAACCTCTCACAGATCTTTTGAAGAAACGAAGTGGCCAAAGAACCGTTCGGAAGGTCACCCATTCTAGCATGCAAGAATATTCGGGAGATTATTCGGGAGATAGTCGCTTTCCCACTAGCTTTGGAAAGCCGCCGCTCCAGAATGTAGAGGACAAGTGGTGCTTTCAAAGCTATGAACTCGGCCTCTGAGGGATCCAATCGCAACAGTGGACCCATGTCGTAGATCGAAGGTCGTAATATGTCAAGGTCGCAAATTCTATCCGACATCTGCTTCAGTCGATACCTGTATTCGTTGTTGCCACATAACTTCTTCATGAATGTGTCTGTTATATAGTAAGAGATGCCAAAAATGGCCCAAGTGTCCGTGGGCTCCTTGGGAATGATGCTAACGCCTATCCACTGGGAAGCTAGCGAATGAACTAGACATCTGGTGGACTCGTAGATAGGATCGATTATATTCTCCGGGAAAAGAACACGATTGCTGCAAATGGATAGCGCAGCGGTCGCAGATGCGGATGAAGGGAGGTCATCGACGAAACACATTTTATAGCTGGTAAATGGGTACGACCCATAACTGAGAGAGAGAAAATCGATAGCTTTGGCCATTGGTAGACAGGTATTCCTGACTTCGTCTGCACGACCTGGAAGACAAAATGCGTGAACCGGTATAGCATTCTGTCCAAGTTGGTCATCCTCGTCGCTCTCGCGATATTCCGAGAGATTGACGTACTCGAAAGGTCCAACAGCAAAGCCAATCTGTTGCGCAGATACCGGGCTTGAGCAGGAGAATGACACTGTCTTCTTTGTTGGATCTTTGGTATCCATAATTTCGTCAGTCAAATTCCCCGAACAGGTCACGACCATATCTAACGATTCATCATCAGCAGATATCCCTAGTTTGCGCAATAACGCATTCCACCCCTTAGTCGCTCCGTTTGTTACCTGAGATTCTCGTCCCTTGGGATAAAGTGCATCCCCCAGGGTTCGGGGACAGCGAATCGATATATCCCACGTGCATCTTGAAGATATATCCTCAACGCACGGAAATAAAGAACATCCACCAATTGGTTCCAGCGAGTTGATCGTAAAGACGTGCGGGTAACGGCGATCACTGTTCTCAACCCCAACGAATTGTAAACCATCCTTTGGGCGATCGATGGTGAATTCCGCATTCACGGTCAACATTGTGTATTTTGGCAGCGATGTTTCCGTAGCCCTTGAGGCCAGCTGGCCATCTGCCGTGTCATCTGCACCGCCGCTAGTCCGCAGCGCCAGCTGCAGCTGTGCTTCCGCAGAGAAGGGATCCAACTCATCGATTCGGACAGACTTGGGGACCGTGACAACTAACTCGGGATCTGGGGGGTTCTTGAGAAGAGGTTCTAGTCTCTTGGAGAGTTTCTGGTGTTGATTGACGCCGTATAGTCGGAAGGAGTCGTAGGGGTTGGTATATTTCGTTGTCGGAGCTTTCCCACTGACATTCAACCGTTTCAGTTCTCCCTGGCGGAAATTTAGGCGGATGGTTTTGAGTTCTTTGCAGTGAGGTTGGATGGTAATTTCAGTTTTTCCTTTCAAACTCCGGTTCACGAAATCGATATCCAGCTCGACCTTCTGGTGGACTACGGAGAAGCCCAAGCCAGAGCGCGCAGGGGCTGAAGTTTCCACCACGCCATGCATTGTAGGCTTCAGTCAAAACGCGGCGCTGGTCGCGCAGTGAGTGTATCACAACCTCATAGCCAGCTCCAAGGGGGCACAGCTGTGCTTGTCTGCGGTCGTAGCGGAGGGATTTATTTAAAGGGTGGATGGCTGGAGTCCGTATTCTGGAGCGAGTTTGTCCTGTTGAATCTGCCAGCGATCTCTAAGCACGGAGAAACATGGTTTCTGCAAACAGAGTGGCGGCGCGGAAAGGATAAGAGAAGTCAACAGCAACACTGAGCGCGGGGTGACTGGGGAATTGGGGTTGATTGAGGTTGAGGTGAAGGAGCAGAAGCCCCAGAGAGCGGCGTTGCAGTGAATCCGATTGGCAGCAACTGGCCATTTGGGGCAATTTGCGGTTGGACTCTTTTCTTTGATGCTGTAACAGTCCCGGCGACCGCCGCCAAGCCACACTATTCCCTATGAAGTTAGTTGCCTGATTCAATTGCTTAGTAAGCTTGACGCAGTATTAACTAACTAGTTAGTCAACGAACGGATGTCATTGCATCGTCATAAAATCATCTTTCTACATAAGATCTGTAGATAGGGTTATAGAGGATCAACGGGAGTTAGTAGCGTGTCTTCGAGTTTTTGGTAGGGTCTATTAGGACGTGTCTACGGTGGCAACCCCTTATTCAATGTTGGGCATGAACCGCCCGGTAGCCGCACCACCTCACGTGATGTTCGCGTATATCAGTTAGCTGGCCAAGTTCCTTCCACCAATGGAAGACTAACCATCCCACATTAAATTACCCTATATCACGTGAATAAGAGATCAAGTAATGCTGTTTACTTACTGGCACCATCTATAAAAGAATACAGTATTTCAATGATCACTGGGAAAAGGAAATTCTCTGGTAAGAAAGGCCCTAACTCCTCAACCGCAATAAACAAACCTATCTATCAATGGAAACTTTAGATAACTTGACAATAGGCCAAAGAGCTGGGGCTTGCTGAGCTTACAGCTGGGTCACGTGGCGGGTAGACTAACAGCCTCGGCATCTCCGTGCTGAAATCTCGTGCTGACTAAAGCCGAACACCTTCTTTCCCAGGGGGTCAGATTATATTATTATTTACATATATTTTGGGTGCTCAACAACTACGACACGACTCTTTTTTAGGGGGTTTAGAGCATGGCTGCTTGGTGTTTTTGTGTCTTCTTATATATGATCCGCGTCGTCTTCTTTCCTGTCCTGTTTAATTGATACCAGCATGCTCTGAGTGGTGCCGCCCTTCTCCCCAAGAGACATCTCTCCCTTCCCCCCAAAAAGCGCCTCCCCCTGTCGTCGGCTGCCATGGACTTTCTCAAGAAAATTGCGGGTATATATATCCTCTGAGTCCTGGACGAACTTTTCTAACTTATTTTGTTACTGTTTCTTGTAGATGCCCAAGAATCATTATCGGAAGATGCATTGTCACATCTGAAAACATACAAATACTCCAGCGTCGACAAGTCTTTCATCTCCAGATATATCCTGAAGCACTACGTATGGCTCTATATAGACCCGGGCCCTTTCCCCCCCCCCTCCTACGTACCCAGACTAACGAACTACATATATACATACAATAACAGTGGAATGCTTTCGTCGAACTCCTTCCATTATGGCTCGCGCCGAATATGGTCACGTTGATCGGTTTCATGTTTATAGTTGGCAACCTGATACTTATGGAGATTGCCGTTCCAGATCTTGTCGGACCGGTATTGGCTCTCTCTATCTCTTCGTTAAATTTGACACCGTCCATGATGCTGATTTCGTCTGTTGTAAACGTTAGGCTCCAGCATGGGTATACTACAGCTTTGCGCTGGGGATATGGATGTAAGGAACGCACCCCTTCAAAAGATCTGGTCACTAGACGGATATGCAGTACATATGGATTCATTGATTGCTCTGATTGTTCTGACTATCCTCTAGGTATTCAACAATGGACAATGTCGACGGGAAACAAGCGAGGAGAACAGGCACCTCGAGCGGTCTGGGAGAATTGTTCGAGTGCGTTCCCCCAAACTAAGAAAGTAGAAAAGCAATAGCATCTAACAGGAATCACCAGTCACGGGATTGACTCCTTGAATTGTACCCTAGCCAGTCTTCTGCAGGCTGCAGCGATGGGTCAGGGCTCCACGAAGATCGGGGCCTTTACTACGCTTCTCCCCTGCCTCCCTATGTTCTTTTCGACTTGGGAGACCTACCACACCCACACCCTGTATCTTGGATATATCAATGGTCCGACCGAAGGGTTAATCATCGCAGTCATGATGATGGTAGCGTCAGGTTACTACGGGCCTCACATCTTTTCAAACAAAGTAGCAGATACTTTAGGCCATGCAAATGTGTTCGGGAATTGGACTTTCCAGGAGCTTTTCGTCTTTGTTCTCGGATTTTCGTTTTGGACTGCGCACTTCCCCGCATGCGTCTACAATGTGATACGCGTCCGTAAACGCCAGAAACAACCTGTTCTACCCGTATTCTTCGGATGGATACCCGCCACCGTTGCGTCCGTATCCGCCGTGTCTTGGCTATATTCGCCTTACTCGTCCCTTCTGAAGGACAACAGACTCGTCCTCTTCGCTGTCACAATGTGCTTCGTGATTGGGCGTATGACGACCAAAATCATCCTGGCACATCTCACCAGACAGCCATTTCCCTACTGGACAATACTTATAACTCCTCTCATAGGCGGTGCCGTGTTAGGGAACCTGCCGCGATTTGGGTTTCCTGCGATTAGCCCGTGGTTGGAACTGTTATACTTGCGCCTGTACCTGGTGTTTGCTTTTGTCACGTACATGCATTGGGCATACTTTGTCGTCAACAGAATCACGACTTACCTGGGCATCAACTGTCTAACCATTAAACAAGATAAGCCGAAGGCTAGGGAGCCTATCTACCGTTCATTCGGTGATGCACGTGTCGACATCCCCTTCAATGCTAGGCCTGACCCTTTCGCAGATTCAAGGGTCAAGGCCAACTAGGAGGGGTCTCCTTGCCCCACCAGGACGCCTCTGACCAACTCCGGCAATTATAGCTCGTCAGAGCAAGCCCGAACACTACCATGTCAAGGATTCCAGCACTGCCGTGGGACAAAAAGATCTCATATCGGGAGATATATGATGAGAAACTGTAATGGATACTTGATACGGAACCGTGACCATTTTTTGCGACAACCAGGACAAACTCCCCCTTACACTCTCATATATATACACCTCCCGCCGATATAAAACCCGAGAAAGTGTTTCTGTATTACACATTATCGCAATTACAAACACACGTGAACGCAGCTGAGTATGCATAGATTTTCGGATGAATTGTTCACTGTTAAAGATAGACGTCCATCCAGTTGTCATTCACGGTATATGGTGGTAAAAAAAGTTTTCAGTTTTTTGATACCCGCACTTAGACTTGGACTTGGACTTCTTACCCTAGACTTTGGATTGATTGAGGAACTTTTTTTGTCGGCTCGACAATTAATTTGATCTTGTTGCATATTGTTTTGCTTACTGTAGTAACATCTCACTGTTTGCTTTTCGATGTCGAGGTGAAAGCGGGCCTATTAATAACAACAACCTGGGTGTTGTTGATTTTCATTATTATCTTTCTTGACTTGCATTTGCTACATCATATTATTGTTATTATTAATATTATTAATATTATTAATATTATGCAATTTTATATAGTTATTACATATACATATAGGTTAATTATATTCAATTTGTATTGTCATTTACTAGGGATCAGCAAGCTGAGTATCATTTCTTACACTACAAAATAGGAAATGCTTCCATGTTATGTCCACTCTCAAAGGACCGCAAACCAGTTAACTAACGCCTTGTTAGAGTCTCCAATTTCTTCTTTGTGTCAAGTCCCTGATTTCGACTTGAAACCGCTGCGTGACGTCATAGAAAGCATATAAGAATAAGCTCTCTGCCCAAGTTCATCTCGAATATTTTATTTGGTTCTCACAACCTCCCCCTCCAGCAATCAAGAAAATGTCAGAGATTGTGCATTGAACTGTAGATGCTCAATTAAACCAAACCACCCCTTCTCCCCTTCCCGGGTGAGGGGTATACCATAAAATAAATTTGTTCTATTTATACCTCTTTGATATTGAGTGTCTTGTTTTGGTTTTCTTAATTTCGTCTTGTTCCAAGAAGGGAATTCGAGTGGGTTTTGCCACGTGAATATCATCTAAATAGTCCGCTCAGTAAGCCATTTGATAATAGATTATCATCTGGAACTATCTGATTTCTTTCGACTGTTGAGGAATGCTTTCAAAATGGAGGAAAATATTGTGATCTGTATTCGGTACAAACACCCACTGAACCCGAGAATACTTAACTACTACTTGGACTGAAGCCTTGATACCAATTAGTTAAAGGCAATGTCAACTTGAAAAAAAAAAAAAAAAAAAAACACGTCATTTCGCCTCGGGGAGAAAATTATCCCTAAATAAAAACAGTTGTAAAATCTTTCAAAATTAATTCATTCTAGACTCTTGTATGACGGGCGACTGGTTAATCAACAAAAGTGATAACCCCATAATTTTTTATTTTATTTTTATTTTATTTTATTTTATTTTATTTTTTGGGATAGATTTCACCAGCGTCATCCCTGACAGTGCTGGGTTAGGTGACACACCAAATGACGTGAAGTGTGGTCAAACTGATCTACTCCGCATCCACTTACCTTCACTCCTACGACATCCATCATATCTTTCAAGGTTTGACGGGCTTTCTGTGTAGCGATGCATAACTCTGTTCCTTTAATCCTCACCTATGACTGGCTCGCACGAGCTTTTAGCAGGTTGATATAAGGTTGCTGGCGTTGATGTGGATGCCTGGGAAAGAGGCCCTTGACTGGGATGTGACGTCGACCGCCTGCCAGGTGCTCATCTTGTTTGTGTTCGTTGTCATATTTTCAGGCTTTGAGGTTTGCGATTTATGACGATGTCGGGTTGTCTGGCGAGGCGGGCGGGCATATATATACACATCCGAAGGCGGCATTTCCCTGAGAGATTTCCTCTTGTTGATAATTTTTGTTTATCATGTTTTCAATTGAAAATATAACCAAATTTATTTGATCCGAGTTCTTTAAAGGTTTAAACATTACCCCTGTATTCTATTAGCATTCTATCCCGACAACCGGGCCCAATCATCAGCATATACATTTTTGATCGGCACCAAACCTCCTAAAGGCGTGCAAGAACGGAGTGGACGTTTTCCTCTATCCAACGTTTCTTCTTCCCTTCGAACAGTCACGAATCGAATCACCCGTTGGCCAATCGCAGCCCTCCTTCAACCACTATTTCTCGATACTAAATATGGCATCATCCTCAACACAAGCCTCGGCCCCAACCATGCCGAAGAAGGATTCCAACACAGGTGGTCGGGGAAAACAACAGGTGAAGGGAAAGGTTGAGAAACCGGCTAAAGATGTTTCTAATGACATCGCGAATGACGACCATGAAGCAGAAGATGATGTTGATCAACCAACTGAAAGTGTTACGGAGCACCCAACTAGCGATGACCACGATGCCGAAGGAGAGGTTGACCAAGCAACTAAGCACGTCCCTGATGAACCAGAAGACGAGGGCTGCGATGTCAAACGCGATGTTCAACCACCAACTGAAGACGTCACTGAACCGCCCAAAAACGTTACTGATCATGCTGAAGAGGCAATAGACAAGCCCGAAGCGTCGGACGTGTCTGGCCTAAAGAAACTGGCCGGTCTTGTCCCAAACAAGGTAGGAAATGTAATGGGTCCTGATGACATACCTATTGCGCGATTGGTTGAGGGGAATCCCAAAGAGCTGGCGGGTAAAAAGATTGACGAGAAGGGACGTATCTGGAATGATTCAGGGAAGCCCATCGGTCGAGTTGAGATGATACCCGAGGACGAACGGGAAACAAAGGCAGAGGGCCCATTTGCCGGACTTGGAGGATTGTCGGTCGTCGATGGGGGTATGGTCGAAGATAAAAATGGCAATGTCGTTGGCAAGGTTGTTGATGGCGACGCAAAAAAACTATTGGGCCAAAAGGTGGACGAAGATGGGGATATAACAGATAAATATGGGAATGTAAAGGGACATGTGGAGCCTTATGAACCACCCGAGGAAGAGCAAGTTGAGGAAGATTTGTCTGCATTGGCGGGTAAAACAGTCAACAAGGCGGGTAACGTTGTAGACCAGTCTGGAGTCGTTATCGGCCGTGTTGTTTCCGGTGATCCCAAGAAGCTTGCTGGGAAGAAGGTCGATGAGAAAGGCCAGATCTGGGGAGATTCGGGAAAGGTCATCAGCAAAGTTGAATTGATCCCTGAGGGAGAACGGGAGAAGCCTGAGGGGCCATTCTCAGGATTCGGCAGCCTCACAGTTGCTAAGGATGGTGTTGTTCATGACGGCTCGGGAGAGATAGTTGGGCGCGTCATTGAAGGGGATACGAACAAACTTAGGGGTCGAAATGTCGACGAGGATGGCGATGTCATCGATAGGGCTGGAAATGTCCTTGGAAAAGCCGAGCGCTGGGAGCCAGAGGAAAAGATATTGGATATTAACCCAATGTCTGGTCGCAAGATTAATAAAGAGGGTGAAGTGCGTGATGCAGATGGCAATCTGATTGGGAAATTGACAGAAGGGAACTTAAAAAACCTCATTGGGAAGTCTATAGACGATAATGGATATGTTGTCGACAATGCGGGGAACAAAATTGGAGAGTGTACTTTATTGGAAAACATTCCTGACGAAGTTCCCGAACCCGAGCCCGAAATTCCCCAAGAGCAGCTCGACGCTGAGAAGCAAGAGAAAGAAGACAAGGAGCTGGCTAAGAAAATGTGTGCCATCGTACAACAGACCCTCGACAAGGTCGGGAGCGTTTGTAAGATGATCAAAGAGGTTAGTTAGCGACCAACTTCAAAACCCATTCGGCAGAAATAGTTTGCTAACAAAAGTTATACAGTACACTGAAACGGCAGACAGAACACCCAAGGAGGAACTTGACGAGGAAGATCTCGTGCAAAAAGTCAAGCCTTTGATCGAGGAAGGAAGCGGTTATTTGCAAGAATGCAACGGAGCTCTTCGTGCACTCGATCCAGACGGACAGATGGCTGCCAAAGCGAAATCGAAGGCTGCGTGGCGTGAAGCATCTCCAGAAGAGCATCAGCTGGCGGAACTCCTCAAGGAACTCACGTCGACTGTTGTCACAACTATTGACAATGCGAAGAAGAGAATTGCCGGTATGCCCCATGCTAAAAAGAAGCTCAACCCACTCTGGTGCCTGCTGAGTGAACCTCTCTTCCAAATCGTTGCAGCAGTTGGTCTCCTCCTCAGTGGCATCCTTGGTTTGGTGGGCAAGCTACTTAATGGTCTTGGGCTAGGCGGATTGGTGAACGGACTTCTTGGGGGGTTGGGAATCGACAAGCTCCTTTCGGGGCTGGGTCTCGGGGGTCTCACAGACGCTTTGAATCTTGGTGGTGATAAGAAGAAATAATGACGTTCTTTGCGTAATGATAATGACGATGATGCTTTGCTGTTCCCCATATTCCCTTTGCATTCTGCTTTCCGTTCTGACTTCTATTTCGCCTTCCCGTTTTATTTTCGTCGTGTCATAAATTGTAAAATATGCCTTTCAAAAATATCCGCTTTTATGAGTTGTGTTGAGTTGTGTTATTGAGATCATATCAACCTTCCATTATGCAATAGGGATAAATTGAAATATATTCAGTATGGAATAACTTGTCAATCAACTGTCATTCAGACGCGTTTGGCTAGACGATACGTGCCATCCGCTACTTCAAAGTGTGTCTTTTTGGTCTAAATGGAATGGAGGAGAGTTGAGACTGATTTTCGCACTTCCGTCAATAGTAATTAGGTTGTGAGAGAAGACTTCGCGATAACCTCTCAAGGGAACCTTAATAGAGAGTTCCAACCTTCCCATCTGCTTGGCTCTGCTCGACATAGAGTTGGTTGCCGGGCCTCGGTTTAGAAACGACATCAAGATGAAGTTTCCTCTGGATTGTTTACCATGATGTCAAGAAAGTCAAGGCCGTGGACAATGCCAAAATCGACAGGAGGAATCAGAATTCCTTTCCGTCGGTAAGCCAATTTTTCTGTCATCTTGAACTTCGTCATAACAGCTTATCGATGTACAATCCGAAGGAATGGATGTTTCATCAGCTCACGAGCCGTCCTCCTCTCCTCCGGAAGCCATTGGAGCATATCCCTAACAAAGGAAAGGAACAACTCCAAGAACGAAAACGTACGCCTTCGCAATGGGAAGGGGCAAGTCTTCGGTTCACAAAACGTTGCTGGAGCATCCACAGCGGTTCTCGCATCGGATCATATACAAGGCACAGATGCTTTCCTTCAGGACCATCTGCTTTAAAGCCTTCAATGCAAGTTCGTATGATGACGCAGCCACGGTGTGAAGGGTTTTGCCTCGCAATTAGCTGCTCAATAACACGCTCACGACGAACATCATTTGAACGGCAGCTATTTACTATTTTGAGCGGCACCGGCCGCTCAGACTGCCACTTGTACCTGTAAAATATACATTCATTCCCCGTGAGTATAACTTGAAACATTGCCTGGAGGGTTTAATGTACGACAACAAACAGACCGACCGCATTATGGTCCATGATATATACCTCGTCATATTTCGTGATAGCCAGACGGTTGAAGAGGCTCCACAACCAATCTTTACCAGCAGCTAGTGGCGATTGGCAAGTATATCACCGGGGTGTTATGGGTGGAGATAGTTGGGATTATAACCCGGAGAGCTCTCCTCGTCAACTGGTTCATGCCGGGGAATCGATGACAGAACGCTGGCGGGGAGGAGGAGAGCCCTCTTGGTAAGGGAGAAGAACATGCGCTTTGTGACATAATTTCTTGACCGTAGAGCAATCATGAGAAAAGATGGATATCATTTGACATCCTCTGTGGCGTGTGGTGGAAAGAATATTTAAGTTCAAGGAGCTTGGAGTTGCCCCTGAATCACGTGAAGCTATATCTAGGTCTGTCTGGGGATTTTTGAAGTTGAGTGTTGGGGTAAAGTATTGAGAAGATAAAAAGTTCTTGCAAGCCCGATAAAATAAAGATGAGTAAACATTGATTTGACACAAATGTCTAGATGGGAGGAGTGAAACACAAGAGGAGGTGGAAAAACCAGCCCTGTCAGACTGAAGAGCTCAAATCTCTCTCAGTGCATTTAGCGGATCTTAAAGAGTAACGTGACTTAACCACTAAATGAGCCGTACCACTAAATTGTTGGACGTCTGAAGTTGTTGGAGCCTAGGCTCCAACATAAATGAGCCGCGTTTTTGCGACGCGCTGCAATTTAATTCTTCAACTTCCACTGCTTTGAGATGCCAAACAAAGAAACTATTCAACTTGCAATTAAGGATTTAAGAGCTGAAAAGGTCAAAAATTACACTGCAACTGCTAGGAAGCACTCAATTAATAAGGAAACACTGCACTGGTATTATAATGGCTTGCAACTCATGCAGGATGAAGCAGCCTTCCAACATAAGAAGAAGCTCTCAAATCAGCAAGAACAAATGCTTCTGCTTCATATAGAGGAGTTTGCAGCTCACAGCTTTGCTCCTACACCTCAAATCATTCAAAATCTCATTGTGGAAATCATCAAAGAACCTGTTGAAATCCACTGGGTGAGATGTTTTACTGAGTGCTATAAGCCTCAAATTCAAAGAATTCATGTCCATGGCATTGATCAAAAACACAAGATAGCAGATAATTCTACTCATTTTGAGCATTATTTCCAGCTAGTATTTTGATCTTTTGCTTGTTTTCTTGCATTAAGTTCTCTATAGACTCTTGCTAACTATTTTGCTGTGTGACTACATAGTTGAATGAGAAGATCAAAAAATACAATATTGAGCCATCAAATATCTACAATTTTGATGAAAAGGGCTTCTTAATTGACATTGACCAGGCTACTAAGCAGATCATTCCAGTTGAAGCTATGAAGGCAAAGTGAATTACTGCAGTTCAAGACAGCAGCTGTGAATTCATCTCTCTACTCACAGCAATACATGCAGATGAAACAGCTCTTCCACCCACTCTTATTTATCAAGAAGAGTCTCATGATATGTTGGATACATGACTAGAGGATCTGAATGAGGATAATACAGCTTATTTTGCAGTTTCTAAAAAAGATTGAAGTAATGATGACTATGAGCTTAACTGGCTGAAGTGAATCTTTGATGAGCATATCAAGACTAAAGTAGATTACAGAAGATGTCTTCTTATCCTAGATGAACACTCTTCTCATGTTAATATGAGATTTATTGATTTTGCAGATCAAAATCAAATCCTTCTTGCAGTACTGCCTTCACATTCAACTCACTGACTGCAATCTTTGAATGTTGACATCTTTAGTCCTCTAGCAGAAGCATACTCTCACAGCATCAGTAATCTTCTTTGCAGTGGATTTGAATTCATTCAAATGACAAAAAGAAGCTTTTTATCAGTCTTCAATTCTGCATGGGATCAGTCTTTAACAGCTAAGAATATTCAATCCACATTTGCTGCCACTGATATTCATTCTTTTACTCCTGAGTGTATTCTTCACTGATTTACAAAATGGCCTATATCTCCAGTCAATTCAGCTTCAACTGAGATTGCTACACCTACAACTACCCATGCTCTTCAACATGATATTAAGAGAATTCAAATTTGGCAGAGCCTGCTCTCTAAAGACATGGAAAAGATCATACATGCTAGTGAGAAGCTTGTCTTTGAAAAGAAGGTGCTTGTGCATGAGAATAAGGCTCTAATTAAAGCTTTATGCAATGAAAAGAAGTGATGACAGTGTGGAAAGTCCTTAGATCTATTGGATCCAGAGCAGCAGCCTGGCCAGGCTCAATTCTTCTTATCATCCAAGGTTCAACAAGCTCATGAGAGGATTCAGGAAGCAGATCATAAAAAAGAAGAGAAAGCTGCTCAACAAGCCCAAGAGCAACTTCAACATGATCTCTGAAAAGCACATGAAGCTGAAGAGGCTCAGCAAAAATGAATTGAATGACAAGCAGCTCAGACAGCAGCTCACAAAGCCTGTGAGAAAGAGAAGGCTAAAAAGACAGAGCAGCACAAAGCTCAGCAGCTTGCTAGAGAGGCTAAAAAGGCTCAGCTTGAAGCTGAGAAGCAAGAATGGACTCATACTCACACTGCAAAGTGAAAATCAGTCAGTTCAACTACAGCTACTTCAAAGCAACAGCAGAAGCAGGCACCTACAGTGGATTCTAATCCTTTAAACCCTATCTGACCTTCCAGTCTAGGAAATGAGGTCAACCTCAATCCCCCAGAGCAGCTTACTACTGCTTCTACTACTAATTCAGAAATTGACACTCCTTTGATCAATCTCCTTACTCCATGCTAGATCTCCCGTCATGGCCGCGTTCTTCAGCCAAGCACACGTCTATTTTATTAAACCACCTATTTTGTATGGAACTAGAGAATACTCTCATTACTATTTAATAATCTAATTAATATTTATTTCATTGTTGTGGAATTAATTAGATTCTAGCAAGTTGAGGCAGTTTTGCTGAGAGCGGCTCGTTTAGTGATATGGCTCATTTAGTGGTAAGTCACGTTAGTTATCATATTACTCGACATTTAACGGAATGGACAGTAAATTACACAAAACGTATATAAAAGCCCCCATAGGTGGAAATTATGTATGCGTTTATGCATGCATCCTTACGCAGAGGTTTGTATGGTTGAACACACGGTCTGAGAGCTGAGAGCTGAGAGCTGTAGGTGGGACGAACTGAGTGAGGAAACGAAAGGAAATAACAACATTGAACCATATATAAAATATAACATGAAATATACAAACATTCCGGAAATACACAATGAGGGCCCAAAACACGTATCGCTAACCATGTTGTAAGGAAAAAAAAAGAGTGTACCTCGACGGAACAAGAAACCGGCTGATTTTCCTGAAAGCAAGCAGCAAAACCGCAAGAAATAGATATATAAGCAAGGGACATATAGCTGACGTAAACAGTAACAGAAAAAGATTAATTATAATTAGTAAACGGTTTCTTCCCAAGAACCAAAAAGAGAAATAATAAAAAAAAACCCCCTACCCATTATTTCCCCCCGCTTCAACCAAACGACAAAAACCTACACAACCATCGAAAACCCAGCCAAAAACACCGCAACCAAGATCCCAACCCCATACACCTGCCCAATCTCCAACACCAACCCTCTCACCGCCCCATTCCTGCCACCCTTCGGTGCCATATTCGGATTCCCCCCAAGACCCGTATCAACCACACCCGTCCCAGAGGGCGCAGAGGTGTTCGTAGCACCGCTGGTGGCTGTGGAGGTAACGCGGGTGGGGTTCTGGGCACCGCAGGGGTTTTTTTCGCGGCAGTTGCTTTGGCAGCGGGAGTCGCCGCCATCACAGGCACTGACGCACCTGTTGTTCATTTCTGTGCAGATGTAGTAGGGGAGTGTTAGGGTGAAATTGGAGGCATTGGGAGTCATGCCGTTTGAGCAGATGCAGGAGAACGTTAGGGTCAGCTGGAGGATTGGGGATGAAGGTTAGTGGGTTTGGTTTGGGGTGGGGGTAGGGATATATACATATATATATATATATATATATATCGTGGGGTTGTTGAGGGGGTTCATACTGGATTACATTCGTTTTTAAGTGGCTCCCCGGTTGCGTTTGGCAATTGCAGGCATATCAGCGGGCAGGAGGACACTTGGTTTCTGCACCATATGTCTGTAATTTTTCCGTGGATTAAGGTTACAACGAAGCGTCAACCAGCGGGAAGGTGGTAAGTTGCTAGAGCTGACAAACCTCTTGTTCCTAGTGGGATGCTACTGGGATCCAAGCCTTGCGAGATGGAGAGGCTCGCAAGAATAGAGACGGTCAGGAGAGCGGATAAGACGAGCATGATTGGTTGTATGTAAATGGGAAGCTATGCTATGCAGGGGACAATGAGATCGAAGATGGCTGCGGAGAATAATGTTAGATTTTGAGAAATATACATAAGTGAAGATCGAAGGGTTTGAATTGGTAATAGAACCGGAGTGCTGTACCTGCTGTGTACAGGGAGGAGAATGGGAAAGCGGAGGAGGAATTGGAGGGAAAGAGAAAGCTCTGTACGACTTAAACGAGAGTGGAGAAAAGAAGATGAGGAGGAGATCATCAAACGAGTGACTGTGAAGCGGGAGATTGGGAAAGACAGCGAAGGAAAAGAGAAGAAAGAGAGAAAGAGTATCGAGAAGAGTTTAGAAACAGAAAACAAGAAGCGGAGGAAAAATAATAGACACAGACAGCAGCCGCCCGAACAAGGGGATTGGGTGTGGGGAGTAAAACTTAAAATGTCAGGGAGGCTACGGGATACAAAGTTGGTAAAGCCTAAAAAGGTGCCTAAAACGAAGCCTGAAAGACTTTGGCTACCTTCTTCCCAACCGTTCCAAACTCCAAATAAAAGTCTCGGTTAACTTGTGATAACGATTGATTTCCTGTATCCATATTATCTAACAAGAAAGTGAATGTCTATATCTGGCAGTAAAGCTTGAGCAGGCTCTCTCCCCAAGACACGCTCCACGCCCAGACAATTCTTCGATGGGCATGGCGCTCTCCCTTGTGCGACAAATTCTGCAGCTTATCCCAGCACCAAGGTCATGATAGACGTTATCTATGCAGAAACTTCCTCCACACTGCCCTGTGAACCCTGGCTAACGAACGACCCTTGCATCCCCAAATCCCTGGTAGAGCAGGGGATGTCTCACCGTCACCACTCGATCAACGATCCCTGACTTCCATGGATCCCATGTGATGTTCCGGGTATCGCTGAGCCAGCTGCTGATTGGCCAAAGCTATACCCACTGGGGAGGAAACGGGGGAAGCTTGGATGTGGCGCTAGCCTTGAAATGGTGGTTATAGAAAATTTAAAATTCCAGGCTGTGCCCGAGGTTTGTAAAGCGGAGCAAATAAAGATGAATGATACATCGGCGTCTAGGATGAGGCGGAGGGGCAAGGGACACTCGGCGAAAGGATGCAGGAGAGGGATTTCGAAGCGACCTCCATAGATGCTATGTTATATCTTAGGATCTATTAAAAATATTTTTGGATCCTTATGATTCAGGGATCTCTATCCCCCCATTCCTCGAGTCCCAAGGCAATCGTTTACATGCCAAAATTAAAATAAGTAAATAATAAGTAAAATAAAATATAACTGAAACAAGAGACGCCTGGATGGATGGACTAAATGGACGTTCAGTCGACGTTTTCAGAGGCAACCCCCCTCCGGCTTTTTTTGTTTGGGGGGGGGGGGGGGGGGGGGGGAAGGGGGGTTTGGGTTAAAGGATAACTAGTTATCGTTTCACGTTCGCCAAATTCTTCCGTCTTCAAATCCATACCTCGTGGTCAACAAAAAATCTCAACCCCTCCTCCTCACACACCGTTTTCACCCTCTGCTCCACTGCACCACTCGGCAGCGGAAACGGAAAGTTGACACGTCGTTTAGCCAACAAACTAACTCATGATTATCGGTGGGTCAGTCGATAAAGCCGAGTCTGGGGCCTTGTCCGGGGCCTTCCGTAAACTCAGATCAAGCGGGGGAGGGTTGGGAAACGAATTGCCATTAGGAGAATTATAAGTGGGTTTTGGTTTAAAGAGTGTCGGCGATGGTAATTTGTTTTGTTGCAGCGATGTGAAATGTCCGTGTGACGAGGAAAATTGCTGACGGTATAATTTTTTTTAGTTTGCGAGTATATTTATATATATTATAACTGGTTTAACTACTCCTTGTTTTTCATTTGGAGAAACAAGAAAAAATGGGTATTTAGACCGTTACTCGTAGACGGTTCTCTCTCTTTTCTGTCCTTTCTCCCGCACACTTCACTATCCACCATATACCTCGTCTATATCTCCATGGACATTCTGTGAGGTACGTGCAGGGAGTGTCTTTCTTTGGCTCCTCTTAAAACATCAACCTACGACGCTCAGTTGTTGCGCTTGGGTTTGTTGTGAAAGCCTTCAAGCCTGTGAGTCCGCCAAGAAATAATGCAACTGTGGAAGAGGCAACTGTCCCCCTCCCATCCTCAAATACGGTTCTGCTGGAATGCTTGTGTAATAATTTGGGACTTCGAAATCTATCGTATATATATACCTATTGCCCCTTTTTACCAATGGACGGAGAGCGAACTCCAAATGCGAGATCACGTGGAAGCTACCAAACTCAATTTCTTCACGGGCCGGTAAAAGGTCCCGCGTCTGTGATTGGCCAGCTATCATTCGGCTAGTCAATATAGGGGTTAGTTAACTTTTCACGTGGGCGCATTCTTCGAATGCAACTTCGAGGGTCAAGTTTGATTTTGATGACGATTTCTCTCATCACCATCCAACAAACGGAGTATCTTTGTTGCCGTGGGGCTGATATATCGGTTCCTATTAATGTATAATTAACAATCAGGCTCATAATACCACTTAAAATTCTTCTTGTAAGTTCAGATCTCTTTCTTGAATATCAAATCGCTGACAGATGAGATAGATTGACTACCCGCGACCACAATCGTGACCTGCTGCAGCCTCCGCTGCCACCATCCATATGACTACGACTAGATAACTTCCTCCATTACCCCCGAGATCCGCATCATACGCTCTATTGACCGCTGCCCCAAATTCCCCACTCCGACCTATCAACCAAATAACTCACTTCACATCCCTGCATGCAGCAACACCAGGAACAGAACCAGAACCAGAACCACCGACAAAACTACTTTCCCGTCTCCCTCTTCAACACCACCACCACCGCCGCCGCCGCCTACAACCTTAAACTCCCAGACCCACCACCTCCACCATCAACATCAACATCGTCATCCCCTGTCACCCCGCCCAACTGGCTTCATCAGCACCACAGTAATGCGCCCCAGGCTTCTCTAGACGCCTCCACCACCATGCATCGAACCTCTCTCATTCGTCTGGAAGACCACACGGAGGATCCGGCGAATGAGGCGAGTAAGGGGTTGTGGGCGCGCAGTGTGACGATTGATGATTATGTTGTTGTTGGGGGGAAGGGCGGGAGGGGCATGGGCATAGGTATGGGCAAGAGCAAAGGCATGGGGATTGGTGGGTTTGGGGTTGGGGCGTATGTGGTTTGGGTTTGTAGGATTGAGACGCTTGAGGTTGGTGTCTTTTTTTTTTAATTTTTTTTTAATTTTTTTTTATCTATTATTATTATTATTATTATTATTATTATTATTATTTTTAAACTTTATCTTGCTGTGAAGCTTGTAGTCTGTCTTTGTTGGTTTTCTGCGGCTTTGCGGATTGATTTTGCTCACGCGTTATTTTTTTTTGGGGGGGGGGTGATAGGGTGGTACCATAGTGGTTCGGATGAGGTATGTAAACTCTCTCGCTCACTCTCTCACTAATTCCCTCTCTCTATAAAAGGAATATCCAATTCGAATATCCTCGAGAATAAATATGCGAGACTGACACCCGGTACCCAAAAAAATTAAAAATAAAAATAACAGATACTCCGAATTCGACGACCTTCGCTCCAAACTCGCCGCTGCTTTCCCATATGCTAAATCCGCGCTGCCCCAGCTGCCGCCCAAGAGTGCAATCTGTATGTCTCTTTCCTTCTTCCCTCGCTGTCCCGACTCCTATTGCGTTCTGTCCTATTTTCGTACCTGGTGAGTGAGACTAAATCGTACGATTTCGAAGTTAAATTCAGCCCCGAGTTCCTGGAAACGAGACGGGTTGGATTAGCATATTTTTTGAAGTGAGTTTTTTTTTTTTTTTTTTTTTTTTTTTTTTTTTTTTTTTTTTTTTTCCCTTCTTCTTTTCAAAATTTCTTCTTAGTGGTTTTCTGGGAAGTTACTTACTCCTTTATGTCTTGTTTCATTTCAGCTGCGTGCTCCTTAATCTGAGTTTTCCCGGTTCTGCTGTGCTGAAGGAAGTGCTGTTCAGTCATGCTGGGTGATGAGACCCTCTCATACGTCCGGCTTTTTATCTCTTCTTCAATTTTTTTCTAATTTAATTAGTATATATATATATATATATATATACCCTTCTTCAAGTTTTTTCATTCCAGTTAATCTTTGGGGGGCATAGAATAATTGGAGCCAATCCCTACAGAAGTTGAGAAAATGATATTGTTATTATATTGCTCAGAACTTATTGTATCCAGGCAATGCACGTGCAAAAACAAAGATTAGCTCTTTCAGATTTTGGAGGATTACCTAATTGGTTCCAGTAACGTAATCAATAAGCGAGTCGGCCACATAAGCAAGTAGGCCACTTTTCATCTCATCTCAGAACAACATCTTTATCATCAAAAATGCCAACCACACAAAGAAATAAAGCCTTTACTCAGGAAGGAAGGCTTCTTTTAGCCATTCAAGCATTTAAAAATGGTCAAATTTCAAGTGTACGAGCTGCAGCAAAGCTGTATGATGTTCCACGTTCCACCTTAGGTGATCGGGTACATGGTCGTACAGCACGCGTTAACACTCCCCCAAAGAACCGGAAACTTAGTCTTACAGAGGAAGAATCTCTTGTTCAATGGATTCTGGCCATGGATGAGCGAGGTGTGCCACCCCAGGTTGCAGCTGTATGAGAAATGGCCAATCTCCTCCTTACCAGTCGGGGATTCAACCCCCCACCAACAGTGGGTGAATGCTGGGTATGAAACTTTGTCAAATGCCATGAAGAGCTGAAATCCAAGTTCTCCCGCAAGTATGACCATCAATGTGCACTATGTGAGGATCCTGAGATTATCTGTGGGTGGTTTAGGCTCGTACACAACACCATTGCAAAGTATGGGATTCTGGAAGATGATATCTACAACTTTGATGAGACTGGATTTCAGATGGGGGTTATTGGGACTGCCAGAGTGGTTACTGGGTCTGAAAGAGCCAGGAATCCCAAGCTTGTACAGCCTGGAGATCAGGAATGGGTGACTGTCATTGCTGGAGTCAATGTCTCTGGCTGGGCTCTGCGTACAATGATTATTCTCAAGGGAAAGATGCATCAGTCCTGTTGGTATGAGGCTGAGGGACTGCCCAGGGATTGGGTGATTGGAGTCAGAGAGAATGGCTGGACAAATGACCAGCTGGGCTTGTACTGGCTGAAAGAGGTGTTCAACAAGGAGACCCTACCCCATACGAAGGGTACACACTGACTGTTGATTCTGGACTGGCATAGAAGCCATGCCTCTGCTGAATTTGATCAATTCTGCTCTGAGAATCAGATCATTGCTCTCTATATGCCACCTCATTCCTCTCATCTTCTCCAGCCATTGGATGTTGGCTGCTTCTCCCCTCTGAAAACAGCATATGGATGACAGGTGGAGAATCAGATGCGGCTTGGGATCAATCATATTGACAAGGAGGAGTTTCTGGCCCTATATCCTGCAGCTCAGATGCAGGCCCTGACTGAGAACAACATCAAGAGTGGCTTCAGGGCAGCTGGATTGGTTCTGTATGAACCTGAGCAGGTTCTCTCACATCTTAATACAACAACGCATACTCCCCCCCCCCCTGGGACCTCCCACAGCTCCCAGGCCTCCTGGGCCACCGCCACACCACATAATGTACGTCAATTGGAGCAGCAGACTGAGAAGGTCAAAAAATATATCAAGTGCTGTACACAGAGTCCACCCAGTCCAATCAATCGAGCCCTGAGTCAGCTGGTCAAGGAGTGTCAAATGGCAATGCACAGTGCTGCTATTTCTAGCAGCTGAAAACAGAGAGTTAAAAGCTGCAAATGCCAAACAAAAGAAGAAGTGGGAAAGAGGCCATACATATGTAGCTCAAGAGGGTGCTTTAGGGGTTGAAGAAGGCTTGGATCGCGTACAAAGCATCAATGAATGGAAAAGAGGGGTGATTGAGGCTGCTGAGTCCCAACCACAAAAACAGGCAGCACCACAGTGTAGTGTATGTGGGATTACTGGGCATACTGCTCATACGTGCTCTAGGCATATAGAAAATAATTGATAATATAATTCTTTCTCTTTTTCTTTAATGATTGAGGCATAGATGCATTCTCATCGTACAGTGGGGTGAGAAGTGGCCGACTTGCTTATGTGGCCGACTCGCTTATTGATTACGTTAGTTAACTATATTTGTGACAGGTCAATACCTGTACCCGTATTTGTAAATTTCAAACACAAACAGGTATCACAGCGCCTTTTTCTGGGTTGTTCTTCACAAAATTACATTTGGTTCACGTGTACTTCCACGTATGAAGCAGTACCGTTCCCCTAACACACCCAACCTGCGGGAATTTTTCAGGTGTACTGTCACCACGCGTGTATCGTCATCTTCGCCATTCCCCCTTTCGCGCCCTGCAACCAAGGACGAAGAACAACAAGAATCAAGAGCAACAAGATGCACAAGATGCACAGGATGCACCAAGAAGAACAGGCCATCCACAATCCAGCCCTGTTTCTGTAATCAGCCCTGTATTTTCTTATCCAGTCCAGTCGCCTACACCACACCACCCGCACTCCGCAGCGCACTTTCACCCCTGATGACCAGAAGGGGGCCATGACCGACCAGCGACCAATCTCGATCCCGCCATGGTCGCTCGCTCAGCGCCAACGTTGAGATTTTCCTCCGTGCGACACAAAGATCCATCACCCACATCCGATCCACAGAGCAAAATTTCCTCCTTCACCACCACCACTACCACCACCACCACAACACCCAATAATTCGTCAACCGTCACCACCCGGCGACATTCCATAATCCAACAACAGTTACAGCAGCAACAAGAACGACGACAACGCACTACCCTCATACAATCTAAGCTCCCGTTCGCCCCGCCCTCCTCCACCGGCGCTCTACAATCCCAATCCCACTCCCAACTCCAACAGAAACCCACCAAGACGACTCCGGCCTCCGACCGGCCCTTCAAAAAGGCAAAACTGGATGGTCGCCACTATGACCAGGCACCCATCACCAGGCCTGCAAAACTTCCCCTGCGCAGCAGGGATTCGCAGGGCCTTCTAGCACCCTCCGAACCATCCCTGGCTTCACGAACCCGCTCGTCCACTGGTCGCGCTACCACAACACCTGCGACCACCACAGCTCTCACTGCAACTACAACTACTGATAGACTTCCCACCATCGCTACTAATACCAAGTCCGCTGCCTCCACAACACCGGTTCCGCCCCGCCTTACTGCCTCCCCCGCATCCCCGTCGGCGGAAACTCGGACAACACGACAATCTGTGCATAGTCACCGTCACCTGCGCAACCGGCCCGTGGCGGTGAATGGAGATGTGGAGAATAAGGCTGCCGTGCCGACGCTCCGGGATACCATTGATAACAATAATAGTATCAATACCGGTGCCAATGCCAATGCCGAAGCCGAAGCCGATGATTTGGGAGCCCGGAATATGAGTAGTGGTATCGTCGATGGTGATGGGCTGCTGAAGAATAATGGGGTTTCTCCTTCCACCGCTGTTGTGAGCCGGGAGAAGAGATCGTTAAGATCCAATGATGGCGGTTCGAGGTCGAAGAGTGAATTGGCGATGTATTTTCAGAATTATGAGCAGATTGTTAGTTTGGAGCCGATTAAGCCTGGTGAGTTTTTTTATGGATTTACACCCCCTTTTCTTTGTTTCATGTATGTTTTATTTATATTATTTGCTGTTTCGCTTGGTGTGCTTTATCGGTCTTGCCTTGCATTCAATGTGTTGTGCACACAGCTGTCCACTCTTCTTTTTGTATTTCATATCTACCAGCTCTTTAGCCTTTGATTTATCCCGAATTTGCCATGAGCTAATCCTAGCAGAATTTCTTTGTGCAGACACACATATTTTCCTGATCGATGATCTCACTCAAGCCATCGTACTTGACCCTGAACCGACAAAATCCTCAGCGCCCAAATCTCGAGGGAAGCAGGTTCATAAGTATCTTAAAAATGGCTACACCTTGCAATCAGCAATGAACAACCCACTCCTCGAGCTCCATGACGCTCAAATACTAAACTTTCCCTCTCCATCAAATAATAGCAAAAAACCACCAAAAGATCCCCTGGATGACGATGTCTATTTTAAAGCCCATCGGAGGCTCGAACGGCAAGAAAAGCAACTTCGAAATATTGAACGGGAGAGGGCTCAGCATGAGAAAGTGCAGCTTGATCGGTTACTGGATGAGTTGCAGGGCCATGATTGGCTGCGAGTTATGGGTATCAGCGGAATCACGGAGACGGAGAAGAAGTTATATGAACCCAAACGAGCATACTTCATCAAAGAGGTGACGGCATTAATTGAGAAATTCAGAGTGTGGAAGGAGGAGGAGAAACGGAGGAAAATAGAAAGGGACCAGATCCTTGCAGAGGAGGATGAGGATGGATATAACGAAGAACACGAAACCGGTGACGAAGGTGAAGAGGAGGTAGAGGAAGAGGAAGAGGAAGAGGATACCAACCCCCCCTTCAACGATGGGGAGCTGGGACGATCCTCTCCACACTTTCAAACCTACGGTGAGCCCCCAGACATCAATGATGTCGATGCCTGGGCAGCCCACCAGCTCCATCAAGAAGCCATCTCAGCCTCCACCACCACAGCACGCTACCGCAATCTACGTCATCTTCATCCTCCTCCTCCTCCTCCTCCTCTTCCTCTTCCACACCCATCCACCGCCTCAAAAGCCCTCTCACCCTCCTCACCCACTCCCACCACCTCCTCCACCTCCACCTCCCCAACCTTCTCTACCTCCCACTATGCCCATACAGGCCACGATTCTGACCAAGTCCCCCAAACCCCTAGCCCAGCAACTACATTCACATCAACGGGACCCTCCCTCCTCCCACCATCCCAGCCGCAACCGCAACCGGAGGCAGAAGAACCCTTCACATCGTTCTATACGAAACGCTACCTGCGCGACGCCGCCGTTGGAAAAAGCAGACACGGCGGCCGCCGCTGGCGCACCAGGACAGCGACGGCGACGGCATTCGGCCAGCCGCTGCCGGAGATAGGAGAGCAGGAGTTCGAGTTGCCTGGTGATATTCTTACGGAGGAGGCTATTGAGGCGTGTCAGAGGAAGAAGAGGAGATTGAGGAGGGAGAGGGGGTAGGTTTTTGGTTTTGGTTTTCGGGCGGCGGTTGGAGGTGGTAATTGTGGGGAAGGGGGTTTGTATAGTCTTTTTTTTTTCATTCTTAAGGTGTTTGCAGGGTTATATTTACAAAAGTAACTGCGAGTGGGTTAACCTAAGCGTCTGTTTATTTTCTTCTTCTTCTTCTCTCTTCCTTTTAGCTTCATAACTGTTTGACTTCGATCATAGCATCTTGTTTGTTTGTATGTATGTATGTATGTATGTATGTACTGTACATATCTCCTTTCGTGCGTCGTTGTGGCTTTTACAGATGTATGTGGCGTTGGGGAGTTGTATTCCTTTCGATTTCTATTTCAGATGCTCTGATAAAGCTCTCTGCGATAGCGATTTGTGTTTCTTATGGGCTTTTGCTTTTTGTTTTTTATGCATTTCATACCATCTTTTCTTATTTCTTCGGTGTTACGGATACGTCGGCTTTCATACACATTAGCCTAGCATAACTATCCTCTTCTATATAAGATAAAAAATGGCATCATGTCCGGCAGACCAGGAACCCTGGTTTAAATGTGTAGCTAATATTAACATTGATAAAGAGGAGCAGTCAGGGGTAACTCGTTACCCCACGTCGAAGCTCAATTTGATACCCCAACCTCTCTCCCCTGGTCAACATTTTTTCCATCATCGGTCAACATCCATCCTCGCCTAACATCAGTTCGTTTGTTTTATGCTGCATCCACACGTCGTCCCAGTGATCCAGTTTAAGGATTCTGAGAAGTTAGAGAGCATGTTTTACCAGGGACACAACTACTCTCTCTCTACTGATGGATCACTGCGACGTCCTTCAGTGACGAGAATTACTGACGTTGAGGGACGGCGTCCAGCCTTTAACCGTTTCCATTTCCTGCACTTTGCGAATCATCACCCTGCTGATATACCCTGGTATGGGCACTTCAATCATCACAATCATCCCTATCATTGAACATACGGGGGGGGGGGGGATGATGCACACATACCATTCACTTCAGGTATCTGACCATGAATGATCAAACTGTGGCCCGTGAAGAACGTGGTAAAACCCCCAAATTCCCGCCCCATCCATGCTTCACCTAGTGCGGGATGTATATGATATTGCGTCTAGCACCGGAATCTGGGTGAATTCACCGCAAAGCTTATGAGGGATATATCTCCGACTGTGGGCTGGGTGCTGCCTCCTTTCTTTCTTTACTTTTCTTTTCCTCATCTGACCCGGCTTTTCGCTGCTGTTGCTATGCCGTATCTATCGAGAAGCCGGGTTGACTTCTTGCTGTAAATTATTGCTATCTTTATTTTTTGTGATACCTACACTCTATTCCCCACCTTTTGAAGAGGCGGAACTTAGAGAGGCTAAAGGATTATTATCGCTATGGCGCGTCCTACAAGGTGATAACTCGATTCTATCCGGATGTTAAGGATAGGCTACCATCACTTCTTAGTATTTTGATGTTAGTCCTACGCACCCCGTTTTCATTGTCGATATAAAGGATGAAATCATCAGAGAACAAGTCTTTTAGACATTGAAGTGAATCGGATAGACACTGAAGTCCGAACCTTGACATACCGTGGACTTTTGCAATACGTACTATGTATATTTGAAGTCCAATGGCTCAAGACAACTGCTTGTGAGTTCTTCTCTCCACACCTCATGTGGCAGATTTCTTGACCTTGTGGGTATAAATAAGCCTGTTGGTCTCCTTCCCTCTACAATCCCCTGCTACCTCACGTATGAGGACGAACTGAGTGAAATTCATACGGTCTGTTCTCAAAGCAACCCGGGATTAAACAATTCTCTTAAGTATTGCTGGCGATCCGCATGTGAGTATATCTCTCTATCTGAAACTCGGCGAACTCACCGTTGATGACTCACAGAGCAACAGAGGAGCAGATTGACCCGGCTCTCCTGACCAGCACAGACTTGGGCGGACTCAGAGTAGTTTACCGAGACTCTCAATGAGGACGACGTCGGAGCATTGGTGATTCTTCCTTTGTTGACTACTCTCCCCGCCATGTTGTTTATGGCTAATCCAGCAACAATCAACCAAGTCGGGCTCGCGCTCTCTGACCCTCACTAGCCGGGCTATTCGCTATCCCATCCAGGAGCACAGCTTACCCACTCTAAATAGCTTACACGGTTTTATGGGAGACCCACCTAATAAGGGAATTGGCGTCCAGAGTTGGACTTTTTATCCTTGTCGGGATTGGCCAAATGGCCCGGGTTGCGGAGGACATCGTTTAATCTTCCCCCCTGAAGAAGACCCATTTAATGCTCTTTTCCCAAGCAGCGATTCAACTCCCAAAAGAAATATTTTCAGAGTCTTGCCAATACATGCGCATCACGCCTGAGTTGGCTAATTCGCGATATTGTTAACGTTCGGATTCGTATGCTATCTCTACCCACAACATATCGGGTGTCAATCGAGATTACATGTTGTAGCTAAATGACTCGTTCTGGATGTAATAAACCACTACGCATACATTTGCTAGTTTGACACGGCGTAACCCATTTTCATACAGCTATTCCTGCGTGCTTATTCACGGGTTGCTGTTGCTTGAATGGAAGAGAAAAAAAAAAAAAAAGCGTACTCAATCGCAAAAAGGCAATGGTATTATTACAGATTCCATAAGTTCATGAAAGGTCATGAAGCTGCTTACATATTTAGGCCTTAAGGGTGCATGTCCCTTCGAACTCTGCAACTGCTGAGCCCATACAAAACCTCGGCCTCTCATCAGCGCAACAAAGCAAATTCCGGAATTGTCGAGGCCAGCTGTGCTGAAATGAGTGAGTTATACAGAAATCATCATCATGCAAATACCCATTCCTAACCCCAAATTGGCAATCTACTTTTAATCTATAAACAGAGACATTGTGTTTGCTCGCTGTTGGAAATCATTTATATTGAATTATTGTCAATTGAAACTTTTGCAGAAGAGAAATTGTGAGAGATGATGATGTTGTATGTTGTGGCATGTCCCTGTAAGTATTGGCTTTCCTACCGAAGCTTTGATGGCAAAATCCACAACTTGCTGTTGTGATGGGGGCTAATCTTGACTTTGTAGATTCCCACCTCCCCTGCCCTCTGACACGCGGGCCCTTCAAGTCATAACTTTTTTATGGTTTAACAGCTCGGCCGCGATCGCGGGGAGGACATGAGGAAATCGATGGAGTTAATCTGCGGCCTGAATGCCTCTCGTTTGGTGGAGAGGCGCACCAATGCGGTGCATGTTGGGCACGTTGGAAGCTCTGCTGCGGTTACCCGCCTTAGAGGGGAGGTTGAGTCAGACGTGGGCACCTCTGAGGCGGAGGTGGAGGAAGACGTGGAAGAGAGTGAGGAGGAGATTATGGGGAAGTCTGAGAAGGGTTTAGGGACAGTGGTCCCGACCCTGATTATGATGGCGATGGCGATGACGATGTGGAGATAGGAGAGACCCCTGTAACGGACAGCGAAGGGGAGGATAGCCTCCTTCTACGTGGAGAGAAGATGATGGAGAAGATGGTCGCGGGTCACGCCCTTGGCAGCGCTGAGGGGAGCACCTCGCTGGAGGACGATCGTGACAAGAAATTTTCAATGTGGCAGCCGTGGTCTTTATGAACTCGGGAGGAGTCATAACATCTCCCTGCCAGCAAAACAGACTGGCCCCTTCTAGTTTCGAGACATCCGCAGCGATTCACCCGGGGTGAGATTGAATCCATGAATGTGAAAGTTACCTTTCTAGAAATACGAGTGAAGAAGAAAGGAGTAACATTAGGGAAGCCTCTGCCCAAGTTTGAGAGTGAGCATTTTAAAATTAATGTATCTTTTATCAACTTTCTAAAGGAACATCATCAGCAGAATTACGAAAAGCAGACCTTATCGTCCATGAACCTCTCATCCGGACCAGACGCTACACAGTCAAATGACATGGCGGGATGCAATAGAGAAGATGTTTGTTGGAGGCGTAGTAATGAGGAAGTCCAGGGTTTTCCCCCTATTCGTACTGTTGCTGCCTTTAGCAAGAGGCTTTTCAAAGTTGGCTTTACAAGCAGGATGGAATACATCATTTTGAGAACTCGTTGATATTGTGATTCGACCCACCCGCTCGGCAACAGGCAATTTTACCGACAGTGCTCTCCGAATTCATTGATCCCAACGACACGTCTTCCATGCCTTCCACGCCCGCTACGATCAGTTCATCTGTCTCTGTAAATTTTTCCTTTCTTCATCAGACTTGAGGAGAACCCACCGCATCTGCTGTGTGGAAGACCTAGCTTTATTAATAACTGCCGTAAAGAATTTTGCATGGAATGTCATGCTCCAAGTTCCAATAAGTAAAAAGTTAACTGATTAGAACGTTGCTTTCTGTAGCAATCTGCACTTTGTCATACTATCGCGCAGCAAAAGCCAACCACCGCAAAACATCACTTATTGCTGGTTTCTTCCCTTTTCATCAGAGGCATTAAGGCGAAATTCCGACAACGAATCGTGAGAAAATAAGCCAGAGGCATCATCGGCTAGGAAGAACCCGGTTAACGATCACCTACCTAACTATAAAATATGGGCCCTCAGCCATAGGTCGAGTCTGTCTGGCTGGGTCAAGAAGAAATTTTGGCCTATTATCGACCCTAGCCAAGGTCATAATAATCCACACAATCAAATAATAGAATCTGAGCATGACGGAGACTTTAGTCAATACTTATTAAAACAACTTAAACTTGACGACAGAGAATTCGGGAAACGAAAAGGTTTCATTTCTTTCTAGTGGTGCTGAAGAGTATCCGACGGAACAGATATAAACATAATAGAAGTTTAGACATGATATTAATCAGTCTTGATCATCGTGTACATTTGAGCACATTGTTTGTCCTCCGAATATATAGCTCCCGCTGTGTTCGTGTGGGATTTAACCACTGGGCTAAAAGGATTATAACCCATCAGGGAGAGCGATATTGAAGCTTGACTATTTAGGCCAGCTCACCGTTCGCTAAGCATCAGACGTTTCTAGTTTATTGTGAAGTTGCAAAATTCCACAACGACTGTTCATCGTCCGTCTCCTGGACTTCAGATGTTATAAAAGCCTGGATATGCGTTGATTGATTGCTTCTAGGGGTGGTTCTTGTCGTTCTTCCAGGAGACCATGCTTGGTTCGTCATCACTGTCGTTGAATTTTATATCAGTAACCACTATCACCATGATCAACCTCAAAAACAATGGGAATATCGGCAATGAAATATACTAACAGCATACCTATTCCTGGTAATCCTTGTTTCGAGATATAGGAAAATCAGCTAATATCACGAGCCGTGGATAAGAGAGTGGAACAAGTGGTGCGGACAGGTAAGGAAATAGAGGCAGAACTTGGCTCTCCCAACGATGGTTGCCCTTGGACGATGCTGAACAACCCACCTGACGGCCTACAGTAAGTTAATAAAAAAGCGACTCTGAAAAAAATAAGAATAAAATCTAACTGATGAATAGCCAAGATTTGAAACACCATTCGTCAAATGACAGGAATGAAAGTCCAACCGCTCAGTTGCTACGAACAGGCCTCCTTCTAGCACCCCACCAGGTTTTATATCCAGGACCCCGCACGAAGCGGAGAGGAACCTCTGAGACTGCAGGGAGTTCTATTTCGCTGTCACGCGGCATCTCGACGGCACCAGCATGAGCAGAAACGTGTGAAATAATGAAGAGAAATTTACCGCCTGGCCCGCCGTCCATCGACACAGAATTCAAGGTGGACTGAGAGATAAGTGAAAAAAGGGTCAAAAGGCGCGCAAGCTGCATGCAATGACACTAGTTCGCGCAGGAGAGGGAGGAATCTCCTATCTAGTTACAAGGGCCCTGAAAATTACTCGAGTCATCTCACCTCTGCAAGGGCATAGGCACCGAGCATATCCAGGTCAACATTATTTCTGACAACATGAACTCTGATTTAGATAGAAACGGAAATCTTGATATTTCCTTAGGAATCTAAGATGCAACAAGGGCTTGAGGGAATCGTCAAAATTAACCTTCGGGTCTAATTAGTTGACTACCTTGCCGCACAAAAAGAGTTTCCAAAGTTTCGAGGGGCTGTCTTGTCTCACTCTGAGTTGTTCAGGCTGTTTGGGCACTTTAGCCATGGCCCATTTATCCTTCCAGTCACCCGTCTCAGCAGAGATTGGCATATGTGGTAGGGAGTATTTCCTTTGCAGTTGAAGATGGGCACTTGTTGTGTTACTCATGCTTGTTGCTATTTCTGCACAGAGAAGATTGCCTGTTTTAATGTGGAGCAGTTATTGTCTTCACAACCCTGCATATCTCAGGATCTGTGGCCTGGAAATAGAGGTCCTCTAAGTTACCGAACGAAACCAAGTGACAGGCTACTGATATGGACTTAACTTCTGATCATACCCAAATCCATGCCGGCGAGGCATTCATGTCACTAAGGACCGCTCGGGCCAAAAACAGCATGATGTCGAATCTTACCCTTTAATCATGAGCGCTAGGTAATCGTCGTAAGGGACCTGATCATATTTCCTACGTCACGAGTCGAAATCAATCGGGCGTATTATACCGCTAGCGTATATGCTCTTAAAAAAAAAAAAAGAAAAAGAAAAAGAAAAGAAAAGAAATCATCGTTCGTGATCCACGAACGCTACAGTCAGTCATTCTTCTTCATCCAAATGGTCGTGCTACAGCACGCGCAAGGATTCCATCATCGACTGTACTTTGGGGGTTAATGCGCAATCTTTCGTTAAATATGTTAAAGGAAGCTTCAACCTCTGCTGTTAACAACAATGCATAGTAGACCTAAAAAGGGAAATTTTCGATAATCATCACGCCTTGGGCTGCTCCATTTTAACGAACCGGTATTCCAATCTGGGCTAAGAAGATCGTCTTCTGGCAGCTGCATTGAGAACCCTTGGATACCTCACAACTCTCGCATTTTCATGTATGCCTAGGAAAGTATATTGCAAACATATGTTGAGGTCGTGCATATTACGTTAACTCCGCCAGTTGATAATCTACCGGGCGTGCAGAGTCCACAACACACCATAGTTTCTCAAACTCAACAAAGGAAGTTAGTTACGAACTGATTTGCTGAAAGAGATCCTGGCCGATCAAAAACACAGTGTGGTGGTATTGAGGCAACCCCAGAACCGAGTTTCAGCACAGTTTCACACCGCTTCTTTTGGACTCACAAATTTGGATCAAGGCCAGTTCGGAGTTGGCGATCGTTCTAAGGAGCATGGAGAACGCCATCAAACGTTTTCACTGACCAGACACTAAAAAGCACGCTAAGAAAGCCACATTATTCATTGGTTTGGAATATCGAGTCAACTTTTGTATGATGCTGCAGTGATGATGCAATTTCTATTAGTTAGAATGCGAGTTTCGGCATGTACATCTATCTGACTCCTTGAACAACGCGGGATTCCAAGGTTCAGAAGCGGGATAGCCGCGTAGCGAAACTAAAGTCACGTATTGGCGCTAATTTTTTGCTTCTATTGGCCAAACGTGTTCTTTGATCCGTCTCTACCACGTGGGAGCAGAACTTTAATTTTGTTAGAGAACATTTCTATTGGACAAACCTTATTATTGTGCTCCGTAATGTTTGGTTTCAAAGGTTCGGAGATGGCCCTGGGAGTAGATAATTAGTTCTCACACGCATCGACTTTGCGAAGCAGAGAAAACAGAAGGCAAATTCCTCATGCTATCAGCCCTACAGATAGTTTGCCTTGGTTTTATATAATTTCTATTTTTGGCTCCGCTGATGTTGTCATAAGGAGCAAACCAGTCCTCATTCAAGATTTTGCATACGTCCTTCACCATCTTTCACCATACTGATTCACCATCTGTTGGATCGATTTGAGTTCTGTAACCTATCTAGTCTTGGGGAAGTAAGCATCCAAAAAACACGTTTTAATTGAAAGTGCTAGAGAAGTCAGGCACTGGCTGCAAATCCTAGTAAATAATGGGCAGAGGCATAGTTAATCTGCAATAAGCATACGGACTGGCACATATTAAAATATCGACACATTTGGGTTGGATGCTGCGGTTGAAGAAGGCAGCCATGTTGACCAGATAGCTGTATTCAAGTAACGTATGTACAGTCCATACATATATATACATACATATACACACACATCACTACCTTAGTTGCCTTGTCCGACCAAGTCTCCAAACCAAGTCTCCAACCAGTGTTCTTAAAATTAGGACTTTCTTCGTCGGTTTCCTTCGCGAGACTAGTCAGAACTTTATATTCCTTCTGAAGGTTCAATGGACTGGGTCCCGGTTTGCCTTTCTGTACCTGCGTGGGGTGTCAGTTTAAAGCATCCAAGGGTAATCCGTGTCTGGTAGCTAAATCCAGGAACAGGTTGCATTGAATGAGGCTGAGAATTGAGAAACAAGTAGAGTTAAATAAGAATATGAAAAGTAGAAGTGAGAGTAAAAGGGGTGCACTCCCATGAAGGAGTGAATAAATATTGCTGGTTAAAACTGGAAATTTATTTTTCTAGAGAATGATGAGATCTGGGTGAAAAATATCTCCCTTCATGAGCCAAGACGCTTCATGAAATGATTGATAAATGCGGGGATAACCCTGACTACCTGAGGTAAGCGTATCTCCATCCATTGTGCATTGTTGAGGATGGGAATCACAAGAGCCCACAAGTCTTCTGAGGTGCTTCTGTGGTTGCGAGATTTCTTTCCCCTGGAATATAATAACCCATTGTATTGCTCTGTTCACATTTCTCCATTGGCATGGGCTTCCGATCAGCGATGCAGAAAAGCGAGTAAAACTAGAGAGCTGAGAAGAGATGGTAGTGAATAAATAAAATATAAAATAAAATATAAAATAAAATATAAATAAAAATAAAACCAAAACCAAAAACAAAACCAAAGTAAAAATGAAGTGAAAAGAAAAAACTGATGGTGAAACGAATCTAAGCCACAATTTCCAGGGAAATACCCTGTAGCTGCCCGTAAATTAGGAACAGTTTGACCGCGTCGACAAGCAGCCATCACCAATCATTCCATGTGATAACAGCCGGTGCTTCCCTCAATGCTAGAACTGGGCGTGATATCTGACCCCACGCGACTTTTCAAGGCGACCTAAAATTTCGCTGGACTGCCAGCAGACGGAATGGAAGTGAAAGAGTCTATTGAATAGCAGGAGGGTGGGATATCAAATGTAGACACCAGAAAGTAATTTTGGCACTGGCAGAAGGTAAGCCAAGGCCAACAAATGAGTCGACGTGGGCCGAATTTTTACCAATGGTTAGACACAGGGATCCTTTCTTCTACGTATCGTATCCATAACATGAAACACCAGAGTCACAGCGGAACTTGTTGCCTTTCCTCGTCCCGAAGGTTTGCAAGAAGAAGCAGCCAGGTGATTTGCCTCACTTTATGCACCGATATTAAACGTACCCCTTCCATGATGAGATTAGGCGAGGGTCCTCAATAACTACCCAACCGATCACTGTTCTTCATGGATATAACGAGACTAATTCATGTTTATAAAAAGAACAAGGTCGCACACCTGAAAGCTGGCTTCCCCGACGAGTGTCTTCATAACCGCAATTGATCCTGTTTGTTCTCGCACTTCCTTTTAAGTATTAGAAGTTCCATTTGCCCAGACACACACACTATGCCGCAAGACAGGGAAAGCCCTGGAGGTTCGTCTAGAAGTCCAGGGGTCAGGTCAAGCGTTGGAGAGACCTACGATATCACGGAGCGTCAAAGGTTGGCTAACCAGCGGAGCGTAGCGTGGAACATGCTAATACTCTCCTAGCAGCCCAATTTCTGAAGACAACCATAATGAGGATTTTTTGATCGGACTTGATGTTCGAAACGAACAGGATTTATTTGGAACGGGGGCACCAAACGAGATTCGAGTTAACTGTATGTTTATACATCGAAATTTAATCTGTTCCGCCAATATTCCAAACGTCCATCAAGATTCTAACTTTATCTAGTAGGTGGAATCTTTGCGCGCAACGCTAGAGCGCTTTACCAGGCTGATGGATCTTTGGAACTGTCTCCGGGTAGTGAGGACAGTTCCCAGGAAGGGTGGAGGAATGAGCTGACGACAACCCATCGTGCTAGCGCAGCTCAATGGGCAGCATCCAACAACGATTACAGAGGTAGGCCCACGGCCCCCAGAACATTCCTGCCTGGGGACTTTCAACATTCGCGCCGACGTGACAGTTGGCGGCGAGGGTCAGGGGATGCCTGGAACAGCGCTGCGAACGGTCCCTATCACTTGAGTCAACGGAGGAACAGACGGAATAGCCAAGTGAACGGTATGTATCACTCAAACGAGCGTCCCAGTCCCAATGAACTCCAGCTTGATGCATCCCAAAATGCTCCCGGATCTGTGGGGTGGCAGCAGGGATCGGCGAACACACGAAGCAGCCAGGGGAACGGAAACGAACAATTTCCCAGCCTTACGACCAATGTCGGTGCCAGCGACCAGAATCCCAACGATGATTATTTGGAACCAAGCAACTAAATGGTTGTCAATGCGGCATGTCCCGGGGATAAAGTTGGGCGCATATGCAGGCACCCCCCATTGTCACCCGTGAGCCAATGTTAATCACAGATAGTTTGAGAAATGGATTATTGGCTTCTTTCACTTCTACAACTATTCAGGGGTAGATCGATCTGTTGTGTTGCAATTATTATTATTATTATTATTATTATTATTATTATTATTATTATTATTATTATTATTATTATTATTATTATTATTATTATTATTATTATTATTATTATTATTTAATTAACAGAAAATAGAAGTGGAATTTTGATGCATCTTATAACGGCTCCACACTTACCAGCAAAACAGAGGTTTCGGACCTCCATTTTCATAAAAGATAATAAACACCAAAATCCTGTCTTGTTACTCATGAAAATCTGCCAACATGAGACAGTTTTTGCGCAGCCAGGAAAATAAATCTGTGTGGCTGCATTTTAGCACGCGAATTTAGCGGTGCAGCACTTCCTGACAGACATTGATGCTCAATGGTCGTTGGTCCAATAATGCCATGATCGTTGCAGAATCATGGGTGATAAAATTCAAATTAAATGGGAGCTCTGGCAAGCTCTGGCAAGTTGTCAAAGCTGCTGTGCTGCTAGGATCTTCGCAGGAACGTGTTGCTGGAGCCAAAAGTGTATAAATGTACGTGGTCTTGTGGGATGCAACCTCACTATTGGGACCGCTGGGCGTGGATATCAGCTCACCATACACAGCCATTTGACGTTGTTTCTTTGCTCTTTTTATTTTTTCCAACTTTCCTTTTGTTTCCTCTTGTTCCCTTTCACACGCTACTGCACTGCCTGTTTCGGGAACAGATTCTCAAAAGACTGACCTCATTCGGTGAATCTACCTACAAGTATCGGCCATAACAAGGCCTATCTTGGTTGTGCATGCATAAGTAAAATGGCCCCAAGTAAAATAGATTCCCAGTAAAAAAGTGAGATAAAAAAAAAAAAAAAAAAAAGAGGAGAGGAGAGAAAGAAAGAAAATATGAAAGGAAAAGTCCAGTAAAGTTGCTGTGCTGCTATGGGAGTGGAAACCGCCCTAGAAATCCATCCCTAGAGAAAATCCCTGCGAGAAATTGTATGATTTTGATATTTAATTTTTCCATTCTCAGCAACAGGAAGGGTGGCATTATTCGACGTATGGACGCATCAAAGTGAGTCAGTAAGTTGGAGTTAGGTTGTTCGTGCTCTCTAGGGCTAACGTCTTGAGCCGATTAACGAAGATGATTTTTGTTTTGTTTCCCAAATATGTGCCATTTCAACCCTGCTGAAGACGTAGCATCGATTGTAATTGCCGTGTGTTTGAAGGCGCGGAAACCCTGTACGTTAATCAGGGACAGAATTCTTCGAATCTCAACAGGTGTTCACCGGCTCAAACTATACAGAAGGGTGATGTTTTGAGTATTTCAAGAGGAATAATTGATAGTGTCGAAGGCTTGAATCAAAGATAATTCAGGAAAAAAAAAATTCAACGACCGGGGCAGCAATCAAACATCGTATAAAATCCGTCATCATCCTTCCATCGCCGGTTAATCCCTCAGTGCCTGGAGAATAACATAACTGAGAGACACTAGACTTGTAGATAATGAGACAAACCCCCAGAGAGTCCCACTTGCAAGATATGTTATTGCTACCAGCTGAGGATCCATAGCATGAAACAACGACAACGAGCGTCAGTTAGTGACAAGAAGAGCACGGAAGGCCACTCGCGGGGATCGGATCAAGGAGACAAAGTGGCTCAATGGCTCGACGGAATCGATTCTCGCAACGCCGTCTCTTTTCAAACACTGCTGTATATAAAGAAAAAGAGTTGCAAGTTGAAAATGCTTGAAGATCAATGCCGTGAAGCGGATTCAGTAATGAAGAATGACGCATCTACTCAGATAATAGTCATGGGGTTCTCTGTCGATGAGGATTCGAATACAGCAACGTCAACATTGTCCCATTACCATCAAATCGACTACTAAAATATAACTCCCTAATACTGTGCTGCCAGTTTAACAAGAGGATTTTTGAAAATCTCAATTTGTCTTCCACTTTCAAATTGTTGAACCAAGCTTTTCCATCCTTCGTGCACGATTGGAAATCACGTAGTGGACGGATACAACGATGTTAGCCGCGTTTTTACACCCCGGGCGTGTATTCATTTCAGCTGCTTGCTGTCGAATCCAAGTCCTCTAGATGCTAACAGACTAGAAAATGGTTATCAATTTCGGCATTGGGCATTTTCAGTACATGACGGGGTCTCTTAATCTCTCAGATAACTCGTGTACACCACTATTCCCACACTGGCTCCGGGCACGATTGTCCAACAGGTGCCAGAGCTTGCAATTGGGACCACAGGTCTTTCTGCGCGAGCAACCCACATCATGTCACTGTTTTGTGACAGAACAAAGCCAGGCCCAGCCCAATGATTGATTCTCTAATCAGAGTTATATTCTGTCTTCATCAAAAAGCACCCAGAAACATATTTTGAAAATGCTGTATAGCAGTCGCTTCCGTCAACAAACCAGCGACCGTAGCTTGTGGACAAACCCGATACGCTCATTATCCGCCCCCGCATGAAATTAATCATCCATATGCAGCATCTACATTCGGATATTCCTCGTTGCTGTCCACCAATCCCTTCTGCGCCAAGATTCCAAGTTTGCTCACGGCTCACGGACGGTCCGATGATCAAATGTTTAGATCGGTACACGAAATAGCCATATTTGAACTGGCATCGATAAATTGAGCCTTCACGGACAAGGAGTGTGGAGATCGAACCTCCTGCAGTTGTTTCCTAGGCCAATCACTCAACTAAGCTTCGGTATAAGCTCAATATTTCCATATACTAAGCAAAACTGTCAGCAGTCTTCCATAATAAGCTAATGATGCAGCTTCAAGCCAACCCAAAACATCAGGGAGAAGATTAAATGTTCGTCCTCGCCAGATACCAATCCATTGCCCCAACTTCGACCCAGGAAGAGAGAGAAGGGGGACATGAGATGAATCTGGCATACGACTAAGGATGACGATACGAATATTTCATCATTGGTTTTGATATTCACAACGGAAGGTGTACACATACATACGTACTAGGAGCAAGCCAGCACAGCATAAAATCCGACACCCACCGTCCAGAGGCGTAACCCAACTGGGGGATTGACGCTTCAAAAGAGACTTTGGCATCATCGTTGACGGCGTAACCCAACTGGGGATTGACGCTTCAAAAGACACTTTGGTACTTGGCATCATCGTTGACGGCATATCCCATCCCCGAACGATTTACCTATGACAGGATCTAATCATCATAGCTGACCAGGCGCCGACTGAAAGGATTTGCACTGAGAGAGAGGGGTTTTGGAGTATTTGCAGCTTCCACCGCCCGGACTCCAGACTCAAGGGAGCTTTGGACACTCTTGTTGGAATACTGAATAGTTCTTTGTGTTATCTTTCTGTCCATAGTATTATGTTCTTCCTCATCGTATTCCATTGCCTGATGATCTTGCGAACTCCGGCTTTTCCCCTGCCTTTTTAAACGCGTGGTATCATCGCTCTTTTCATCGACTTGAAATTCAACTTCAGCATCCCCCTTATCAGCTATTTCTTTTAATCTCTTCTCGCGCTGCAGCCTCTGGATTTCGCTGTATCGAAAGATCTCAACTTGCTGGTCCGTAAGGGTCCGTTTGGTGCCATCCGCATAGTATCCCAAGTCATCCTCGTCGAACTGTTCATCAATCCCTGTAAGCATCAGGGAATAATCCGGGTCATTGCTCCTTCCAGGGAAATGACGCGCATGAAATTCCTGGAGGTCATTCTGTTGCGTGTCAATTGTTAGCTTAAGATGTAAGTGGGTTAACTATGCTGGGGCTGGATGGCATGCTAACCGTGGTAATAGACGGAAATTGTGATTGAAGTGCCATTGCAAAAAACACTTCCAATGCCAAAGTCCTTCAGGGTGGTCTTTTCAAAGGCGATTGATTAGACCTGGTAGGGATATCTCAAATTCAATTGCTGTTGGGACAGAATGGAAGTGTGGTTTTGCGAGACTTTGCAAAGGCGGTCAAAATATGCGGGCACTTGAGCTTCTAGCCAAAACTTTAATCGAACTCAAAATAACTTAAGTGCACCAGATATCATTTTCTCGAGTTTCAGATGCACACCATGTGAATGCAGACCTTTTCCACCAAAATAATAACATTTAGAAACGGATAGCTAGGCCCAAGCAGGAGGGAGGATGTGGGTGTTCTTGCGAATTCCCAGGTACAGCTGTCCTTGTGTGATATAAGAGGGAGATCCACCGCTTTTATAAAGGTTCTACGAAGGTTTAGATCAGCCTGCGGCCCATCTGCCAATGTATGCCTGCAGGCATGCGTCGGCTTAGTAGGTCTAACGGGTTCAGTTCTAAATGGCCGATTCAATATGCCATGATCTCAGAGGCGCAAGGCGACCGACACGAAAAATTGCGTCTGTCAATCATTCCACTATGACTCTATTTACCTGAAGAAGTGTCCAAAAGGAAAAACTCCCGGTCCTGCTCTTGATATGACTGGCTACTCGATCGTGAATAAAGAAAACCATATTTCCGGTTGACGATCGTCTTGAAACCATCCAAATGATGTCAAAATTCCCCTGGGCTTAAAATAAATCTCAAAAGTGTAAGCCCAGGGCGTTCACTCTGCCATACACCACAAATGCATCTCTATTCAACCTCCACCCTCAACACCAGGGTTAGGGGAAGTGGTCATGGTTTATTTCATAAATCACGCCAAAGGTTTTTCGGGCCGAGATTTAAAACCACGTTTCAACTGTACGCCAATCCACAGAGCTAAAAGCTCCTAGATCCAGACGTTACAGAGTAAGAATGGGGACGTCTGTAGTTGCTAGCAAGGCTCCTAGCCTCCACCCAGTCAGAACTCATGCTGTCATAGACATCCTTCTCATCCATACCCAAATTTCCAAACATATCACATTCCTGCTAGTTCAGCAACCAATCAAGTTGGATTCGCCCGCTTAAATATCATATATGCATAAGTTTTACAAGCCACAGAACCCATTTTCATCGAGAATCAGCGTTGGAAGTTCCAAATTGTGAACTCTATTCCCAATTTTGACCTTCACACTGTGGAAAAGGATTTCGATTTCCTTGAGCTTTCCAAGTTCTACGGAAGCAACCCGCTGCTTATCCTCCACTGATGGTTCTGTCAAACTCCACGCGATAGATATATGGAAGTAGTCAGAAAAGTCCTCGACAGGGTCGGAAGTTGCTGGTTGGGCCCCGGGTTTCTTGCTATACCGTCTCCTGCCGGGCGTATTTGCAGAGTCTGGGCTTTGATACAGCGGAGGTTGGTGGAAAGCAGCAACACTCTGATTCGATATCAGCAGCAAGCGATTCAGCTCGTTGAGTGCTGGTTTTACAACCCGTAAAACGAGGAACCACCGCGTTCTCTCAAAATTAGAGACCCAGTCTAACCCAGCCGCTGACACGCGAAACCTGACGATTTCGTTAGATCGTTCTATTGAGGGGTAGTATTCATCTTTGTCAGAAGTATGGCAATGAATAGCACTTACGGACGAATATCAGAGTCACGTATGGCATCATTTAGCATGTCTATAAACGGCTGTCTGTCATCCGTCACAAGCGCAACGGGGCGCGAAAGGCTAATGTGCAGCGGCATTTGGGCACCCAGATCGCTAAACAGCAGGCTATGGATTTCCAATCCATTTTGAAGTTTATGTCCAGACCGAGAAATTATGTCTTCTAAAGTGGAGACCTCTGGAGCCGCGGGGTACCCTCCAACAAGGGCAAAATCAGCCGACGGTGGCCCAATATGCACGCAATCAGATTTTTTTCAGCGGAGGACTGGTCGAAAGAGGATATATGAAATGGCAAAATACTTACACTCGAGATATATATGGGTGGGCCAGTTGCCAACAACATGCGGAATTATACGTTTGCGCCCGTCATGGAGACTGGGGTCGTCCTGGACGCTAACGCGCGAATTGGTTGCATAGAGATCGAGGAACTCAGCGGGTAATGGAGGTAAAACAGAATTCCCACTTCTCCCATCACCTTTCTTCTTCTTATTATTATTATTTCCGCTATCTGTTTGCTGTCGCTTCAGCAGACGAACGGGAGTTGTCACTGGCTGAGCTTTTGTTTGTGGGTTCTCGTCCGATTCTGAATCGGAATACTGAACTAGATCCATGGCAAATCAATTTGCTGCATGCATGCATTTCCCAGTTAGGTATTGTCCTTTATCGTTGGTTGCGTCGCAGGGGTTATCAGCAGTGTTAATATGCTTGACTGGAGAGCAGCCTTTTGGATGGTTGTTGATGGTCCAATCACGTGATTTGGATTGAGTTTCGAGAATTTCAATTCCTGCAACAATACACGGCCACTTTGCCAATTCGTTCTCATTCTTCCATTGCTATAACCATTTGCGATCCGATTGACTTTCGACCTTATAACAGTATGTTGCCACCATTCTCTTTATCCAAATAGGGCTCAAGATTTGGCTAACTTACACCTCTAATTAAGGCTGAGAAAAGCAATTTCTTCCGATCCAACTCTGCCAGCATGTGAACTCATTGGGAAAATTCTGCTGAGCACAGCACATGCAACGGTTTCTGTCGGCTAAAGACAGAAGCTCCATGCTGAGCATAGCGCTGGGGGACTGAATCCGATCTAGGACTTTACGATCTGGGATTTATCTTCATCTGCTAGGATCTGGTTTCTCTATCGGCTCGTTCGAAGCACCTCTTTGCAGGAGGTCAGGTGACCAAATTTTATATTTTGCCCCACAGTTATTTACCCACTACCCGCAGCCGTCAGCCCGTAGCTTGCCAGAACTGAGGGAACACGGGCAGGGCTTTGCAGACCTTGGTGACAAATCCATGGCGTCAATCCGGATCCATCAGCCAAACCTTCTGCTGATGTTATTGGCCGCAGCAGCCCGACTGACGTTTACATGTGGACCCTCTGGATCATCTGGACTCTACAGACAGAGCTAATATTTTCTATGAAAAGCTTAACCTCCAACTTTGATTGATGGGGATTAAAAATAGCAAAGGAGTACAATACACGGTGTAGTTTTAACCCATAACTACTTGCTGTTTATTTGTTGTGATCTCTATCCACCACCTCTTTCACCAGGGCTTTGTTGATTCCTTCGTCTTGAGCAATGCACAAATGTTAGCAACCTATTTAAATTCTAGCGTTTAAACCAGAGCAAACCGAAAATAAGATTTCCATACAATTCCCATACAATACTATTTCCATCTATACATCGAATCCGTAAATCAAACATTCAAACAATGCCGTCTTCATCCTTGAGCATCTCAGAACGAACCAGAATCAGCAGCCACAGGCATTCCACCAACTCCATACCCTCTCCATATGCTACCTTCTCCAGTCCTCCTCCATATTCTGCCATATACACATCTTCACCATCCCCTCCTCACTCATCAAGCCCTCAAAACCCCGAAACTGACCACACTACAATGACCCAATTATCGCAATCGCAGCAGGCGAAAGTCCACCGGCGACACTACCGGTACAGCACAGGTGTGCAATTGGACATCATTGATCGTCTTGATAACATAGGTCTCTTCTGCTATCATCATGAAGGCCCTTATGATGCCGCCAGCCGTGCGAAAAACTCACATCCCTGCTCATCAAAACTCCACAGCAGGAACCCCATCGATGCCCTGCAAACCTCTATCGAGGAAGCTCTCAAAGCTACCCCGCCTGACAAAATTGCCGATTGCATCCGGAACCACAGGCCGCTGGATGGAGTAGCCTATTACGCGCCTGGAACGACGGATCCAAATGGCCATAAGTATGACTATGAGGAGGGCTGGAATATGATGACTGAGGACACTGGCAATTTTAAGAGGTGGCCGGGGATGGTAAGTTTTGGGGTTTTTTTTTTTTTAAAAAAAAAAAAAAAAAAAAAAAAAAACAATAAGATTTATCAAATTTGATATTTTGGTTGCTGATGGTTTTATTATCTCTAGAAATTCCGTGATGAGGATTTCAAGAATGATCCTGGATATATGGCTCTTATAAATAAGCCGAGACGGAAACTGTGGTCATTTCGTCGTCGTAAACAGAAGCAGAAGCCGTAGAGCTTGGGACGCCATCCATTTTACTTTAATCTTCTTATAAACCTTACAGTCACGCTACATATATTGGGTATTCTGAGGAAGAAGGGAATAATGAATATGATTATGGCTTTAGCATAGCAGCATGGCAGCATGAAAATAGTGATCATGATTCTTTAAAAGGTTGATTTGTAATATAAAAGTTACATGAAGAGATTCTCTAATTAATAATGTTATTAAATATAAATCAACACACACACTCTCTCTCTACATATGTAAATCCATTCCCTAATATCAATTTATACAAAATCTTCAGGTCGTAGTCATGACGCTAGCATTTTTATACCAATTCAACAGCGGGTTCTCGCCGCTGCGCGTCTCTGTGTCCTCGACATATGCCCAGCGTTCGAGGAAATCAGCGTGACTGGATACCTGCGTCAATTTACCGGTGATGGCTCGGTAGACGTCTTCCATCAGGTTAAAGTCTGTGGGGAAGAAGATGTCGAAGTAGCCTTGGTGGACCTGTAAATGAGGGGTGTTAGTTTTTCAAAAAAAAAAAAAATTCCTTTAATATGTTTTATTTCGAATGCAAATTATATCCCATGGTGAGGGGAAGCGATAGGGGGTTATGGGAAGGGTAGAATCTAGGGGTAGGTTAAGATAGGGAAAGGGATAATCGTACAAATGGAGTGGAAACCGGAACGGTGGTACGCTGATATCGTGTTTGAACGACAGGGGCATTGTAGCCCGGCACTGCGTCGGGAAGGCTATTGAAGTCACTGGTAACGAGTCGGTGGGCGGGGAAGTAATCATGCAAGATATCGAAGAACTGCATTAGGCGAGTAGGTATGTATTCTGGTAACGTCATGTTCGGTGCAAATGGGAGGGCAGCTTGAATCTTTCTGGCAAGCGGGGAGCGAAGGGGCGTAGAGAATGGTCGTCGTGCAGCAGCTTTACGGACTCGAAGGTATCTCGAAGCTATTAGGTCGAGATATGGGATATAATATTCGTAAAATTCACCGTCTGGGTCGATGAGCACGCAACCCTGTCTTGGTTGTCCAGTTTCTAGATCGTAACGGATTGCGTCGTGGCTGAAGTTATCGAACACCTCGAGCGCAAGGAAGAAACAGGGTGAATGGACATAGGTATTCCAGTCGAATATGGACTGGTTTATGATTTCCGCATGGCCCCTGTGGCCGCTGCTGTGTATAGAGTTTTTCAGATTCTTCTGTTGCAGTTTCGCAAGTGAGGGAGAAATCTCGATGATTTTGAATTTGGTGCGTTGATAGACCTCTAGATCCACGTCTCGTATATAATCCAATACGTTCAGCATCAGAGTCCCGTTTCCGGCTCCCATCTCATATATTATCAGGTCGTGGTAGGGAAACAGAGTCAACTTGTAGTTTGTCACAAGATATCGGGCAATTGCTTCCCCATAGTACGGCCGAAATAGCTCTGTCGGTGTGTGCCATAGTTGACGACTCTCATCATATTTCACCGCATCCAACTTGTCCTCAAACTCCTTGTATCGCTGGCCTAACAATCGGTTGAATTCGGGCCCGTCAGCCATACTGTTGAAATCAAACGGCTCGCCCGGATTGAAAATGGTCGCGTGCTTTGAAAAGTAGCCATAATTGGGATTATACAAACTATCTAAAAGCCGGAAACGAGGATATTAGTCCATTAAAATTGCAGCAAAACGAGCCCACTCTATTCAATTACCCTCGATAAAGTCCCTAGCCAGCATCTTCACACGCCTTGGTCGATGATGTCGTGACTGTAAATCTGTGGATGTTACCATCGGATACTCCTGCAACTCCTTGGACATGTCTCTTGGGAAATCATCTGTCCTGTGTTTCCAGAAGGTAGGGTCTTCCAGTGTTCGTCGTTTGAGGGTCGGTTTAGTGGCATAGGAGCGGCATTGTTGATGCGTTCGGGAACGAGCCTGAATTGGGTTGCTGGAGCGCATACAAACATGCGCATGGCGGATCCGGCACCCTTTATGCCGAAATAGCTGCCGGAAAATATGTGCGACAACAGGCGAATCCATAGCGTAGGCAGCCCAAGGGAAGTGGGAGAGCCAGAGTACCGAGAGGCGAAGAACCGGGAGGTTGTTGTGTGGAGTTGCAGTTGGCTGGGGATGTTCCTGAGAGAAATAAATGGGTGAGCAGAGGCCAAGAGACAACTACAGCTTTCTCTAGTTATTCACCTCTGTCTAACAAACATGAACATGTGGATGCAACTATTACTGCTACATACATAGCTCCCTTTTCCCCTCCAAATATATATATATATATATATATATAAATGATAGAAAGAGATATTTCTTTTTCATCCCTGGACTATGATTGACACTCCACGTTTCTATATACCCGCCGCTTTTCTGGCTGGAGTGGTACTCGCTCTTGGAATAAGAGACATATACCCGGGTCTTGAGCGCCACTACCAGCAGCGGCAACGTCGGCGAAAAGGTCACAGGAACGAACAGAATCAAAGACAGGAGTGTGAGGGCATAGAGATTAAAAATGGCGACATGCTTGATGGTCTAGAATACGGTCTATCTTGCAGGCCCGGCCCGCCTCCAATCGTCGATGGGATAGAAGGGTGCATTGGAAATACGCCTCTGTTTAGGATTAAGTCCCTATCTGATGCTACAGGATGTGAGATTCTTGCAAAGGCGGAGGTATGTGACCCATGTTGGTTACTCGGCTATTTTATCACTGGACGGTGAATTTATGTTCTAACATAACTCCCCAGTTTCTCAACGGTGCTGGAAGCAGTCCAAAAGACCGTGTGGCTCTAAATATAATAAAAACGGTCGGTTGTGAAAAACTACCTATAAGCATAGCTGATGCATTGCTGACACCCTCCTGTAGGCGGAGGAAGAAGGTCTCCTCCATCCGTATTCTGGAGATGCCATCTTCGAAGGCACCGTGGGATCTACCGGCATTTCACTCGCTACGCTGGCAAGAGCCAGAGGGTATTTAGCACACATGTATGTTTTGCCATATATCTTCTTGTCCGCTCGTTCATCTAATATATATATATACATCGTCATATATATCGTCATATCCATATGTATATCGTCATCTATATATATTGATACACAATCTCCCACAGCTGCATGCCATCCGACCAAGCCACAGAAAAGTCGAATCTCCTCCTCAAACTAGGTGCTGTCGTAGATCGTGTGCCACCAGCACCAATCGTAGAAAAGGGCCATTTCGTAAATAGGGCACGCGCTCTCGCGAAATCCCATTCCCCATCTCCAGAATCTTCTCCAGTCCGCCCTTCCTCGTCAAGCCGTCATCATCCCCAGGTGCACGAAATAGCTGAGACGCCAGACGCAGATCTCTATGCCTCGCATGCGGCTGGTAAACAAGGTCGGGGTTTTTTTGCAGACCAATTCGAAAATCCAGCAAATTGGCAGGCTCACTTTCGAACAACTGGTCCGGAGATCTTCGCTCAGTGCGGTGGTAAACTTGACGCATTTGTTGCCGGTGCAGGAACCGGAGGCACCATATCGGGTATCGCACTGTTTCTGAAACCTCGCATTCCTGAAATGTCTGTCGTGCTTGCAGATCCACAGGGAAGCGGTCTTTATAATCGCGTTCGTTATGGAGTCATGTTCGACGTGAAGGAGCGGGAGGGAACCAGGAGGCGAAGACAGATGGATACCATTGTCGAGGGTATCGGAATCAACCGCGTTACCGTAAATTTCGAGGCTGGGAGAGAGCTAGTGGATGATGCTGTTAGGGTTACAGACGTTCAGGCTATTGCGATGGCGAGGTGGTTAGTGGAAAAAGATGGTATATTTATCGGGAGCAGCAGTGCGGTCAATTGTAAGTTAGCCCATTCATTTCCGTTCCCCTTCCATTTCTTCTGATCGCCGGCAAAGGCTGACTCAAATTTGAACACAGGTTTCGCAGCAGTCAAAACAGCCATGAAGCTTGGACCTGGGCACAGGGTTGTGACGATACTCTGCGATTCAGGCACGCGGCATTTATCGAAATTTTGGGAAAAGGCTGGCAATGTTGGAAGTGCTGTTGACACCAAGCTCGAGGATGTTCTTAATGCAAAGGGTGAAGAGGAGTAAATGGCAAATATTGTGTATAATTACAACAAAAATACAAAAGAGTGATTCCATGAAGTCGAAACTATCTTTCTCTATAAACCTCCGACATTATACGTCGAACTGCTCTTTTGGGGTCCGCCATTTGTAGGATGATGCCGCAATTTTTATCAAACTTTGCCTCTTCTGTGGGGTGCGCATTTTGGGAGGCGTGTCGACCTGAATCGAAGATAAGCCTGCCCCGCTCCAAGCTGTGTCAAAGGCTTCGGAAAGAGGGTCCTCACTATCGTCACTCTCATCTCTTTGCTCGACTTGTTTGGCCGGAGCAGAGAACGGCGTGAGGGGCACTGGTCGACGGGAGACCGTTCGAACTGGTTGTAGAAGTTTCACCGGTGACGGAGATTTTATAACCAGAGTTCTTTTCGGCAGTCTGGCCGGTGTTTTAAATTGCCTCTCCTGTTGCTGAGCTGGTGGACAATAGGAGCTTTTCCAATCTTCCCACGCTTCCCCTAGGCATATCTTAGCCCATTCGCACTGTAACTCATTTCTCGTTTGGCCTTCGAGTGCAGCTTCTAAATCTTCCCATGACACCTCAGATTGCAACTTAAAAGACTCCAGCACATCTTTTGCTTCCTCTGTCCACGATATTTGTGGTGGAGGACATCTTTTGATATCGACAGACCGGATATAGTACCAATGTCTTAGCTGCCCAGATGTCCTTTCAGGAATGGAGCGGTAAACCTCTTTCCAAGGTCGCTTCTGTACTACCCGTAGAGTTAAGATAATTCTTATTTCACTAGGTGTTAAAGGCTCAGTTGCAGTGCTGAGTTTTGCTGGCTTTGATGTTTCAGGGATTTTTGATATTGAATCAGGTTCATAAAGAGATATATCATTCTCCGGGTTGGGAGATGGCACACTTTCCACAGAATTTTCTATGGAATCATTCACTTGAAATGAAGGCGACTCCGCAAGGATACCCAGATTTCGTTGGTCATGGTTTTGAGGAGATGGTTGTGGCGTCTCATCCTCAGGTTTAGGTTCATGTGACTCGGATTTTCGTAAAGGGTAAGACGGAGAGGGATAAGACGAATCTGCTTTTTTGGTAAGCTCTTGTATATTTGTCGACGATTTGTTAGTGGAGGGCGCAGAAGCGGCGATGGTAGCTTTAGCGGGAGTACGCGTTTTGGATGGTGTGGAAACAGAACGAAAGGCATTCTGAAGAGGATCATCCGAATCAGAATGGGAAATACAATCAGAGGATTTGGATCTTTTCAATGATAGAATTTTTCGCGCTCCAAGAGGTTTGCGCCCCTTTGTCCGCGACAATTTTGGTCGACCGGTTTGGGGAAGCGCCCATAGTGACCCGGAATTTGGAGGTGAAACAGATCGGTTCCTTGAAAAGATCGAGGTTAAAGCAGGCGCCGGAAAGGACCCGAAAAGGCGATTGTCGATTTCAGAAGTTTGCCAGAGTGATTCTACAGACTGTGAACTTGTCCTCACTCGTTCTCTGCTCAAATAGCTCGAAGACCTCCTATGCAAGAAACCATTACGAGGCGACACACCGTTCTCAAACGGAGCGCCGTTTCGACTACGAAGCCCTGAAGTCCGGCGGGAAATGCCATGAGAGCCGCCCTTCCCAAAACTAATGACGTTTCTCGGGTGTACTTCTTTGGCCCCCGAAGGCTCTTCATTTTGCCTAGAATGATTTATAGTCGGAAAATTGGCAGACTTATCCGGGCAATCCGTCGTGGCTTCAGTTTCACCAAGAGGATCGAATTCGTATCTCCACTTTTGCGCCCCGAGATCCTGCTCATTTCTCATTTTCTCAATATGTCCATTGTCAATAATAATCCTGCCCGTCGCCAAGTCAATCTCATCTCCAACAGAACTGAAGTCCTTTCCATATTTTTCAAATATATCTTCAAAACGTGACTTCAACCTCAGATCATTCGCTTGACGTGCGGCATTGACATCTATTTCGGGTACTATATTGGCAAGGTTCAAATCCCAGGGCCCTAATATACGCATGCGCTTTGCTTGTCGCTTCGTTGGAAACATATCGATGATATACTAAGTCGGCTAGACTCAAACGGAGGGGACGAATGAAGAGGTGTGTCAAATCTAAATCAATGAGGGTAGATATTTCCCCGGCTTAAATGGTTGCCATCGCAGTAGCGTTTCTGAGTTGGAGGCAGGCTGTGTTTACTTGCTTGTCGAAGAGGGGCCAAGGCGAGGACGAGCGTAACTTGCGGAGAGTATATCTAGATGACTGGAAAACGCTATAACATTTCCATGGGTGTTAGAGAGCTTTCGAGAACCGCTGCGCTTCAGAATGAAACCTTACCGCACCAGTTGAGCAACTTGAGCAATATCAAATGAAGTAATCGCTGGTGTTTTGTAGTATTTCTTCTGTTTGTTAGCCCCGAATTTTAATATTTCCTATTGTAGTTAGCGTCCCGTCTTTGTTGCCTTATCTAATCAGGAACAGAGCCTCCTGACATCAACCACATAGAACAGCTTCACACGACCAACCTCGTCCATACTGCATGCCACGGCTCATGTCCCGCAATGCTCAACGGAGCTTGAATCCAGATTTCTGAGCGCGTGTGAGTCCACTCGATTCTCGACTTCAACCATGATATATGAGGGCTTTCCACACCTCAACCATGTACTGCCAAGAGTGCCGTACGCCTCTCAAGCTCGACGGTTCCCTTGAGGATCTGAACCCGGCTGCCTTCGATCTTCTCATAGGTAAAATTGCTTATACCGCAAGTAACTTATAAAATCTGACGTGTATCAGGTTCGACTGGCAAGTCATTGCCCGACCCTTCCAGCAAATCTGCTGCGCGCCCGACCTTCCCTCCTGAGCGACAGCAGCTCTACGACAAGGCTTCTCGGCGAGCGACGACCCCTGTTTACAAAAGAACAGTCCCTGCCCCTCGGTATAGCTCAGGGAGTTTGCTCGGACAGTCCCGAGCAGGTGTGAGAGATGGACCCGGCATGTCGTTTGTGATGCTGAGTGAATCTCAGGTGGTTCCTGCACATGCTGCTCCGACTGTAAATGGTGATGGCCGTCGAGCATCAAAGGGTGGCTCGCCGATCGTATCTGAACCCCAACTGGGGGCGCATGAGGGCCAGTCATACTCCGATCAGGTTGAAAAATCTGCTCGTCTTTTCGAGATCATATCTGCTCGTTCCGATATTGATCACCCAATATGCACTGAATGCACCGATATGCTTATCGAAGGGCTTCAAAAACGGTTGCAAACAGGGACAAAGGAACGTGATGCATATATATCCTTTCTAAAAAATTTAAATAACTCTATTCCTGCCCCAGAAGAAGTACAGGCTGCGGAAGATGAACTCAAAGCAACACTGCAAGCCGAGGAAGATGCATTTCAAGAACTTTTAGCCCTAGAGAAGGAGAAGGCTCAGGTTGATATAGATATTGCTGAGCTAGAGGAGCAGTCCCGTCAGCTTGACCTGGAAGAAGAACAATTCTGGAGTGACCGAAACGCATTTGCCTTGACCCTCTCTGAGTTCCAGAATGAACGGGATGCTTTGAATATGAAGTATGATCACGATTCTCGGCGACTTGAGCGACTTCAGCGGACAAACGTATACAACGACACTTTTTGCATAGGGCACGATGGGTATTTTGGCACCATTAATGGATTGCGCCTTGGCCGTCTCGCAAACCCATCTGTTGAGTGGTCCGAGATAAATGCTGCCTGGGGCCAAACCCTCCTTCTTCTGGCTGCTGTCGCCGACAAACTAGGCTTCCAATTCCAAGGATACAGATTAAAACCTTTGGGCTCTACTTCGAGGATCGAAAAGATAGAGTACCCACAGCAGTCGCCAAATACCAACACATCTCACAGAGGCACACCAACAGCAAATCATCCCGATGCGCTTCCACCGCCAAAGATTACGTCCCTCGATCTCTACTCCTCGGGTGATCTCCCTTTACACCTCCCATGGATCCACCGCCGTTTTGATGCTGGTATGGTTGCCTTTCTTGAATGTCTACGGCAGCTAGGAGAACACGTGGAGAACACGCCTATTTCCCTACGCTCCCATTCCCCATCCTCTCACCGGCATCCCAGATCGGGGGAGCGTCCGCCAGCCACACGTACCCTCCAGGCACAGGTTCTAGGCCTTAAGCTACCCTACGAGATCAAACGGGATAAAATTGGAGACGCCAGCATCAAGTTAGGTTTCAACCAAAATGATGAAACGTGGACGCGCGCCTGCAAGTACACACTTACATGTTGCAAATTCCTCTTGGCCCATACGAGCAATGTTACAAGTACAGGCTCTAGCAGTGCTCCTGTCCCAGCTACGACTTCAATTGTTCTGGGTCGTTGAAGTCGGAAGTAAAGGGAACAGTAACAAGCTTTTGTATTCCTACACAAATCCAAGGCTTAGGATACAAAACGACTCGCAGTATATCAGCGCTAGTTAGGAACGAACCATTTATGGGAAGATCGAACTGGACTCATCTAACAACACCAGTTTCTTTTTCCGAGTAAACCAGTCCCTGAATCTCAAGGCGAGGATCGACTGGGTGGCAAGTCAAAACCATGAAATGGATGATCACAGTCTTCCTGGACGGTCTGGACGGCTGACGGTGTTTTGAATGTCAATACGACGAGTATATCCTAGTGGCACTTTTTGAATTAGTTGTCGGTGTAGGTTTTCATATTAGGAATCACACATGGATGCCAGATTTTTAACTTGCCCTAGATCATCCCTAGCAGCATTGAAATTTTGGCGAGGTTTTTCTGTGGCAATTGAGTATCTGTGTGTGCTATCCCTCATTACGGATTAGCATCTTCAATTAAGGAACTCTCTGGAATAATTGTCCTGTGTTGAGACTCGGCTTGGCCAATAGGAGCTGAACTGTGACACTTTGTTTGCTATTGTTTTCGAAAGTTTCTCTTGAATTCAGGTTGATCGCCAAGCATGGACTCCTCGACGACATAAATACGCCACTTTGGCACCCCAATAGACGGCAGAAGGACCAAAAGCCACATGATAGGCATGCTATATTTGGATGAGTGAGGAATGATATTCTGTCGAGGTTCCAGTGCTCACACAGATAGGGGCAAAGGAAGGGGAGGAGGGTGGTTTGCAAGTCTGTTGTACGGGGGGCTCAAATTTGGGCTTCACTAGCAATTTTCACCCAAAGGAAGCAATGCAGATATATGCATGTGGTTCAGCAAGAAAAATTGCGTTTATCTCAAAAGAAGATATGTCTTTGTCATAATTCACTACGGAATTCCGCGGTTTAAACTGCCGACGTCCATCAGGGTGGGACAGCAAAACGAAGCAAACCTGGACTATTTTTGAAACAAGGCTAAGACTTCATTGCCGTGGAGAGAAAGAATGGCTTCCCTAGTGAAAAGCCACGTAGTAGATCGTTTAACTGTGAAGGAACAGACAGCAGAGCATGAACTTGATTGAACGTGTGTGGGCTGGGTAATTTTCCAAATTGCTGCGTAGTCGCTAGCCGTATCGTGTCCATGTTGTACATTGGGTGTATACGCATCTGCACATCCTGCTTTACACTTGGGAATGGAAGAGGGATGAACTGCAAGCCGACCACTGCATTTGAGAGCCTGAGCTTTGGGCCTTCGAGTTTAACTAAACACCGTTGCCCAAACTACTTGCGCCTATTGACCAATAGGAGGGCGAAGCAAGCCAGCATTTCAACCATTCTCGAAGCTCAGTATCCGTGAATATATATATATTATTACATCAAACTACAGCGTCCGGAGCATCATCGTTCAGGAAGTTGTCAAGTGGCATTCCACCCTAATCTGCTGTCCAACACATTGAGTTATGGCATCAGCTTGCGGGAAAATGAAGCCGTCTGCCGCTAGGGTCCATCAGCGCCGGTGGCTGTCGAATATTGATGCCTACTATTAAACATTCCCTGTCCAACTGTTCGACGAGGTATATTCCTGAAGATATCCGTGAGTAAAACAATAATTGAGCTGCCTGCATCTCTCAGCGCAAAAGCCACATATCATCTTTCTGCGACTAGAGATCGAGTCGATGTATATATATATAACAGCAATGAGCCTGAGATCCATATCTTTTGTCCCATTCAAAAATTGAAGCAATAACTACATATTGTTATTCAATTTATTTTCGTTTTGCACAGCTCTCATTTTTACATTCTTTCATTAACGATGGTGAATTTTAGCCTTCCAGGAGTTTCCTACGCTAATAGGTTCTTCAAAGATAAAAGCTACTACCGATGCATTATGTTAGGACAGGGCAACACGGGGAAGACCACCCTTTTATACCGGCTCAAGCTGAAGGAACAAATAGCTACGATTCCCACAATGCGCCAGAGTTTCAATGGTGTGTACACTGTTTCCCTCCATCCCCATCCGTGGCCCCTTGAAGCAGAGCTAATCGGGTATTATAGTCGAGACGGTCCATGTGCTTTCTGAGGACATCGATATCACTTTCTGGGATAAAGGGGGTTTGTCTTCCCGTTTCTCGATATAGAACTGGAATATTGGGGATGTTTTTTTCTTTCTAGATTTCATTGCTCTTTTGCCTTTCCTTCGTTACCTTAAGCACATGAAGCGTCAGAGAAAGGCGCCCTTCTAAACAGATGATTGACTTGAACGATATAGGCGGATGTGACCGAACTCCACAATGGCTCTTCCAGCAATACCAAGGTCCAGACGTCCTGTTTTTGTTTGCCATGGATCCTACAGAGATCTTCGATCAACATGGCACTCACATAGCTCAATATGCCATTGAAGATCTAAAACATATCCTGGAAAGAATCACTGAAGCCAAATACCTAGCTGTGATCTTTAACAAACGCAACCAGATGCTCCGTGGTGATCCTCGAGTCGAAAGACAAATCTCAAGCGTGAAGGAGGTTCTGGACGAGTACAGACCGAAATTGTCATATCCATGCGAACTATACGATGATTTAGACCAACTTAGTGGAGCTACAGATGCTCAGACGGACCTTCTCGTAAAGAGACTCACCCTTGCAGCTCAAATGGAGAAAAACTATGTCCGAGGTGTTTCGATGAAGGCTATGGTGTCGCCACATCATTCCAGTCTACGTGTCCCAAAACCTTTGACAGATGATTTCCTGGGGAGAAAGGAGACAGGATCCAACGAAGCGAGTGACCAGCTAGATTCAGATGAATTTATGCGACGGATGGTTTCTGGGGAACTTGAGAAATGGGATCATCAGTACCATTTGCGTGCTGGGTTCCTAACACTCAAAAAGTGTCTTCTCAAGGAAAGCGTGATATTCGATGCTGCTGATATGTTTCTTGAGCGGCTAGATATGATGTTGAAGGCTGCGCTGCATAAGTTTCGAGATACTTCGCCCCATAGGTCCGTCACTTGGCCCCTTAGGTGTGGCTGTTATTATTGCATCTGGCACTTTTAGCAAGAAGATGTTTAGCTGATAAGGCGATCGGTAAACTTATTTAGGACGTTGACAATATTTTGGCTTCACCGATCTATCACAACATGCTCTCCTTCTACGAAAGGACCGGTTTATTTCCCGACTGCAAAGGATTCAATGACGTTATTTTAGAGAATCCTGATCTCACAGATAGCTCTTCCTGGGGTTTGTATTATTCCAAGGACGTTTTGTCCAGTCCTGAGGCAAAAAATGGCTGGAAACTCCCCAACATAAAACCACTTCCTCATCATATAAGCTGTCGAGCAGAGAGCCAACAACGAATGCTCCAAACCCAAGAGACAAACAAGCCCGAGGATCTCTACACACAACTATGCACAATTAAGAAATCCTCAGAAATCTATAAACGCTTTGCCTTCGCAACTCTCTAGACCATGAAACTCTCTAAATGGCGGAGTGACACAATTATTTGCGAGACTATGTCTGTCCTCCAGTCACATATAATGCGGCTTCGAGCTACGTTGGCATCATCTTCTAATCGCACAACGTATATAGACCCCTATTCCGAAACCCAGGCCTTCTTCTGGATCCAGATGCTGCATGCAGCGCTAGAATCTATCCCCATTAACTCAGGACTAGACATCACCAACCTCCGCTTCAAAAGTATCTCTATCCTCTTCCCCTCACTCTTTGAAACTGACGACATATGGAGACGATACTATACAGAGAAGCTGTGGACTAGCCTCAAAGCGCGTGCACGCACCACACTTCCAGACTTAAAGTCACTACGAACAGCGCTACAGACACCTGAGCAATGGCTGATTCAGCGGGCTGTGGCTTCGGTATTATACGAGAAATATCCATGTGCTGCGAGCGACGCGTCATTGTCGTACTGCTCCAGTGACCCAAGTGCGGAAGAGCTACTGCTGGAAGTGCGCTGGGCAGTGAAAGAAGCCCGCAATAGCAGCTTCAACAATTCCATGATCCCAGCTACACATGCGATGCTAGTATACCGCATCTTTAACTATCTGTTAGACGCTGAAATCCTGCCTGAGGGCGATAGAAGTGACAGCCGGAGAACCGCATCCCTCTCTACCGCATCATGGGATGCTACTTCGTTCCTTCACCAGCAAGGCCGACCTCATGAAACCAAGCAGAGATATACGGCTGCCGTCTTCTGGTCCCGCATGGTTTTGCACGCGTTCATCGAGACCGACAAGGTCTCTTCGTTCCACGCCAAATTTGCGAGTTGGAGGCTAAGCTCTCCTTCTCATCAGGTGAGGAGACAACCGGAGCCGACGATGCGAGTGCGATTCTTCGAGCAGTTTCTTTTGGAGAATCCAGAACTGTGCTGGGAGGGGTTGTGGATAGTGTATTATTCCGATGAGTTGTGGAGGAGTGAGGATGCGAGGATCATGTATGTGATACCAGACCGAGGGGAGATTCCTGCGTATCTTCGGGTAGGGGAAGAGGGGAGAGGGGAGGCGGAGGAGGAGGAGGAGGTGGTGGTGGTAGAGACGGGAAAAGGAGAGGGAGTGGAAGTGGAAGGGGATGATGGTGGGTTTGGGGAAGGGTGGGAGATGGTGGATGGATAGGAAGGGGATACACAATTTTTTTTTCTACTTTGGAAAAGTAGCTGAGAGATGAGTATTTGCGGCCCGAGTAACAGATCCTCGACGCTAAAGAATCTTTGGATATGCATTGGTCTCTGTGACTCGCTGTCCTGGAGCGAAGCAATGACAGTTGACACCTACTTAGTTTCAACTGAATAAGAAGAAACGATGATACGGTTAGGATGTAGAAAGAGAAAGGAGCCGTGGGAAGTAAGGTAAGGAGAGTGAAACACGTAAAATGAAAGACGTTCGCATGCTTCTGCTCTGCATTCAGACTTCATCTAGACCCGGTGTCTCCATCCATACTTCAGTCACAGCTATTTCATTTCATCCCGAGAACCCCATAACGTACATACCTAAACGCCTCGTAAGACATACTGAAACACAGAATGGAACAAATGAAATATAAAACACTATACCCGATGGGCACGTAGACGGGACATGATGTATTCACAAATGCCGAAAACCAAGGGTGAATGGAGAAAAAGAAAAAGGAAAAAAAAAAGAGTATCAAGGACCCAGTCACCGAAGAAAATAAGAAACGAAGCAGAAATCAGTCATTACCCCAGTCAAAACTAGCTAGCAACTGACCAAACCAAAGAGAAAACTGGCCAGCTAAACACTCAGAGAAAGCCAAAAACCACCGAAAAAGATAACTGCCCAATCAGTCAGCCACTCAAATCTTCAATTATGTATTCATCTTTTATACACAGTTTCACGAATAGAACGTATTCTTCTGAAAGCTCTCCGGGGAGATATCTCCCATCTTGCCCTTGACCTCTGGTTTACCATTAGCTGCTTTCAAGCTATTTGCCCGCTGCTTCAACTGGTCATCGCCACCCGCTCCAACACCTAGAAGGGTATTACTCCTCGATGCAGGCAACGATACAGTAGCACCAGCCGTAATAGCCTGCTGCTGCGGTTTTCGCTGGATGGTCTCCAAGTAAGGGCTGGGAAGGTATCCGACGGTGCCATCACGAGCTCTGCATCGCCACCATTCAGATGGGTTACCCATGGGATCCGACCTGCTGAGCACAGCGACGAGATCGCCCTTCTTCACAGCAAGGTCGACGCCGGCGGTGTTATGGGCTTCCGGGGTGTAGTCGTAGAGGACACGGCAGAAGTCGAGCTTTGAGGGGTCGATGGCGTTTTGTGGATTGGCTGCGAGGGGTTCGCCGTTGGGACCAATCGTCATCATGCGTCTGGCTTCGAGTTCTTGGGAGCGGGCAAGGGCACGAATGAGCTTGCCCATGAGGTAGGGAAGGCCGAAGACTGCGGCGAGGAAGAAGAAGAACGGCTTTTTGGAGGGGCGGGCGGGTGCTGTGGAGCCATCAGGGAGTGTTGGGGGTCCATGACCCTTTCCTGTGAAAGCGGCAAATGCGGATGGGGTAAGGGAGGTTGCGTCCGCGGGAGGTGGGCGGCCGGTGAGTTTAGCGATAAGGGTTCTTATCCATCTGAGGAGGGTGAAGATGCCTAGGACAGAGCCTAGGGTATTTCGTAGGTTGCCAAATTGCTCTGCAACGGATACCATAGCTGGATAATTCCGTTAGTATAAGAATACAATATGTGTAGGGATACCGCCATAAACCCAAACCCAAAGGGAACATACCGAAAAACGAGCTATGAGTAGCCATGTAAGTGCTCTCTAGCATCTGGGCAAATCCTCCAAACGCGCCAACAATACTCTCAATGATCTGGAATGTAGCTTGGGTACTCTGATTGAAAGAGTGTGTTAAGCTATTCGGGTCTCCCCCGGGCGGCATCCCCCCGTACATGCCTCCGTATCCACCCATCCCACCCATCCCACCATACATACCCCCGTATCCACCCCCATAACCACCGTACATCGATCCCATACCTCCTAGCCGCGAATATGGTGATGAGTAACTACTGTAGGCGCCATACCCACCACCACCATATGGAGTCTGTCCTATTCGCGACGCGCCATAGGGGGAGTAGTTTGATGCAGTCTGGTTAACGACAGAGTTGAGAGTGCTGGGTCGAGAGGGCAATTCTGGGGCAGAAGAGGATACGTTGTTTGCAGAGGTGGGAATCGTCGTAGCAGATGTAGCAGTGGGGGGTGTGGATAGCGGAGCTGTGATCGCGGAAGAAGCTATTCGGCCCACGCAGGTGTTATTTTGTTAGCCAGGAATTGCTTCAATGTGCAACAGCAGGTATAGAGAATGAATAGGGACAAGGAAAAGAAACTATCTTTCTCTCTTTTGACTCATCCATGGATATCTTCAAGGGGTGAAACTAGTAGGACTTACCACCAACACCGGCGCCAGCTCTCTCCCAGGGCTTAGGTGGTGATGCTGACGCCATTTGTGGAACGTCTACACAAATTCACACCTCGTAAGAGACCCTTTGTCACCTCTGAGCGATGGTGGAGTATAAGCAATATCACTGGAATGTTCTAATGCGATGATATCTTGTTCCAAGAGTGGCCAAAGGAGCTTGATGACCAGGAATGTGCGTTGTCTGGAGGTAACCCAAGAGACCCTTTCTGCTTTCTGCTTGCCGCTTTCTCTCTCTCTCTCTCTCTCTCTCTCTCTCTCTCTCTCTCTCCTGCTATGTTTTAGTTGCTAGAGACACTAGGTGTGATGAGTGCAGTTGCGTAGGAGGTTGAAAAAGTTGGGCGATGTTTTTTGGCTGGGGCGGGTTTGGCCGAGGATGAGAGAGGTAGGATGACTAAGCAGAGGTTTGGCGCGGGGAGAATTTTCGAGTCGAATCTTTGAACCGAGGATGTTCGAGGGGCTTGTCGAAGGGCAAAAAAATCAGCGTTGGGAACAAGCACAGCGTTTAGATCTATGAAACGGGGTTTTTTTTTAACAATATTGGTGGATGAGTCGCAGAGGCAAATAAGATCCAAAGAATCTCATTTCGGTCTTTATTATCAGCTGTTAGAACTGGCCATATCACAAGTGGTTATCTAAATCTTTGATCGATGAACCCCCTGGAGCAAGCATCCAGGGTTGTTACCAGGAAGTCCTACGGGCAATGGCATTGGTGGAGCCCCAGAATAACCTAAAAAACGGGTCGGGGGATTGTCCACCGTGCGTTTGTTTTTTACTGAAGCCCCAATTGACATCAGCTGCAGTCTAGTTCACTGTGACACTAACTACATCAATATCCAGCTAGAGATATAAAGATCATCGTGGACATGGGATGTAATGTACTTTTTATAATATTTATATATAGGTATCCGGTGTATACAGAAACGAGAATGGAATGGAATTGATGAGGGGAAGAAGGGGAAAATATCACGAAGCGTAGAGATCAACAATTGCGCAGTTCCCACAGAGAAACGCCAATGATTAAAAGAGGGGATGAGGGGAGGTGGAAAGATTCCCGCCCAAGTATTAGAATGAAGTGAACTTCCCAAAGCGCTCAAACGCCCTTTCACCTCATATACCAGATTTTCATACAGGTGTGTGTGAGTGCTGCATGTTTCCATGAACCATGTACATATACCTACTTAGGTAGGCCCTTCAATAACGACCAGTAATGCATTGTGTTGCTGTCGCTTCTCTTATATACGAAAGTATCCATCTAATGGGTTTATATTTCGTCGTGCCGAGGAATATGTATCTCCCACGACCGGGGCGGGACGGGGAAGCCTAGCCAGTAATCCCATAGCCGGTTGAGTTCCATGATCAGGATTCTCCATCTGTAAAGTGGAGTTTAGAATACATCTCGTGGACGGAGAGAGGAGAGGGTTGCAACTCACGCCGTGCTAGGAAAGTTAATCCACCCCTTAAGCACATATATATACGTCCGCCACACCAGATTGAATTCTTCCCAGAAAAGATCTATAATACTCTCCCCTCCTTTCGCAGTCTTAGAGCGGGGTTGTTTGGTGTCCTGCGACCACTCATTATCGTCATCCTCTAAATCATCCACCGATAAGTTCCTGCCACGTTGCTCTGGACCCTTTTCCGGCGGTGGATCATTCTTCACTCCATCCTGCTTCCAACCGCCGGATTCAGATATAGATTTACCACCAGGTGAGAGTGGAGAAAACTTCGGAACGGTAGTGTGAACGGGCAAACTGTCCTCCGCGCCAGACATAATCGCATGCTCAAAGCTCTGAACAGCAGAAAGGCTATGTGACACGCGCCCGAGCGTATTGATAAGCGCCACCAGCTCCGTCCGCCTCAGCGGCGGGTTTTCGCCATTCTTCGTCTCGTCGAATTCAAACAGGATCTTCAGTGCCGCACCATAGCCGGCCGTCTGCAGCTTGCCCCATAACCGACACTTGTCACAGCCAATACAGTCCATGATCCGGCTGACGTTGCGGAAGCGGTTGCGGAAATCCTCCTTGAGGCCATTTGCAGCCTCGTCGCGGAACATGATGGTCTCATCGAAAATTTTGGGCTGCGAGGCAACGGTGTCGATGAGCGCAAGCACTTTTTGCCGCGTGACCTGGTCCTGCTGCGGATCGCTGGAGCAGAAAGAGTAGGTCTGCAGATGCTTTTGGAGCTTAGACACGGCGCGGACGAGGACGGCGAAGTTGAAGTGGAGGTTTGAGATGCGTTCCGGATGGTCGTGTAGGCGTTCTTTGTAGCATTGGAGGTTAGGGAGCCACTGGCCTGTTTTCTGGTTGAAGTAGTCCCAGCAGAGATGTGTGGAGATGGATGCATGCATGCCACTGATGAGTCGATGGAAGACACGTTTCTCCAGGCATTCGTCGTCTAGAGGATAGGCCTCATTGCGTGTCGCACCAGCGACGACCTGGTCCCGCTCATGTTTATCCAGGACGCTTTTGAAATCCCTCGCCGCTTGGAGATTACCTAGGTGGAACTTGGGTGAAGTCGTTGGTTGAGACGTGGGGAGAGGCTTCAGGAAGCAGTTCTCACGATATATCGCGTTCCACACCTGTCTCGCCCCCGCTCCCGCGTAGCCAGTATATCTCTCCGGATTATCCAGCAAACTCACATAGTCCCCCTTCTCTGTTGCGCCTTCGTCTTCCGGGACACAATAGTCCCGCTCATCGCATTCGTCATCATACTCGACAACGCAGGTCTCTCCCACATTCTCCCCCAGCATGCCCTGGAGCGGCTTCTCCTTTGGACGTTCCTGCTGAAGCTTTTTCCCCGGATGTCCCGCCTTGGGGCCTTCCAACTTACTCAGCTCCTCTGCCCGCCAGATAGGGGGGATATCCTCCTCCGAATCCAGTGTATTCACTGCACAGGCAATATTCCCGCATATTCCCGCGTCGTCAGACCAAAAGAGGCATTGCTTGTTGAACAAGTTGAGACGGTAGTAGGAGAAGAAGTCCGTATCATGGGTGATGGATTTGACTAGCGGTGAGATTTTGGTGTTGATGGATTCCAGAGCGGAGAACGAGGCACAAGCATCTGTGACGGTTGCTTTCGGGTCGATCTGCTCAAGATACAGGTTGTTGGATAATCTACACTTTACACAACGGGTTTCTTTCCAGCTGGAAGGTTCAAAACTTACCGCGCAGGCGCTGTCAGGATGGGGTCTGGCTCTGGAGACAGAGGTCTCTCCCTGAGCTGAATTCAGGCAGGCGAATATAGCCAGAAAGAACAGTTGGGAAGCGGAACGCATTTCTTAATTGTTCCGATGAAGAATTGAGATTGGACTCTCTGATTACTTCATAGGGGATATGCCGGGGCCTACGGTACTCCGCAAAGGCGTCTATGTGTAGGTCGCGGGTAGGCCTAGGGCTGCAACAGGCATGGAAGAGGTATAACTGCCGCCTAAAGGTTAGGCGCTGGAAAACAAACAGGAAATTCTAAGGACTGCAATGTTGTTCTAGAGAGGAAGACGATGTGGGATACAAGAGATCTGGAGAGAAGAGAAGAGAAAAGCCCAGCGAGCGGACGATGTGTAGGTAGCTATTTGGTTTGGATGTTTAGGTGCATGAAGCTTGGGCAGGGATGGAGTAACTAGTTAATGGAATCTCTGTATCAACAAGAGTATGAGGAGGCAAAGGGAGCAGGAGTCTATTTAAAGCACGGACACTACAGTTGTCCATCCCTTTTGTCTCTGGCTTCCCCGAATCCGAACACATACGACATACGACATCCGCCTCCGAACCCTTGAAGATGCAATGTGGCCGTTGTTCGTGGCTTTTCCTTTTGCCAGATCACATTATGTCAGCAAGGCAAAGCTCGGCAGTTTAACTAACTACGTAATTCCTAAGATCACCCAAGCGAGCAGATCACCAATTCTAAAATATCTTCTCATTTAACTACTCATCCACGCACAATTATGCCACCAATTCGCAATAAAAACGCTTCAAATTCTTTTGAGAGAGAGGGGAGGCTTGAGCTCGCGATAAATGCTTTAAGAAAGCAAGAAATATTCTCAATTCGTGAAGCTGCACGCGTGTTTAATGTGCCATTCTCTACTCTAAATTATCGACTCAATGGCCGGACTGCTCGCATCAATCTACGTGCAAATTCAATCAAATTAACCCAGGCTGAAGAGAATAGGCTAGTTGAATGGGTGCTGGATCTAGCTAAACGAGGATTTCCCCCACAGCCGGCATTCATTGAGGATACAGCTAACTATCTTCTTACTATCCGGAATTCCACCATCTCCACCGCTACTCCCCTCCGCGTTGGCAAGAACTGGGTGTCAAATCTAGTGGCACGCCGTCCAGAGCTTCAGACCCGCTACTCCAGACGCTATGATCATGGCCGGGCCAGATGTGAGGATATAAAGGTTATTTAGGCTTGGTTTAAGATCTTGGAGGGTTGGCTGAGCATGGGATTCTGCCAGAGGATATATACAACTTTGGTGAGACTGGCTTTGCAATGGGACACTCTGCACTACTCCTGCAGCCCGTGTGGAAGCTTTCAAAGCTCAGGACATTCAGAATGGCTTCAAGGCCACTGGATTAATGCTCTTCCAGCCTGACTATGTTATCCAGCAGCTGGATATTCAACTCCGCACCCCTACGCCATCATCCTGTGTGCTTCAAACACCTAGTAACCTCCGGCAATTGCAGCGGCAAGCGAAAAAGGTTAAAGAGCTTATGGAAGGTCAACCTCAGGGCTTAGTGCAAGACCTTGACCAAATTATCAAGGCTTGCGAATATAGCATGGTCAGCGCCACTATTATGAAGAAGCCATACCAGGATACATTCAATGCGAATAAAAGAGACAAGCAAAAGCAGAATAGATCTAGACGTCCAATCCAACACGCAGGAGGTCTAACTAGGAATGAAGCTCAGGATCTTATTATTCCACCTGCTGCGCCCGTTGAACAGGCAGTTATTCAACCCCGTGAGTCTCAGCCATCTGAGCCTGCATCACGCCAACGAGCTCCACAACGCTGCAGCAATTGCGACACTCTCGGTCGTACAAGAATAAGATGTCCTCAACCTAGTGTAATTTAATTTAATTGAGTGATGTGGCGTTGAGATAATTTGATTTAAAGTCTAGTCAGTTGAAATATGGTGATTTTGTGATTCACTTGCTTGAATGATCTGCTCACTTGAAAATTATGTTTCTTTTTTCTAGATTTTTTTTTTAAAATTGCAAATATTTAATGTTAAAACTTTATATTTTATTTTTTAATTTCAAGTATAATTTATATTAAAAGTTTAATTTGAAATATATTAAAATTAAATTATATAAGCATTTTTATTTGATAAAATTATTTATATATAATAGTTTACTAGTAACTGTGCGCGTGGCACGGTTAAATATAAAAGTTTACTAATGGGAATAGGTGTAAGCATGAATCGATCATGTGACATCATCCCCTTTTCCCAAACTTCCAAGCCGAAAAAGAAGTCATACATTTTACGTCGCCTAATTACTATTCCGGAGTATATATTCCCGATTACCAGTAAATGATATACACAAAATGCATCCATCCAACAAAACCAAAAAACAACACACGCATAGCCACTTTCGCCCCTCACAATTTCGCCTCCGTCCCCTTCTCCTTAGCCACCTGCCACCCAAACTGTATCGACTGCCCAATCCCCGGCTCCACAATCACATTGACAATAGTCACCCTCTCACCCTCCAAAAACCCTTCCCTCGTCGCCTTCTCCAGCTCCTCCTCCGTCCGCACAAAGTATCCCCGGCCCCCACACATCGCCGCCAGATGCTCATAGCGGGTCTCGTACAGCAGACTCGTCGATCGCAAACCGCCCTTCGCCACATTCGTAGATGTAAGTGTCTCATCCTGTAGAGTCTTCCACTCGTCCTTCGTCTGCGTATCACCATGGTAAATGCCCGAATTGTTCATGACGAAGATCAGCGCCGGGATACGATGACGCGCCAGCGTTTCAACTTCCATCGCACTAAATCCGAATGCGCTATCCCCTTCCAACGCCACGATCTTCTTCTGCTTTGGGGGAATTTTCTCTCCTGGCGATGACGGCAGGTTGTAAGCGGCATGCGCTGCGACGATGTAGCCCAAGCCGACTCCCATGGTAGCGTATGTCCCGGCATCAAGGCGTTGCCGTGGTTGTTCAAGCGGGAATGAGGAGCGGGAGATATCCATTGTATTAGCACCCTCAGAGACGTAGACTATGTTTCCTTGTTCGGGTGGCGAGAGGGTATTTAGAACAGTTTTTATAATATGATAGGAACGCTGATAAGTCAAGAAACCGTTGGGTTTGGTGGGTAGGAGAGCCTTCTCTTGTGAGGCATTTTCGTTCTTTGAGGCAGAGGCAGCGAGGATGGACGGGTAGGAATTTGGAGACGTGGGGGAGGAAGGCTTGTACTTCCAATTCGATAGGGAGGAAAGAAGTTGCTGGATCACCAAGCTTATATCGCCCACTATTCCCAGCTCCGCATCTCCCGCATTCCTCCCAATCTCCTCCACGTTGATATCTACCTGAATAAACTTAACGGAGCGTGACCAGCGGGGCGTTTCGCCAAAGTGGAGAATCCAATTGAGGCGAGCCCCAAGTAGGATAACGACGTCTGCATTTTTCAGGGCCGCGCTTCGTGCACTCGATGTGTTGAGAGGGTGAGAGTCTGGTATCACTCCCTTGCCCATAGGAGTTGGCAGGAAAGGAATCCCAGTTTTCTCCACGAATTCAAGGATTGATGATTCTGCTCGCGCATATGCGGAACCTTTCCCAACGACGACAAGCGGGGCGCGTGCGGACTTTAGAAGTCGTGCCACTTTCGATATAACCACTGGATCGCCGCTGGGCTTAGGTGGAGATGGGACAACGATACGCTCTCGCGGTGGTAGCGAGAATCCCTCTGGGGCTTTGCCTTGAATCAAGTCCGCGGGCAGGTCGATGAAGCTCGTCCCCGGTCTTCCATACCAGCATGTTCTATATGCATTTCGAATCGCATTAGTCACTGATTCCGGTGAAAAGGGCCGTATGGCGAGCTTTGTGTGAGGAGTAAGGAGGGTGATGGCGTCCATCTCTTGGAATCCACCCTTAGTCACCATGTGCGTTTCTGCCGAACCGGCGAGGACAAGTAATGGGAATGTGTTCACGGTGGAATTTCCAATCTATATTCATGTTCGCAAGCGATTTCAACATCTCTCTTTTAACAGTTGAATTTCTCCAACAGATCTCAAAATAGCAGAATAGATGCAAAAAGGTAGAGAACTACTCACCCCAGCCATTGCATGTAAAACCCCCGGTCCACCCACAACCAAACAGACACCCGGTTTGCCTGACATGTATCCAAACACGCTTGCCGCATAGCTACAGGCTTGCTCGTTTCTAAATGCGATAAACCGAATTCCCAGATTAATAGCTTCCTCTGCGATTTCTACGACGGGGATGCCGACAATTCCAAAAATGACGCTGACTCCCAAGTCGTAGAGGGAGCGGGCCACGATTTGGGCCCCGGTTAAAGGGGGCATGTCTTCTGAAACTGCAAGTTGACTCTTCTCGCACGTGTGCACCTCCCTCGAATACGGTAAACCCTTTTGTATCTAGGGCAGCGGGTGATTCAATGTAAGGCGCGCAGATTAACGGACGGCGGGTGAATTAAAGGCGCTCAGTGCGACGAGAGGAAATTCGGGGGAGCCTGTTTTTGAGTTCTTGCCTCAATGTCTGCTTTTGAAAAGCATTACAGAGGACCAACAATCGTAAAGGATAGAAGGGATGGGTTCCTTAACCCGCGGCGGAGATGAAGGTTAATGTTATTGGGCGGGAGAAGGCTGTTGGGATGGAATCTCTGTGACGCAAGAGTTGGGGAAGCTCCGAGGTTAACTAACTGGTTAAATGCCCGCAAGCTGAATAAGCGGGCAGGCTCTGCTGAATACTTCGCTCTCATATCCATGAGAAAAGCCAATAATAAGTTACTTAAATACAACATATTCGGCTTGATAGATATCCCCAAAGAGATTGAAAAGGTTATAAACCAATTAATCTACTTTACTTAAATTTAGACGAAATTTTAGTGAACCTCTCTCTATAATCAATGGATACAACGGTGTACAACAAAGTTGGATGCGTAAAAGCCGTTCAGAACATTGTCGGTTTATAATGCAATTAGCAAGGATGCAGGATATGAGTGGAGTAAAGAAGAAAAGACTTGGAGCCCTGCCGAGGAATCCTCTATCAAATCGAAACAAAAGGGTGGCCACCGAAGATAAAAAGAAAAACAGCAAGCCATTAACATAAACCCCCTCTGCACACATAAGAGGCGCATAAATCTCTTATATCCTGCAGATTTTCCTATCTCATTTCAAAAAAAAAAAAAAAAAAAAAAAAAAAAAAAAAAACCAATTCATTTGATCCCTCCCTTCACATTTCCAAGCCAATTTACAGACCTTCCCATTTCCTCTATCACTGAGACACCATTTCTAAAACTCGAACTCCGATCTGAAAACCGAAACATCCATCCCGCTAACCACCAGGTCACTGAGATCCCGCCGTCCCATCTGGCTAAACACCCGTCGCAGGGTATCATACAAATTCGTGCTCTGATTCTGTGAAATATGAATCATATGCTCCAACTGCGCATCGTCAATAGAATCACCAACAATGTCTCTGGCCCGTTCTCGTCCTTCTTCTTCCACTACTTTGTGCATCGACAGAGCACCCAGCAGATGCTGTACAGCCTCTGGGAAGCAACCGATGTTAATACACGAGACGCCCAGATTGTATCTAGCACGAACAAAGTTGGGGTTAATGGTGAGAGCTTTCTCGTAAGCTTCAATAGCCTCTTCAGACCGGCCCGAGTTGGCAAGGGTGGCCCCGAGACGGTTCCAAAGAAGATGCACCTGATCCGACTGGTTTGAGCTGCCGGATTCGGTCGATGCAAGGGCAGCGCTGAAGCAGTCGACAGCTTTATGGTATTCTTCCGCGCCGTAGAAAAGCACGCCTAGGCCAACTTGAACATCTGGGTCCATGTGCTCACCCTGAGGAGAGAGCTGTGCAGCCTGGATGAAGAGATCAGTTACTCTTTCGTGTAGAATGTGCCGATCTGTAAAGCTGAGGTCGGTGTCTGCCGAGAGTGAATTTGGGTCGACGAGTTGAGGATACTTGACCGACAGCCACCGTTCGAGGGTGCGGTAGGCGGTCGAATCGTAACCTTCGTTCGTATATGAGACAGCAAGGCCCATAAGGGCATCTAGGTTATTGGGATCAAGTTTCAAGGCTTGTTCTAATGCGCGGATGGCGGGACTTTCCTTTTCATTCTGCGCCTGGGCAGAGCCAAGCAGTGTCCATGCTTTGATATGTTTGGGATCTTTTTGCACTGCAGCTTCGAATGCAAGGGCGGCGAGGGAGAGATTACCACCGTCTTTCATAATGCGAATACCTTCTTCGAACGGGTTATTGGCAGATTTAAAGGGGTTCTCCTCTTCAAAGAGATAATCGCCCATCTGAGGGTCTCGGATGCGCACGTTAAGATCGCCATCAAAGTGATCCCATTCGCCGAATTCACCCAAATGCATGGGATCAAAACTTAGGTCCTCATCAGCCATTTGCCTATGTGCTGCAGTCTCAGCCTGTATGCCTTTCCATATACGCTCAAAGCGTCGAAATTCATCAGCCTCGGTGTGGACTGACCTATCGACCTCATCCAACTCTGCCTCAATCGCGGCATTTGCCTCTGCATCCTCATCCTTCTGTCCCGATGCGGCTATCTCCGCAAACTGGGCCTCCCAGTTTTGGTCGTCCAACTCTATCATCCTCCCTTTCCCCTTATCGTCTTGCGTGGATTGCTGTGGTGGATGGGGATGATGCTGCATTCCCATAGGATATGGCGGGCCCATCATACCCACGTATCCCGGGTTCATCCCGCCAAATCCCATCATCTGTGGTTGGTATGCGCTCATCATCGGTGTATGTGACGTAGCGGGACCAGACGTAACCTGCATGCCGTTTCGGTTTTGTTGTTGAAAACGAACAAAATCCGCAGAAGAAAACTCAGGTCCTGGGAAATGTCTAGCAATAGCGGGCTTAAAGGCGGCTTCCATTCTTGCCTGTTCACCAGGATCGAACTCTGCAGCCCAGCCAGGCGAGCCGGTTCTCTGCGGCGCTGTTTGGAAATTTTCTAGTTCACGTCTCATTTGCTCCATTGCAAAGGGTTGTGCGGGACCTTGCGGCATCTGGTCTCCTTGTTGTAGAAACTCATCCATCATCTACGGACGATATTTTAAGAATGCAAAATCAGTATACAGCTGCTTCATTACCTTATATCTAGTATACTGGAATGGGAGAGGCTTTCCGTACCTTATCCTGACCTCCCATCATACTCCTTGATCGCATACCTTCCTGTAGACCGCCGGGACCCCGTCCAACGAGTCTGTCCCGTTGCAGCGACTTATCATCCTGAACATGCTTCGTAAACTGAGTCAGGGGATTCCCCGCTGTTGAGCATTCTGGCCCGCCGAGAAATGACATATTGAAGATGTGCACAAGGCAGAGCCGGGATGTGGCGGACGCAGATGTTACGCGAGAGGTATTCGGAGTATTGAGTCCTATAATAGGCTTATTAGATCACGGTAGCTCTAACTAGGCAAAGCAACATACACAAGAACTTAATAGGGAAACTCGATTCTCATTAGAAATTATAGATGCAGATGAAAGAAGATAATGAACACAAAGAGCACACTCAATATGCTGTTGCTGCTGGAAGTTGTCAGTTGACAGAAAGGCGACTTTAACAGTTGGGGGTCGTTTTCTGCCAACATCCTCGGGTGTATCGAGAAATACCAGATTACCGGTAATCTATCACTCGGCATCGGCAGAACTGAGCAGAACCGCCGAAAATTGAAAAACTTGGGGCCTTGGCGTCAAGCTGTAACTTACAATTACTGTACTTTACCGTACCGTAACTATCCTAAAATACTGTCTTTAAATACATTATTATTAGTAAGAGGCTGATCTTTCACGTGGTGTCAAAATTTCCCTTTTTGCTTCGTACAAGACAAACCCTTTGAAGTCAAACCGAGATTAAAGAGATACTAAATATAACATTGCTGTAGTGATTGACATACTAAAAGGGGAGATGGTAGCTATATTCCTAATTCCGCATTATTCTAACAAACAAAAAAAAAACTGTGGCTAGAAAAGTGAGATGAAGAAGAAGAAAAAAAAAAAAAAATTTTTTGCCTATTTTTTTGTTATCACATAGGATGGGAGAAACAAATTGTCCGAAACAGTAAAGAGTACAGTTTTTGCTAGAGAAAAAAATGGTGGCATAATAAAACAAATAGTTGAAAAGTGGGGGGGGAACAAAATTGGGCAAAAGACAACTACAAGACGAGATATATCAATTCACAGATAGAAGAAATCAAGCTGTCCAGATGGATGGAACACTAAAGGACCAACCCAGCTCCCTCCCGCTCCTCGAACAAACCCCCGTATCAGAATCGATAGAACTAATAGAACGTCCACAGCACATAAAATATAACATCAGACTGTGCATTCTCAGCTTATACTTGCCTATCCGGAGATCCCTTCGTTTTCGGTTTTTGGAGCAATATTTTCAGTTGGCGGTTTCTTGGCGAGTATCCTGGGACTCAATAGGTCTCGTTGCTCCCGGATCCAACATCCCTCAATCGGTCGACGGTGTTATCCCTGGAACTGAAGCTGTAGTCGAGTCGGAGAGGACGGCCATAAGGAGCTTTGTCCTTGAGTATTTCAAACGCAGCTTGGGCGCTCTCAACATCCAAAAAGTCAGCGTGGGCAAATCCACGAGGTTGGCCGGTTCTCCTGTCGACGGACACGCGGACGTCCGTAACATTTTTAATATCCTTAAAAAGCTCATTCAATTCACGGTCGCTCATTTCGAAGGACAGATTTCCAATGAAAAGCGTTCTGGTTGGCTCGTTGGAGCGTGTTGGGGTTGGATTTGCTGAGCCACGCGACGAGTAGTTAACAACCACTCTACGACCTTCGTAGATGGTCATGTTCATCTCATTAATTGCAGCTTCAGCAGCGTCAATTGAGTCGAATTGAACATATGCGAAGCTAGCAAGCGAGGAAACGTTAGATTTCGGTATGTATAAACGGCGACATAGAAAGCCAAAATGAAAATGTGGAATGAATGGTTGACAAATATGAAAATGGTGGAACCTACCCTCTGCTCATTCCACGGCTGTCATATACGATGCGAACAGCGAGAATATTGCCGAATTTAGACAGATCGCGTTTGAGATCATCTGCAGTCACTTCAAAGAAGAGGTTGCCAATGTAGATTGTTTCATTGGGCTTGACTTCCGGGTTTGATCTCAAAATCGATGTGTTGTCCCGAAACCCCTGGATGCCGGTCCTTCGAACAATGGATGGAGTATATTGGGAATTCCATCGTTGCTGGAAAGCCACGTTGGTAACCTGACCACTCAATCTTAGCAACGAAGGAGCAATGGCAGCTAGAGTTCCTGGCTTCACGGCGAGAGCAGCTGGCGCTGCACAAATCGCGCGGAATGCAGTGTGTCTGAGAGAAATCCTGCTCGGGGAGACGTTGTTAGTCTTTCAAGCCTGACATCAAAAAAAGATGATATGGGAGACTAACATTTTCAATTGGGAAATAGCCAAAGTATTACAACAACGAAAGGTATATTGTATAAAGAAAGGTGAAATGAAATCAATGAAGACAATTGCGGGAAATGATCGAGGAGATGTGGTCTGAAATGTGAATGAAGAGGATGAGAAAAAGGTTGAGTGAAAAAAAAAAAAAAAAGATGATAAGACGAAGTGGACTAGGAATATCGGCCACATCGGGTTTAGCCTGGGCTGACTAAACCAACCAACTAGTTAACTTCCAGCCTCTAAAACATCACGTGGAAATTGAGCCTCGACAACAAAGAAACCAACACACACAGAGATTACCAAAGCAAAATGCAAAGAGTTGGTTATCTAAATCTAGCTGATGGGCCATCCTCCTATATATATACAGGAGAAAGATGAAGAAATTCAGGTAAATGGTTAGCTTTCTGTTCTGCGTGGTCCTAACATCACGTTCTCGCAGGGGAATATGGCTGGGCCAGACACTTGGAGCAGGTCCATGCATAGCAACGATATACGATTTAATCCTCTATTTTTCGATTTTTCATTAATATATTCTGATTTTATAAGAAGCTTCAAGCTCCGTGTACTATTCCAAACAAGAAAATAATCGATGAGTGTGCTGGTTGTCGTAGATAAGTTTTCTCATCCGCCAACCCCCTGAGTCAGGTAGCAACAGGCTTTGCCTTAATTTCAGTCAAGAGCGTGCTTCAGACATCCAATATTGTGAAAAAAAAGTTGACAAGAAGAAATATCATTCTCAATTTCTTTCAGGACATCATCGCATTTGGAAACTTGCAGATGAGCTGGAAAGCATATTTGGATATAGAGCAAATTTCTTCGCTCACTCTCACCAAACGTATGACACGACGTCTCCGTGATAACTATAATGGTCAAGTTTACCTACATACAATTTTAAACACTCTCAAATACTCACAGTTAATCAGCAAGTACTGCCAATTACGCCACATCACTATATACATACAACCCAAATTTAACCACCCAAATATCAAATAAAAGGAGAAAGAAACGAGAAAATACAGACAAACCATAGCCCCACCAAGCAAGTGCTTTTTCATTCATTAATCGTGTTGATAATCCCACTATTATTGTTGGGATTATTAAGACCATTCCTGCCGGCGTTCAGGTTATCCATAAACAGCGCCCGATTTGCTGCGACACCTCCGCCACTATCATATATATTTTGGCTGCGACGTGCATGCGTTCTTGCTGCTTGGCATTTCCTGATGAGTATGTTATGGAAATTGTTGGTCTTGTTGCGAAGCTGGTGGTGATAGTTGAATGGGGCCGGGTGAGAAGGCCTGAAAATCAAATACTGGCCAGCTTTGCATATTCGGGTCGGCCGCTGCGGCTTGAACGTAGCTATCCCATGTTTGCTGCAACAGTATATTGAGTGTTAATGTTGGATTTCGTTTCTAACTTTGCTTGGAAGTATTCCTTGGATGGGGAAGACAGAGGGGGGTGGGTGTCGGACGAGGGCATATGATTTAACGAACAACCTAAAACAAGAAAGGAAGGACATCGGAAATGAAATGATAAAACATACCCAATCCAAATCAAACGGCTGCATAGGTGCCATCTGGCCAAACATCCCCGTGCCGAAGTTCATCCCCATCCCATTGCTGAGCATCGGGAGCCGCTGCGGCTCCATCATTCCCCCTTGACTGATAACACCAACTCCACCAACATTTTCATACTTCATCATCGGATCAGCGGCAAACTGCGATGGACTAGCTCCCATCTCGTTCACTCCACCGCTAAGAAGACCCAGTGTCACGGCCGCATTTTGCTTCTCGTCCGTTTGGTCAACTGGAACTCCCCCCGCTGCCAACCCTCCCTTGATCGCGGCATTTTTATTCTGTCCCTCCTCATGCTGTTGTCGCCGCTGTTGTCGCCGCTCCTTCTGCGCTCGGAATATGTTGCTCAACAGGACATCCAAAAGACCAGTAGCTTTGAACGCATCCAGTGAGTGGTCTTTGCCTTCATTCCAAATTTCCATGGACTGATGGAGGATTGCAAGAGTTTCCTGGTATTCCTCCGTGTCTAGAGCAGAGATATCATTTGAGCTAGGATCGGAGGCGTTGATTCGCACCATTTGGTATACGTCGACAGAGAGGATTGAGGAAGCCATAAGAAAACCATACGTGTTACCGGTGGTGGCGTACCCCTTGCTGTTTCGGAAGCGATCGTTCAATTTCGTAGCTGAGTAGAGTAGTCTTTGATAGCGGAGCAGCTCCAATGCGCTGGCAATGCAGGTGCGTCGCGAGTATGCATACCGTGAGTTTTCTCGGCCACGGTGCATGTACCTTCGGTGAAGGACACATTGGGCTTTGTGATAGGTGCTCGCGATCTGGGAACGAGAGGGTAATTTTAGTCCGACATGTGCTTTGCTAAAATTGGGAAAAGAAACAGGAGAGTAGAAAATAATACTCACCAAAAATTTCAACTTGATAGCATACATGGAATCATTGCTACCCTCAAGCGGTCGAACAGCCATGTGTTCCGGAACCCTATCACGAGCCTCGCGAAGCGCATGATCGAGTTCCATAACCTCTTCATACGACGGAGTTCGGGTGATCCCCTGCGTATTCTCCAACACCTGCCCAAACACGCCTACAAGCCGTGCCATGACAATAAGAAAACTGACAGGCGTTGGCTCATCCAGAGGCCGCTCAGGAGGAATCTCGACCGAATCTGGGTCGAAATCGGCATCATATAAATTTCGCGGGAGCTCGATATCATAATCTGCCCCACGAATCATAGAAGGGAGGCCGATCTGGAAAGAAAATAGTAGATCCGCTTGTCGTATAAAAGTCCATAGCCGCCTGCGTATCTCGCCCTGGAAAGGAGAGATGTTCGGAAACATTTTTGAGTCACGGTGATAACCCATCTGCATGGCCAGACGGACAATCACTCCAATCAGTACCCATACAGATACTTCTGATTCTTTCTCTTGCGTGGATTCGCCGTGCAGATGGAGGATGAGCGTTTCTATCAAGTATCGATGCGGTTTCGTATAATCGGCAAGGATGAGGCACTGGACCATAGAATTCCGATACGAGGCAGCAATACGTAGAGATTTGCTTCGGAATTCGGGGGGTTCGTCCGATTCATCATGGTATGATATCATCGCAAGACGGAACATAGCAAAGACCATGCCGATCCAGACAATGCTTGTTTTGGTCGGATCTTCCCAATGACGCTCGTACTGCACAATAACGTTATCAGCAACTTTTACATGTCAGGAATTGGAAAACCTGGACGGTACCTCTTTCTGGAAACTTGGAGAATGAATGCAATCTAAAATTGGAGGTAAGCAAATATATATATATATATATCGGGAATGTTTAAAAACCAGAAAAACGCAAGGACCTACTAGTAAATAGGCTATAATATTGAAAGTAACGAGTGATCAACATATCGGCGGTATATCTGGAGGGAAAACTGGACAAAATCTCAGTCGCAGATGGAGGTTTAACAGCACCAAAGAGCAGAGATGGTCCGGACAAGTCCTGCTCGTTACTCTCTGCTTTCATTTTCTCCAATTTGTCTACTTGCTCCTCATACACCTTCTTATGCGCTAAAAAGTACTGCCTAACTTCTGCAATCTAGAATATAAAGATTAACAACCATCGTGCGTTCAATTAAAATCAAGCCGATGGGGTGGATAGCGGAGAGTAATTAACTACTCACATCGGCAAGGATCATCGTCCAATGCCCCTCGCTGACATAGTACGACTTCTGCGTCATGGCATCAACCTTCATAATCCCAAATGACTTGGTAACCTGCTCTGTATCGCTCTCATCTTCGGTTTCATCCATCTCATCTCCAAGGTCCAGCTCATGGGTATCTTGCCGGGACGCCGAACTGGCGCTACCCCCAGAGACCATTGCTTGTGCAGCAGCTGTGCCCACAGATTGTGTGCCATTGATCATCAACGATAGTACGAGGTTCTCGAGCCGATCGATGCGATCCTGCATACCATCTATAGTTGGGGGTGAACCCTGGACACTGACTGGCTTCTTCCGGTTCTTCGGCTGCGCGTACGTACAGGAGGGAACATCGTTGCGCTTCACGCAGTTTTCGCAAGGGACGGAGCGGTTGCATTTCAGCCTGGAAGAAATCGGCCATCAGACAAATTACCATCTTAAGATATATATATATTTCCCTTCAGTAACTAAAGCTTACTTCCGATTTCTACACGGTGCGCAGGAGACCGGTATGCGATTTCTTTTCCTGATAACCCGATATTCTCCGGGGGGATAAATGCTGCTGGACAACTTCGTGGATGGATGTGTGGGGGACATTTTTGCATTTGCGCAGGTAATATGATATACCGTTCGGGGGTTGGTTCAGGGCGATTGCTGGAATCGCTTATACTCGATCCAGCTCGAAAATTGCGACTCGTTCCCGCGAGGATTTTCCAACCAAGATAGTGACTGCAAACAGTAGGTGTAGGTTAGTAGGCAAAAGAGTCACCCTCAAACAAATTAGAACATAGCCTACAGTAGGCCATCAAAACCAAAACCAAAACCAAAAAAAGAAAAAAGAAAAAAGAAAAAAGAAAAAAGAAAAAAGAAAAAAGAAAAAATTAATATCAAGCGATTAAAATGCTGCTGTCGGCAAGCTCATTTAAACACGCACGCTTCTCCCAGCATGCACTCGTTTTTGTCCTCTAACCAGGCCAGGGCCAAATGCGAGGAAATGAGACAAGCCCAGAGAGCTGCAGATAAAGAGGAAAATAACCACCCGGCTCTTTATTGGCGCAATTCGCGATTTGCCGACCGGGGGGGGGGGGGGCAGACCTCCTTATGCGGATCAGGTAACGACTTCCCTCCCCCAAACCAGGGCTTCTTTTTGATTGAGTAGTCAAAATAAATCTAGGAGAAGATGCAAGTTACCCCGCTACGGTCATCAAAAAGATGTCAGAGGGTAGAGAGAAAAAAGGAGCAGGCGAGTTTGTTTAGCCAACTGATCTGGGAAGCAGAGTTCCATCCCATTCCCACGTAGACACACCTTTAAAAGCCCCACCCCCCCCCCCCCCCCACCCCCGGCAACAAGCACCACAGATTGTGGTAGAAGAGAACTCGGCAGCAACGTTGGATCCAGCAAAATAGATTCAGAGTGAGAGAAAGAGAGTGTGCGTGTGTGCCGGTGTGTGCGCCGGAGCTGTCCAGGGAGATGTAAGAGGGTGGCCGTCTTCAACCGCGAACGTTAAGAAGACGACAGTTGTAATATGCCCTGATGACAAGAGCGGGCCAGCCTCCAAATGCTCGTTCTTCTTCAAGAATAGTTTTCGATCCCCAATTTAGCATTGGACCACGGAACCGATGCCCTCATTAGCGTCAGGCAAACGACAGGTTCGACGGCTTGCAGCATAGCGCAGTTGGCAGCTGCAACGATGCATGCCCAGGGCTCTGGGGCGTTAGAGGCCACCAGCAACGACTGGCGAAATGGCTAAAATTTAAAGCGCTTGGAAGCTTGGAAAGTGGGCAGTTGGGGGGAGGGAGCCAGGAGGGAAGAGTGGCTTGATTCCACCGCACCTGGGTCCCTTTGTACGGAAGTACGTTTATTTGGGCTCAAGACTCTTTCTTTTCATGCTATAAAGTTATGTACTGTTCACCGTTTCAGCACTGCTGATGATCAAAGCCACGCAAAGGAGGAGGGGGAGTGATTTGAGTTTCTTCACCCCTTGATGAAAAAAAAAAAAAAAAAAAAAAAAAAAAACAAGAAAGAGGGAATGCAGCTCGCAGAAGGGTTCAATTGAAACCAAAACTTCCAATCCGCACACGTCCCAAAGCTACCAGACACACGCCGGTGAAGTGTAGGGGCCTCCAGAAGAAAACGCGGAACTCCGCATACCCAAAACTCTCCGCCTGCCAGGTGCTAGGCGTGTTCTCGCAGAGTGGCTAAAGATACACATATCCTTTTAGTGAAACACCCC